GTTCTAAAGGGGTTTTGGGGTCTTGGGTGGTTTGGGATGGATGTTGGGGTCTTGGGGGGTTTGGGATGGGTTTTGGGGTCTTGGGGAGGGTTTGGGATGGGGTTTGGGGTCTTGGGGAGGGTTTGGGATGGGTTTTGGGGTCTTGGGGAGGGTTTGGGATGGGGTTTGGGGTCTTGAGGGGGGTTTGGGATGGGTTTTGGGATCTTGAGGGGATTTGGGTTGGGTGTCAATGTCGTAGAAGGGCTTTGGGGTGGGTATTGGGTGTGTTGGGGGGATTGGAGTGGGATTTGGGGTCTTGGGGTGGTTTGGGGTGGAGTTTGGGGTGGTGGGGAGGTTTTGAGATGGGTTTTGAGGGATCTGGGATGGTTCTCAGGGTCTTGTGGGGGGATTTGGGTTGGGTTTTGGGGTCTGGGGGGCTTTGGGGTGGGCTTTGGGGTTCTTGGGTGGGGCTTGGGGTCTTGGGGGGGTTTGGGATGGGTTTTGGGGTCTTGAGAAGCTTTGGGATGGGTATTGGGGTGCTGGGAGGCTTTGAGATGGGTTTTGAGGGATCTGGGATGGTTCTCAGGGTCTTGTGGGGGGATTTGGGATGGGTTTTGGGGTCCTGGAAGGGATTTGGGATGGGTATCACGGTTCTAGAGGGGTTTTGGGGTCTTGGGTGGTTTGGGATGGATGTTTGGGTCTTGGGGGAGTTTGGGATGGGTTTTGGGATCTTGAGGGGATTTGGGTTGGGTGTCAAGGTCCTAGAAGGGCTTTGGGGTGGGTATTGGGTGTCTTGGGGGGATTGGAGTGGGATTTGGGGTCTTGGGGTGGTTTGGGATGGATGTTGGGGTCTTGGGAGGGGTTTGGGATGGGTTTTGGGGTCTTGGGGGGTTGGGATGGGTATCAGGGTTCTAGAGGGATTTTGGGATGGGTTTGGGGTTCTAGAGGGGCTTTGGGATGGGTTTTGAGGGATCTGGTATGGTTCTTAGAGTATTGGGGGGATTTCGGGATGGGTTTTGGGGTCTGGGGGGGCTCAGGGGGTGTTTTGGGGTCTGGGGGGGTTCTGGGCCATGTTTTGGGATCTGGGGTGTCTCAGGACCGTGTTTTGGGGTCCGGGGTCACTCCCAGCCGTACCCGGGAATGTCGGGGTGCCCGGGGGGGGGTCCCCAGAGCTGAGCCCTGCCCCACCCCACAGATCTCGGACAGGATGGGGCTCCTGCCCCACCTCTACCGCACCTTCGAGAAGGCCAAATTCGCGGGGTTCTGCCAGAAACTGGCCGAGGGTAGGGACAGCCCTTCCCAGCACATGGCCCCTTGTCCCTGTCCCCTTGTCCCCATTGTCCCCATCCCCCTTGTCCCTGTCTCATTGTCCCTGTTTGTCCCTGTCCCCATTGTCACTGTCCCATTATCCCTGTCCTCCCTGGCCCTGTCCCCTTGGCCCTGCCTCCTGTTTGTCCCCGTCCCCATCCCCATTGTCCCTGTCTCTTTTTCCCTGTCCCCCTTGTTCCTGTCCCCATTTGTCCCCATCCCCATTGTCCCTGTCCCCTTGTCCCTGTTCCCATTGTCCCTGTTTGTCCCTGTCCCCTTGTCCCTGTCACCTTATCCCTGTCCCCTTTGTCCCTGTCACCTTATCCCTGACCCCTTTGTCCCTGTCGCCTTATCCACATTTTTCCCTGTCCCCCTTATCCCCGCCCCCTGTTTGTCCCTGTCCCCATTTATCCCTGTCCCCTTCTCCCTGTCCCCTTATCCCTGTCCCCTTGTCCCTGTCCCCATTGTCCCTGTTTGTCCCTGTCCCCATTGTCCCTGTTTGTCCCTGTCCCCATTGTCCCTGTTCCCGTTTGTCCCTGTCCCCTTATCCCTGTCCCCCTTGTCATTCCTGTCCCACTTGTCCCTGTCCCGTTTGTCCCCATTCTCCTTGTCCCTGTCCCCCTTATCCCTGTCCCCTTGTCCCTGTCTCCTTGTCCCTCCCGCTGCCATTCCCCACTCTGGGGGACACCCAGGTGCCACCCCTGGGGACACAGAGGAGTGTCCCACGTCCCTGCAGGTGCCCAGCTGGGTGACCCGCTCTGCTGCCACATCTTCAGCGAGGCGGGCGAGCTGCTGGCACGCCACGTGATGGCCGTGCTGCCCAAAATCCACCAGGTGAGGCCACACCCTGTCCTGCTGGGTGTCCCCACCCCCGTGGCGGTGCCACCGTCCCCGCTGGTGTCCCCACGTGCGGCGGTGGCCTCAGAGTGTCCCCACCCGCAGAGCCTCTTCGGGGGCGAGCTGGGGCTGCCCATCGTGTGCGTGGGCTCGGTGTGGAACAGCTGGGAGCACCTGCGCCCCGGTGAGCGCAACGGGGCCCGCGCCGGGGTGGGCCCGGTTTTGGGTGGTCTTGTTCTTGGGTTGGCTCCATTTTTGGGGTGGTCCCGTTCTTGGGGTGGTCTTGTTCTTGGGGTGGTCCGGTTTTTGGGGTGTCCCCGTTCTTGGGTTGGCTTCGTTTTTGCGGTGGCCCCTTTCTTGGGGTGGGCCCGTTTTGGGGCTGGTCCCGTTCTTGAGGTGGCCCCATTTTTGGGGTGGTCCCGTTCTTGGGTTGGCTCCATTTTCGGGGTGGTCCCATTCTTGGGGTTGGTCCTTCTTTTGGGGAGGTCCCGATTTTGGGGTGGTCCCATTCTTGGGTTGGTCCCGTTCTTGGGGTGGCACCATTCTTGGGCTGGCTCCGTTTTTGGGGTGGCCCCGTTTTTGGGGTGGCTCCATTTTTTGGGTGGCTCTGTTCTTGGGATGGGTCTATTCTTGGGGTGGGCCCATTTCTGGGGTGGTCCTGTTCTTGGAGTGGCCCTGTTTTTGGGGTGGTCCCAATCTTGGGGTTGGTCCCATTTTTGGGGTGGCTCCGTTTTTGTGGTGGCTCTGTTCCTGGGATGGGTCCGTTCTTGGGGTGGCTCCATTTTTGGGTTGGCTCCATTTTTGGGGTGGTTCCATTCTTGGGTTGGCCCCATTTTTGGGGTGCTCCTGTTCTTGGGTTGGCTCCATTTTTGGGGTGGCCCCGTTTTTGGGGTGGCCCCCTTCTTGGGGTAGTCTTGTTCTTGGGTTGGCTCCATTCTTGGGTTGGCCCCATTTTTGGGTTGGCTCCATTCTTGGGTTGCCTCCATTCTTGGGTTGCCTCCATTTTTTGGTTGGCTCCATTTTTGGGCTGGCTCCATTCTTGGGTTGACTCCATTTTTGGGTTGGCTCCATTTTTGGGTTGGCTCCATTTTTGGGTTGGCTCCATTTTTGGGTTGGCTCTATTTTTGGGGTGGTCCTGTTCTATGGGTGGCCCCATTTTTGGGGTGGTCCCATTCTTGGGTTGGCCCCATTTTTGGGGTGGCCCCCTTCTTGGGGTAGTCTTGTTCTTGGGGTGGCTCTGTTCTTGGGGTGGCTCCATTCTTGGGTTGGTTCCATTTTTGGGGTGGCTCCATTTTTGGGTTGGCTCTATTTTTGGGTTGGCCCCCTTCTTGGGGTAGTCTCGTTTTTGGGGTGGTTCTGTTCTTGGGGTGGCTCCATTCTTGGGTTGGCTCCATTTTTGGGGTGGTCCCGTTCTTGGGTTGGCCCCATTTTTGGGGTGGTCCTGTTCTTGGGGTAGTCTCATTCTTGAGGTGGCTCTGTTCTTGGGTTGGCTCCATTTTTGGGGTGGCCTCATTTTTGGGTTGGCTCCATTTTTGGGTTGGCCCCATTTTTGGGTTGGCCCCGTTTTTGGGGTGACGCGTCCCCGGTGTCGCAGGGTTCGTGGCGGTGCTGGAGCGGGCGCGGGCCGGGGCCCCCGCGGCGTTTTCGGGGTTCAGCCTGCTGCGGCTGCGGCGCCCCGCGGCGCTGGGGGCGGCGCGGTTGGCGGCGCGGGAGGCGGGCGCGGCGCTGCCGCTGGACCGCGCCGGCAACGTCGACGTCTTCTACACGCACCGATTCTGAGCCCCCAAAACGGCCGCCGCGCCCCGAAAACGGCCCCACGGGAAGAGGGGGAGCGGCCGCGGGAGGGGCAGGGCGGTTTTGGGGGGTTTTTGTGGGGTTTTGGGGGGGGTTTGGTGGGGTTTGAGGTTTGGCAATAAAATGGTTGCACTGGTCCAGGGGAGTGGGAATGGGGTGGGAATGGGGTGGGAATGGAAATGAGAATGAGACTGGGATTGGGAATGGGAATGGGATTGGGGTTGGAAATGGGATTGGGAATGGGAATGGGAATGGGATTGGGAACGGGAATGGGATTGGGAATGGGATTGGGATTGGAAATGGGATTAGGAATGGGAATGGGAATGGGATTGGAAATGGGAATGGCATTGGAAATGGGATTGGGAATGGGATTGGGAACGGGAACAGGAACGGGATTGGGAACGGGAACAGGAACGGGATTGGGAATGGGATTGGGAATGGGATTGGGAATGGGATTGGGAACCGGAATAGGATTGGGATTGGGGTTGGAAATGGGATTGGGAATGGGAATGGGAACGGGATTGAGAATGGGATTGGGATTGGCATTGGGAATGGGAATGGGAATGGGATTGGGATTGGGAATGGGATTGGAAATGGGATTGGGAGTGGGAATGGCATTGGAAATGGGAATGGGATTGGGAATGGGATTGGGAACAGGAATGGGATTGGGAATGGGACTGGGAACAGGGATGGGAGCGGGGTGCTGAGCCTGCCAACACAGGCAGGGACGGCTCTGCATCCAAGGAAAAGCAGGAAGGAGGAAATCCCAAAGATTAGGATCAGGGATGACATCCATGACCTGGGAATGGACGTGGAGCTGCTGGAGCAGCTTTTGGGGGAATTCCCACTTAAAAGGGGAAACAAAAAAAAAAGGAGAAAATCCCTTTTGGGTTCTTTTTACCGGGAATCAAAAGTGCCCGGAAAGGTGAAAGTGCTGGGAAATCCTCTGGGAGCTTTTCCAGGAGGGAAATTCCCAAGCAGAGCCAGCTGAGGCTCTAAACTGGGAATGACTGGGATCACTGGGAGGGGACAAACCCACTAACGGAGACCCCGCAGTTTTCCAAGGAAAACTTCGGCCCCACTCCCTTCCAAAAAAAGTTTATTTGGGATAACGCCTCGTCCGAAATTTACAGCCTTGGTGGGGCGGGGAAAGGAGGGAACTGGGGGAGAAATCCAAGGAAAACTGGGAAAAAGAGGAGGGGAGAATGTGGGATTGCTCCAGGGGATGGATCCCGTCCTGCCCGGCCAAAAAACGGCCCCAAATGGGGTTTGCAGGGTGGGAATTCCATGAGCTCAGCCCCGTTCCCGCTGCTTGGAATGGGAATTTTCATGGATGAGCAGCAGGAATGGGGCTGATGGTGCTGCTTTCCCGGGATTCCCAGCCTGGCAGATCCCATTTCCCTGGAAAAGGGAGCCTGGAAAGCTCCTCTGGTTTGGGATTCCCAACCCCAAGCAGGTCCCGTTTTTCCTCTGTAGGGATTTCCAATCCCAAAACGGTCCTGATATCTCTGGATAGACATTCCCAATCCCAAAACATCCCTGATTTCCCTGGACACGGATTCCCAATCCCAAGGAACTCCGGATTTCCTTCAATCCAGATTTCTGACCTTGGGAAGCTCCCACTTTCCCTAGATAGGGATTCCCAATCCCAAAAAGTTCCTGAATTCCCTGGATAGGGATTTCTGACCTTGGGAAGCTTTCACTTTTCCTGAAGAAGGATTTCCAATTCCAAAAAACTTCCTGATATCTCTGATAGGGATTCCCAGTCCCAAAATGTTCCTGATTTCCCTGGACAGGGATTCCCAATCCCAAAAAGTTCCTGAATTCCCTGGATAGGGTTTCTGACCTTGGGAAGTTCCTGCTCCCCTTGGACAGGGATTTCCAATCCCAAAAAGTTCCTGATTTCCCTGGATAGGGTTTCTGACCTTGGGAAGTTCCTGCTCTTCTTGGACAGGAATTTTCAATCCCAAAAATTTCCTGATTTCCTTGGACAGGAATTTCCAATCCAAAAAATTTCCTGATTTCCTTGGATATGGATTTCTGACCTTGGGAAGCTTCCACTTTTCCTGGAGAGGGATTTCCAATCCCAAAAAGTTCCTGATATCTCTTGATAGGGATTCCCAGTCCCAAAATGTTCCTGATTTCCCTGGACAGGGATTTCCAATCCCAAAAAGTTCCTGATTTCCTTGGATAGGGTTTCTGACCTTTGGAACCTCCTGCATTCCCTAGATAGGGATTTCCAATTCCAGGGAATTCCTGGTTTCCCTGGATAGGGTTTCTGACCTTGGGAAGTTCCTGCTCTTCTTGGACAGGAATTTTTAATCCCAAAAATTTCCTGATTTCCTTGGATATGGATTTCTGACCTTGGGAAGCTTCCACTTTTCCTGGAGAGGGATTTCCAATCCCAAAAAGTTCCTGATTTCCTCGGATAGGGATTTCTGACCTTTGGAAGTTCCTGCTCTCCTTTGACAGGAATTTCCAATCCCAAAAAGTTCTTGATTTCCTTGGATAGGGACTCCCAATCCCAAGGAATTCTGGATTTCCTTGGATACGGATTTCTGACCTTGGGAAGATCCTGCTCTCATTGGAGAGGGATTTCCAATCCCAAAAAGTTCCTGATTTCCTTGGACAGGGATTCCCAATCCCAAGGAGCTCCTGGTTTCCCTGGATTTATGAGCCTTCCCTAATTTGGGAATTAGGGATCTGCAGCTCCCATGGATGGGGAAGGAAATTCCCAGGATCAAATTCTGATGGAGACACAGATCCCACTCCAGGATCCTTGGAAAAGGGATCAGCATCAGGATATTCCCACCACATCCCATAATATCCCTCATCCCAACAGAGGATCCCTCTCCTCTCCGCCAGGAATTCCGTTTTCCTTGGATTTTCACCCGTGAGGAATTGGGGCTGTAGTGTTGGATGAGCTGAGGAATTCCTTAAGGGGAAGAGGAATTTGGGGAAATCCAGGTTTCCCTAAAAAAAAAACCTCTGGAATTGGCAGGATCCCCCTGCTCAGCTTCCGTATGGAGGGATTTCGGGATCGCACCTTTGGGACCCTTCACTTCCAGCAGGAAAAATCCCATTCCAGAAAAATCCCATTCCAGAAAATCAGGGAAAATCACATTCCGGAAAATCACATTCCAGAAAATCACATTCCAAAAGATCATGGAAAATCCAGTTCCCAACCCTAAAAATCTGGAAAATCTGGTTTTCCCATTATTGATTTCCCATGATTTTTCCATTATTTTCCTGTGATTTTTCCATGATTTTCCCACGACTGATTTCCCATTATTTTTCTATGATTGATTTCCCATTATTTTTCCATGATTTCCCCACGATTGATTTCCTACGATTTTTCTGTGATTTTCCTGTGATTTTCCTATTATTTTCCCATTATCTTCCTGATTTTCCTGTGATTTTTCAATTATTTTTCTCTGATTTTCCCATTATCGATTTCCCATGATTTTTCCATTATTTTTCCATGATTTCACTGTGCTTTTCCCATGATTTTCCCATGATTTTTCCATTATTGATTTCCCATTATTTTCCCATCATTTTCTTGATTTTCCCGTGATTTTTCCATTATTTTCCCATTATTGATTTCCCATTATTGATTTCCCATGATTTTTCCATGGTTTTCGCATGATTTTCCATTATTTCCCCATGATTTTCCTGTGATTTTTCCATTATTTTCCCATTATTTTCCTGTGATTTTCCCGTTATTTTTCCATTATTTTCCCACTATTGATTTCCCATTATTTTTCCATTATTTTTCCCAAGATTTTCCCATGATTTTCCATTACTGATTTCCCATGATTTTTCCATTTTTTTCCATGATTGTCCCGTGATTTTCCCATGATTTTTCCACTATTGATTTCCCATGATTTTTCCATGATTTTCCCCAAGATTTTCCCGCTGGTGGGGTCACCGCAAATCCCAGGAAGCCAAAAACTGCCAAGAAAAAGTGAGGAAAAGCCAGGAAAAAAAAAAAAAAAGAACAACCTAAGGAAAACCAGAAATACTTGGAGCTGGAGCAGATCCCGGTGCTGGAGCTGCTCCGGGCTCTTCCCATGTCCCAACTTTTCCCTGGAGCAGGGAATCAGTCTCTGGCCAGGCCATTCCTGAATTTCCAAGGTCAGTATTTCACTCCGGGAACGAATTCCTTGGCATCTGGATTCAAGTTGCTTTTGCTCTGGAAAAAAGAATTGGGAATGGGATTTGTCAGGGTTGGGGTTTCCCACATCCCAAGGAATTCCCAGATTTCTGGGATGGGTCAAGGGTTTCCCAAGGTTGGGGGGCTCGGGTTGGATTTGGGGTTTCTGTGGGAAGTGGGATCATGAGGAGAGAAAATTTATGGAATTGTGGAATGGTTTGGGTGGGAAGAGATCTTTAAATCCCATCCCAATCCCATCCAATCCCAATCCCAATCCCAGTCCAAATATTCCAGGTGGATCCAGCCTGCCCTTGGACACTTCCAGGGATCGTGGGGCAATTCCAGGGATGGGACAATTCCAGAGACAGAATTCTAGGGATTGGAGAATTCCAAGGATGGGCCAATTCCAGGAATGGGACAATTTCAAGGACAGAATTCTAGGAACAGGAGAATTCCAAGGATGGGACAATTTCAAGGATGGATCAATTCCAGGGACAATTCCAGGGATAGGAGAATTCCAGGGACAAGAGAATTCCAAGGACAGGCAGTATCAAGGATGGGCCAATTTCCAGGATTAGTCAATTCCAGGGACAGAATTCCAAGGACAGGCCAATTCCAAGGATGGGCCAATTCCAGGGATTGGTGAATTCCACTGACAGAATTCCAGGGATGGGACAATTCCAGGGAATGGACAATTCCAGGGATAGGAGAACTCCAAGGATGGGACAGTTCCAGGCATTGGACAATTTCAAGGACAGAATTCCAGGGATTGGTCAATTCCAGGGACAGATTTCCAGGAATGGGACAATTCCAGGGATTGGTCAATTCCAAGGATTGGTCAATTCCAGGGTCAGAATTCCAGGGATGGGACAAATCCAGGCATTGGACAATTTCAAGGATTGGACATTTTCAAGGATGGGACAATTCCAGGGGGAGAATTCCAAGGATTGGAGAATTCCAAGGATGGAACAAATCCAGGGACAAGAGAATTCCAAGGATGGGCCAGTTCCTGGGATTAGTCAATTCCAGGGATGGGAGAATTCCAAGGATGGGACAAATCCAAGGATGGGACAAAACCAGGCATTGGACAATTCCAAGGATGGGACAATTCCAGGGTCAGAATTCGAGGGATGGGACAAATCCAAGGATGGGTCAATTCCAGGCATTGGGCAATTTGAAGGACAGAATTCCAGGGACAGGCCAATTCCAAGGATGGGCCAATTCCCAGGATTAGTCAATTCCAGGAACAGAATTCCAAGGATAGGACAAATCCAAGGATTGGACAACTTCAAGGACAGAATTCCAGGAATGGGACAATTCCATGGATGGGACAATTCTAGGGACAGAATTCCAAGGATGGGACAAATCCAAGGATGGGCCAATTCCAGGGACAGGAGAATTCCAAGGATGGGACAATTCCAAGGACGAGCCAATTCCCGGGATCCTCACCAGGATGTCCTCGGCTCCGTGTCCGTCGCCCACGGCGAGGCCGTGGAGCTGCTGCTGGAGCTGCCCCATTCCCTGTGGGAGATCCCGCGCCGGGATGAACCAATCCCGCTCCTCCTCCTCCAGCATCTCCTGGAAGCAGCGATCCAGGAACTCCTGCTCCTGCAGCTCCTCCTCCACCTGCCGGAGACGTTCCGTGGGAAGGAAATCCCGGGATTTGCCACAGGAAGAGCTCCATGGAATTCTCCAGGTTGGAAAAGCCCTTGGAGATCCTTTCCGTCCCAGCAAAATCCCACCGGGAATGGGGATTCCGGCTCTTTTCCCATGATGGATTTCCCATGATTTTTCCATGATTTTCCCATGATTGTCCCGTGATTTTCCCATGATTTTCCCATGATTTTCCCATGATTGATTTCCCATGATTTTTCCATGATTTTCCCACTATTGATTTCCCATTATTTTTCCTTTGATTTTCCCATGATTTTTCCATGATTCTCCCACTATTGATTTCCCATTATTTTTCCTGTGATTTCCCCATGATTTTCCCATGATTGATTTCCCATGATTTTTCCACGATTTTCCTGTGATTTTCCCATGATATTCCCATGACTGATTTCCCATGATTTTTCCATTATTTTCCTGTGACTTTCCTGTGATTTTCCCATTACTGTTTTCCCATTATTTTTCCGTGATTTTCCCATGATCTTACTGTGATTTTCCCGATTTTTCCATGATTTTCCCATGATCTTACCGTGATTTTCCCGATTTTTCCATGATTTTCCCTTGACTGATTTCCCATGATTTTCCCATTTTTTCCCATGATTGTCCCGTGATTTTTCCATGAATTTTTTTTTCCGCGATTTTTCCCACCCGGCTCCCCCTGTCTGGGAATTGTGGAGCTCCAGAAGGTCCCTGAGCCTCCTTTTTTCCTGGGAATTGCTCCAGGAATGGTGGATGTGATCCAGCCTGGAATTCCCAGAGCTGCCCAGGCAGGGATGTGGAAGGGAATCACAGCTCTTCCCATTTTCCTGTTTTTTTCAGGATTTAGGAGACTCCAAGAGGAGCCAATCCTCAAAAATTTTGATCCACGAAATGCTGGGGAAAGCCAGAGCTTTTCCATGTTCACCTGGAAAATCCAGGGAATTCTCAGCATTCCCAAAGGGGTTCCAGGAGTGGGGATGGAAGGACAGGATACAGGGAATGGTTTCCCATTGGAAAACTGGAATTGATCTGGGATTTGGGAAGGAATTCCTGCAAGGAAAGGGAAGGAGAATCCCAAAACCTCGGGAGAAGGGAATGGTGGTGCCACCACCCCTCAGGAAGGACCAAAGGGATTTTTTTCCAGCTTTTTTCCGGCTTTTTTCCAGGCAAATCCAACACTCTGCCCTGAGCCACATTTTCCCATCAAAGCACAACATTCCCAAATCGTTTTCCCTATGGATACACACGGAACTGGGAATCACCCCCAGGCTGAACACAAATCCCAGGAATTCCTGGATATGGGAATGTGGGAATGCCCCCAGGCTGATCCTGAATCCTGGGAATTCCCAACTATGGGAATCTCTGAGAATCCTGGGAATTCCCAGCTATGGGAATCTCTGGGAATGCCCCTAGGCTGAACCCAAATCCCAAGAATTCCTGAATGTGTGAATGTCTGGGAATCACCCCAGGCTGATCCCGAATTCCAAGAATTCCTGGATGTGGGAATCTCTGGGAATCACCCCCAGGCTGAACCCAAATCCCAGGAATTCCTGGATATGGGAATGTGGGAATCACCCCAGGCTGATCCCAAATCCTGGGAATTCCCAGCTGTGGAAATCTCTGGGAATCACTCCAGGCACAAATCTGACCCGAATCCAAATAATTTGTGGATTTCGGAATCTCTGGGAATCAATGCCAGGCTGAACCCAAATCCCAGGAATTCCTGGATATGGGAATCTCTGGGAATCCCCCCAGGCTGAACCCAAATCCCAGGAATTCCTGGATATGGGAATGTGGGAATCACCCCAGGCTGATCCCAAATCCTGGGAATCCCCAGCTGTGGAAATCTCTGGGAATCACTCCAGGCACAAATCTGACCTGAATCCAAATAATTTGTGGATTTCGGAATCTCTGGGAATCAATGCCAGGCTGATCCCAAATCCCAGGAATTCCTGGATATGGGAATCTCTGGGAATCCCCCCAGGCTGATCCCAAATCTTGAGAATTCCCAACTATGGAAATCTCTGGGAATTTCCAGCTGTGGGAATCTCTGGGAATCCCCCCAGGCTGAACCCAAATCCCAAGAATTCTGGAATGTCTGAGAACCCCCAGGCTGATCCCAAATCCCAGGAATTCCTGGATATGGGAATCTCTGGGAACCCCCCCAGGCTGATCCCAAATCCCGGGAATTCCCGGCTCTGGAATCTCACCTGCCGGTTGAAGTCCTCCTCGTTCTCCATCCACATGTACTCGGCGAAGGGATTCTTCTCCTTCTCCTCGTGCCCATTCCCAGCCGGATCCTCCTTGGATTTGGGATTGGACGCCGTGGTGCTGGCGAGCTCGGAGCCATTCATCCTTGGGGACTCTGGGATGAGGGAATTCAGGAATTTGGGAATGCATGGATCCATCAATCCATAAATCCATTGATCCATCAGTTTAGGGATTTGTAAATCCATCTATCCATGGAACTATTGATCCATCAATCCATGGATCCATTGATTCATCAAGTCATGGATCTGTCAATCCTCCAATCCATGGACCCATAAATCCATCAATTCATAAATCGATCCATCGATCCATCAATCCATGGATCCATCCATGAATCCATCCATCCATGGATCCATCATTACATCCATCCATGGATCCATCAGTCCATGGATCCATGGATCCATCAATTCAATCAATTCATGGATCCACCAATCCATGGATCCATCCATCCACCAATCCATTGATCCATCAGTTCATGGATTCATATATCCATGGATCTGTCCATAAATCCATGGAACCATTGATCCATAAATCCATGGATCCATCAATCTATCAATCCATCAATTCAATCAATGCATGGATCCATCAATCCATTGATCCATCAATTCAATCAATGCATGGATCCACCAATCCATGGATCTGTCAATCCACCAATTCATAGATCCATTGATACATCAATTCAATCAATTCATGGATCCACCAGTCCATGGATCTATGGATCAATTATCCATCAATCCATGGAACCACTGATCCATAAATCCATGGATCCATCAATGCATAAGTCCATAAATCCATCCATCCATGGATCCATCAATCCATCATCCATTAATCCATTGATCCATTAATTTCATCAATCCATGGATCCACCAATCCATGGATCCATTGACCCATCAATCCATCAATCCATGGATCCATCCATCCCTCCATCCATCCATGCCTGGGTTATCCTGGAAAAGGATCATTCCCAACCCCAAAACGCCAAAGTTTGGGAAGTTTTGGGAGTCTGGGAATGGAAGATGATGTCAGGGACGATGGGAGAGCTGGGAATGTTCCCCTGGAGAAGGGAAAATTCCAGGGAATTTCCTGGACAAGGATGGAGGGACAGGAGCCAGGGAATGGCTCCCACTGGGAAAGGGGAGCTTGGGCTGGGATCTTGGCAAGGAATTCCTGGCTGGGCCAGAATTCCCAAAGAATCCCTGGGAATGTCCAAGGCCAGGTTGGATCCACCTGGGATGGTGGAAAACGTCCCTGGATGGGATTTAAGGATTTTTTCCCCCAAAGCATTCCAGGATTCCATGAAAACCCCAAATTCCCTGAACGTGGATGTTTGCAGGATAACGCTCCAAATCCCAGAGTTTTTATCCGGAGTTTTTATCCCAAACATCCCCTGGAGAGTGGGAGAGCTTTTCCCAAATCCCAGGATTTGGGATCCTGGATGCCCAGCCTGGTATCCCCTCCTGGGCTAGCATGGAAAATACCCCAAATATTGCATGGCAATGGGGCAGAATCCAAAATATCCCAAATCCCGACTATCCCATGGGAACGGGGCAGAAATATCCATAATATACCATGGGAAAAGGGCAGGAATATCCCAAATCCCAACTATCCCAAATATTCCATGGGAATGGGGCAGAATCCCAAATATCCCATGGGAACAGGGCAGGAATATCCCAAATCCCAAATATCCCATGGGAATGGGGCAGAAATATCCCAACTATCCCAACCATCCCATGGGAGCGGGGCAGGAATATCCCAAATCCCGGCTGGAGGGGGAATTTGGGGCAGAGAATTCCCCCAAATGTGAGGGAGCCACGGGCTGGGGGAGCCATGGGAAATGGAGGGGGAATGGAATGGGAATGGGATTGGGATTGGGATTGGGATTGGGGATGGGAATGAAAATAGGACACGGAACAGGAATGTGAACAGGATTGGGAATGGGATTGGGAACGGGGATAAGAATGGGAATGGGATTGGGAATGGGAATGGAATGGGAATGGGAATAGGGACAGGAATGGGAATGGGAACAGGATTGGAAACAGGGATGGAACGGGAACAGGAATAGGGATGGGAACGGGAAAAGGAATGGGATTGGGAAAGGGAATGGGACTGGGAATAGGGACAGGAATGGGACAGGAAACAGGACTGGGAGCAGGGATGGGAATGGGACAAGGAACAGGAATGGGAACAGGATTGGGATTGGGAATAGGGACAGAAATGGGATTGGGAACGGGGATGGGTCTGGGACAGCGAACAGGAATGGGAACGGGATTGGGAATGGGAACGGGATCGGGATTGGAAACGGGAATGGAATGGGAACAGGATTGGGAAGGGGAATGGGAATGGGAAAGGGATTGGGAACAGCAATAGGATCGGGAACGGGATTGGGAATGGGAACGGAGAACAGGAGCCGCTCCCGGCCCACACCGGGCGCACTCCGGGGGCCGTTCTGGGGTGCCGGGAGCAGCTCCCGGGGGCTCCGCGCCAGGAGCCCGAGCGGGGCCCGGCCCGGCCTCGGCAGCCCCCGGTCCCCCCGAACCCCCCGAACCCCCCGGTCGGCCCCGGTCCCGCTGTCCCGCCCGGCCCCCCCCCGGTACCTCGGGCCCGGCCGGTGCCGCTCCCCGCTCCGCCGCCGCCACACCCACACTTCCCATTGGCCAGCACCGCCGCGCGGCCCCGCCCCTCACCGCTCTGATTGGGCACCACGCATGGAAAGCGCGTTGCTATTGCGCCGCGCCGCTGTCAATCACGAGGTTAATCCCACCCACCTAACGACGCTCCGGACTGGCCGCCGCCGGCGGCGCTGATTGGCTGAGCGCACGCGTCGCCCACGTGGGGCAGCGCGCGGGGGGCGGGGCCGCGCGCGATGTAAATAACACCGAGAGCCCCGCCCCCCTCCCGGGATGGAGAATGATTGACAGGCGGTTCCGCCAATGGGAGGAAGCGTAACAAATCCGCTCCTGCGTGGGGGCGCGTTGGTAGAAGCGCGGTGATTGGGTGGAAGATGTAAACACGGGGAGGGGGCGGGGCTGCGCGTGGTTATGGAAGGGGGGGGCCCAAATTTTGGGGGGGGGGGTCCAAATTTGGGGGTGGGGGGACACCGTGAAGGGGGACTCGGCCCCGCACCCCAAATTTGGGTCAGGAATGGGGGGGGATCCAGCCCTGCACCCCCAAATTGGGGCCAGAAACGAAAGGGGGGCCCCGCATCCCAAATTTGGGGTCAAAAACGAGGGACATCCATCCCTGAACCCCAAAATTTGGGTCAAGAACAGGGGGGTTTTCCCCAGCCCTGCACCCCAAAATTGGGGTCCAGAAAAAGGGGGGCCCCGCACCCCAAAATTTGGGGTCGGGAACGGGGGGAGACCCAGCCCCGCACCCCAAAACTGGGGTCAGGAACGAGGGGGGGCCCTGAAGTTTTGGGGTCAGGAACAGGGGGGGATCCAGCCCCGCACCCCCAAAATTTGGGGTCGGGAACAGGGGGGGATCCAGCCCCGCACCCCAAAATTGGGGTCAGGAACGGGGGGGGGGGATCCCCAGCCCCGCACCCCCAAAATTTGGGTCAAGAACGGGGGGGGGGATTTAATCCCCTCAACCCCAAAATTTGGGATCAGGAACAGTGGAGGGGGTTTCTCCAACCCTGCACCCCAAAATTTGGGTGAGGAACTGGGGGGGGTTCCCCGCACCCCAAATTGAGCAGGGGAGGGGGGACCCCAAATTTTGCTGCCACCTCCAAGTGGCCCCCCCCCCCAAACCCCAAACCCCACAACGGGGAGCGCCCCTAAAGTTGGTTTTTGGGGGTCTCGCACTTTTGGGGTGACCGCGGGGGGGGATTCCCTCAACCCCGCACCCCAATAACCACGAGACCCAATTTTGGGGGTGTCCCCTCCCCAAAATCCCCCCCGCGGGTGCCCCAGCGCCGCCTCCCCGCGGTGACGATCCCAAAAGCGCGATCCCAAAAGCGCGATCCCAAAATCCCGACCCCGATCCCGCCATGCCGGGGGGTGGCGGCGCCTCCTCCGCGCCCCCCAAAATTCGGGGTCCCCCCACGACCCCCCCGGACCCCCTGGGACGGTGAGTGAACCCCAATTTCATCCTCAGGGGGGTCCCCAAATTCTCCCCGCGCGCTTTGGGGCGGGTTTGGGGCGGGTTTGGGGCGGGTTTGGGGTTTTGGCAGCTTCAGGCGGTCCCGGATTTTGGGGATCCCCGAATTTTGGGATCCCGGATTTTGGGAATTCTGAATTTTGGGAATCCCGAGTTTGGGAATTATGAATTTTGGGAACCCCGAATTTAGGGAATCCAGATTTTGGGGAACCCCGAATTTTGAGGATCCCAATTTTGGGGATCCCGAATTTTGGGAACCCCGAATTTTGGGTAATCCGATTTTGGGGATCCCCGAATTTTGGGAATTCTGAATTTTGGGTATCCCCGGATTTTCGGAACCCCGGATTTTGGGAATCCCGAATTTTGGGGATTTCCGAATTTTGAGGATCCGTGGATTTTGGGAATCCCGATTTTGGGGAAACACGAATTTTGAGGATCCTAATTTTGGGGATTCCCGAATTTTGGGAATTCCGGATTTTGGGGATCCCGATTTTGGGGAAACCCGAATTTTGAGGATCCTAATTTTGGGGATCCCCGGATTTGGGGGATCCCAGATTTTGGGAACCCCGATTTTAGGAATCCAGATTTTGGGAACCCCGGTTTTTGGGAATTCTGAATTTTGAGGATCTCGAATTTTGGGGATCCCCGAATTTTGAGGATCCCCGGATTTTCGGAATTCTGAATTTTGAGGATCCCAATTTTGGGGATCCCGGATTTTGGGAACCCCAGATTTTGGGAATTCTGAATTTTGGGAACCCCGAATTTTGAGGATCCCGGATTTTGGGAACCCCGAATTTCGGGAATCCCCGAATTTTCGGAACCCCGAACTTTGGGGATTTCCGAATTTTGAGGATTCCAAACTTCGGCAACCCCGAATTTTGGGGACCCCCGAATTTTCGGGATCCCGAATTTTGGGAATCCCGATTTTGGGAAGCCCCGAATTTTGGGGATCCCGGGAGGACCCCATGGAAAAAAGAGGGAGCCAAAATGTCCCCCCGGCCCTGGGGTGACCCCAAAACCGTTCCTGCTCCGGGCTGGGGTTTTTGGGGTGGGGGACGCAGTTTTGGGGTCTCCTGGACTCCCTGGACACCCTATGGACAGTTTTGGGGTGCAGGGAGCGCTTTTGGGGTGCGGGGATCGGTTTTGGGGTGCGGGGATCGGTTTACGGGCTCCGGATGCAGTTTTGGGGCTCCGGGCACAGTTTTGGAGTGCGGGGAACAGTTTTGGGGTGCGGGGATCGGTTTTGGGGCCCCGTGCGCAGTTTTGGGGTGCGGGGATCGGTTTTGGGGTGCGGGGAACAGTTTTGGGGTGGGGGGCGCAGTTTTGGGGTCTCCTGGACTCCCTGGACACCCCATGGGCAGTTTTGGGGTGCAGGGAGCACTTTTGGGGTGCGGGGATCGGTTTTGAGGCTCCGGGCGCAGTTTTGGGGTGCCGAGATCGGTTTTGGGGTGCGGGGATCGGTTTTGGGGCCCCATGCGCAGTTTTGGGCTGCGGGGAACAGTTTTGGGGTGCGGGGATCGGTTTTGGGGTGCCGGCATCGCTTTTGGGGTGCGGGGAACAGTTTTGGGGCCCGTGCGCAGTTTTGGGGTGCGGGGATCGGTTTTGGGGCTCCAGACGCAGTTTTGGGGCCCCGTGGGCAGTTTTGGGGTGCGGGGATCGGTTTTGGGGTGCGGGGATCGGTTTTGGGGCTCCGGGCGCAGTTTTGGGGTGCGGGGATCGGTTTTGGGGTGCGGGGATCGGTTTTGGGGCTCCGGGCGCAGTTTTGGGGTCACCCCGAGGAGCTTTTGGGGTTTGTCCCCTCCCCACGTGCGGGGTCCGGCCCCCCCAGTGTGGGGCGGGATGTCCCCGGTGTCCCCGCGGGGTGGGGACAATCCCGCCGGGGCTTGGGGACAAAGGGGGGGGGAGGGAGGGCGGTGTCCCCAAGGCCAGCAGTGTCCCCAAGGGCCAGGAGTGTCCCCAAGGGCTAAGAGTGTCCCCAAGGCCAGCAGTGTCCCCAAGGGCCAGCAGTGTCCCCAAGGCCAGTGGTGTCCCCAGCAGTGTCCCCAAGGGTCGTTTCTGTCCCCAAGGCCAGCAGTGTCCCCAAGGGCCAGCAGTGTCCCCAGCAGTGTCCCCAAGGCCAGTGGTGTCCCCAGCAATGTCCCCAAGGCCAGCTTTTGTCCCCAGCAGTGTCCCCAAGGGCCAGGAGTGTCCCCAGCAGTGTCCCCAACGGCTAAGAGTGTCCCCAAGGCCAGTGGTGTCCCCAGCATTGTCCCCAAGGGCCATTTCTGTCCCCAAGGCCAGCGGTGTCCCCAAGGGCTAGCAGTGTTCCCACCAGTGTCCCCAAGGGCCAGGAGTGTCCCCAAGACCAGTGGTGTCCCCAGCACTGTCCCCAAGGGTTGTTTCTGCCCCCAAGGCCAGCAGTGTCCCCAGCAGTGTCCCCAAGGGCCAGGAGTGTCCCCAGACCAGGGGTGTCCCCAAGGCCAGTGGTGTCCCCAGCAGTGTCCCCAGCAGTGTCCCCAGCAGTGTCCCCAAGGGCCGTTTCTGTCCCCAAGGCCAGCACTGTCCCCAGCAGTGTCCCCAAGGGCCAGGAGTGTCCCCAAGACCAGCGGTGTCCCCAGTACTGTCCCCAAGGCCATCAGTGTCCCCAGCACTGTCCCCAGCAGTGTCCCCAGCAGTGTCCCCAAGGGCCAGCAGTGTCATCAGCAGTGTCCCCAAGGGCCAGCAGTGTCCCCAGCACTGTCCCCAGCAGTGTCCCCAGCAGTGTCCCCAGCAGTGTCCCCAAGGGCCATTTCTGTCCCCGCCCCTCAGCCGCGCTAATCCCAAACCGCGGGGACAAACACCACAAAGTGTCCCCAGGCAGCGGCAGGTGACAATCCCCGTGTCACCGGCACCGGGCCACCCAGAAGGCGACACCTCGGGGACAAAGTGCCACCCCACCCCCCCGAGGCACCCGCGGGCTCCTTGTATGGTTGGGGACAGCGGTGTCACCGCAAGGGACAGAAATAGCGCGGGGGACGCTGAGGGGACAAGGGGGTGGCACCTCGGGGTGACAGGGGGCTGGGGACACTCCGGGGGGGCTGCGGTGGCACTTGGGGACAAATGTCCTGTGGGGTTTGGGGGGACAGGAGGGGACAGGGGGGGACAGGAGGGGACAGGAGGGGACCGAGGTCACCGAGGGCCACCGAGCCGGGCCGGGAATGTCGCATGGACACGCGGCCGGCGGTGACAGGAATGTCACACAAATGTCACCCAGCGGCTGGGCTGGCACCGCACGTGGGCACGGCCACGGGGACAGCGACAGCGGCTGGTGTCCCCAACAGGGACACGGGGCTGGTGTCCCCAACAGGGACACGGGGGTGGCTGTCCCCTGTCCCCTGTCCTGTCCCCAGCGGTGACACGGGGGTGGCTGTCCCCTGTCCCCTGTCCTGTCCCCAGCGGTGACACGGGGGTGGCTGTCCCCTGTCCCCTCTGTGTCCCCAGCGGTGACACGGGGGTGGCTGTCCCCTGTCCCTGTCCCCAGCGGTGACACGGGGGTGGCTGTCCCCTGTCCCCTCTGTGTCCCCAGCAGTGACACGGGGGTGGCTGTCCCCTCTGTGTCCCCAGCGGTGACACGGGGGTGGCTGTCCCCTGTCCCCAGAGGTGACACGGGGGTGGCTGTCCCCTCTCTGTCCCCAACAGTGACACGGGGGTGGCTGTCCCCTGTCCCCAGCGGTGACACGGGGGTGGCTGTCCCTTCTCTGTCCCCTCTGTGTCCCCTCTCTGTCCCCTCTCTGTCCCCGCCCCGGCGCCACTGTCGCGCAGCGCTGTCCCCTCGGGCCGGTGTCCCCATCTGCTGTCACACCTTGGGGACATCGCTGAGAGCACCGCGACCCCCGGAGCCACCTGAGGAGTCAATAATGACTTAATGACTTAATTACTTAATGACTTCTTAATTGGGGCCAGCAGCTGCCAGAGCCTCCAGCGCCACCACTACCCCGAGGCCACCGCGTGTCCCCAAGTGCCACCGAGCCCCAGGGACGGGGACCCGCCCGGCGGGGCTGGAAAAGCTTTTCCAGGCGGAGAATTCCCAAATTCCCGCCCCAACCCCCCAAAATCCCTTTTTTTTTTGCTGGTTGCACCCCAAAATCTTCTCCTCACCCCCAAATTCAGCTGGGAATTGGATGCAGGAATTTTGGGATTCTCCCTTTTTTGGGAAAATCCAGCCCCACTGGGCTGTGGGAACCCAAAATTCCACCTTCCAGGAGCTCCAAAATTCCCTCAGAATTCCCTGGAAAAGGGGTGTGGGATGGGGCGGGGCCGGTGCCATCCCTGCTGTGGGATTTGGGGAAATTCAAGGGAATTTTAAGGAAATTTCTAGGGGATTTCATGGGAATTTTAAGGAAATTTCAAGGGAATTTCAAGGGGGATTTCAAGGGAATTTTAAGGAAATTTTAAGGGAATTTCAAGGGGGATTTAAAGGGGATTTCAAGGGAATTTTAAGGAAATTTCAAGGGAATTTCAAGGGAAATTTCAAGGGGGATTTCAAGGGAACTTCAAGGGAATTTCAAAGGAATTTCAAGGGAACTTCAAGGGAAATTTCAAGGGAATTTTAAGGGGATTTTAAGGAAATTTCAAGGGAACTTCAAGGGAATTTCAAGGGATTTTCAAGGGAATTTCAAGGGAATTTCAGGGGAACTTCAGGCACTCTGAGCATTCCCTGGAATTTTCCCTTCTCCAGGGGAACATTCCCAGTTTTCCCAGCCTGGCTCCAGAATCCTGGAATAGTTTGGAAAGGATTTTAAATCCCAACAATTCCACCCCATCCACAGACAGGGACAATTCCCACTATCTCAGGTCGCTCCAATTCCTTTCCTTGGTCGTTCCAAGGATGGAAAATCCATCCCAATAATCCTCATGGATGTCAGTGCCTCAGATACGTAATGTTTTTGGTTTTTTTTTCTGGAATTACTTGGGAAATTGTATTTCCATAAGGCCCAGAACACCTTGAAGAGAAATTTGGAATAAATCCACGTTGCTGCTGAGGGAGGCCGAGCTGCAAACCCAACCTCAGGCTGGAATTGCTCTATTTAAACCCAATTTTAACCCAAACCAACAACTCCCAACAGCCAGATCCCATTTTTTTTCCACGTAAAAACGCTGAATTTATGGATTGAACGCCTGAATAAGGATGAGATGAAGGTTTTAAGTGTTAATTAGTTAATCAGCTGCCGGTCCCTCACGGCAGCAGGGCGGGAAGCGCTGTGCTACACACAGCAACGCAACGAGGGCACCGCAAGGAGCAGGCTCGATAACTGAGGGCAGAACACGCTGCCCTCAAATAACATTGTTATTATTTACAAAAAAAACCCCAAAAAAACAACCACAGAAGCGCCAAAAACGGCAATAAAAGGCCGAAAGCGGAGAAGCGAACCCCGCGGACGCCAGCGCCGCTCTGAGGCAGCGCGCGCTGCCGCCGCCTTTTTATAGCGGGGGGGGCGCGGGGGGCGGGGCTTCGCTTTGCACACGGCCGCGCGCGCCATAACCCGCGCTGCCGCTGCCCCCGCGCATGCGCAGAGCGCCCAGCGTCCTTCCGTGCCCGCCGCTCCCGGCGCTCTCCCCCCGCTGCTTTTGGGGCGCTTTCCCCACTTTTAGGGTTTTTTTTCCCCGCTTTTAGGGTTCTCTGGTTCTCTCCCCGCTTTTAGGGCTTCATCCCGGCTGTCCCGGCGGCGGGGGACGCGGGGAAAGCGGCGGTGCCGAGGTAGGAGGCGAGCGGCGGCCGCCCCCCCCCCCCCCCCCCGAGGGGGACGCGTGTAATGGCGGCGGTGGGGGGGGGGGGTGTGAGGGGCCCTCATGAGGAGCTTGGGGCTGTGGGGATTTATTATTAATTTTTTTAATCCTTTCTCCTTTATTCCTTTCCTTTGTTGTCCCTTTTGTCGTTAATCTGTGATTCTTTTTTTTTTCGGCACGCGGATAAAGCCGCCCCGTAAGCAGAGAGCTGCAGCGCAGCCCCGCAAGGGATTGGCCGCGTTTTATACACATTTTATACGCATTTTATACACATTTTATATAAATTTTATACTCGGATCTAAATATGGGTTTTTAGCTATTTTAGATAATTCAATCCCGGCTTTACGCTGTTTCAACCCTGGTCCTCCTTCCATTTCCCTGTACGTCAAACAACACTCAAAGCCTTCATTTAATCCTCACTCAAGCCTCTAAATCCATAAATTCAATATTTTTACCTTAAAACGGTTGGGATATGGGTGTTGGGAGTTGTGGTTTTGGGTTAAATTAAAATTGATTCTAAATAGAGCAATGCCAGGTTGGGTTTGCACCTCAGCACCTGGACGTGACCTCAGGCACCTCCTCGTGGTTGGGGGTTAAAAAAGTGGATTTCCCCTTTTTTTTTTGTGTTTTAAAACGCGAATAATTGAGCAGAATTGGGTAAAATACCCGAAGAAAAATGATTTTTAGGGAAGGTTGAGTGTTGTAGCTCTGTAGCATCACGTGGTTTGCAGGAACTTCCTCTTTCGGGGGATTTAACCTTTTTTAAAATGCAATTTAAGCATGGGCTCCTTGGATATTTTTCGTGTTATTTGAAACCAGAAATGCAATGAACGTTGTTACTTTAATTTTTTTTAAAAATCTCTTTATAGGGTAAACTCTAAGAGTTTTTACATAAAACTTAATAGTTTTTTTTTACTCAGAATCCAAACCAACCCCCCAAAATCTCATTCCAGCCCAGAATTGATGTTTAAATGTTGTGGGTTTGGGGTTTTTGGCTTCTTTCTCTGCTTTCCCGGACATCTAAAACCTTAAATCAGCTGCTGGGAAGATCAGAGAGGGTGGATCTGACATGAGCTCATGATTTTCTTTGGGATAAGACATTCTCCAAGGAAAAGGAGTATCCTGAATTTCATTTTTAATTTCTTTTTCCTTGTTTAAATCTGCCTCTGGGGTGTGGGGATAGAAGGGACAAGCCCAGCCTCTTCTTCCCCAAATTCTGCTGAAATTGAGAATATTTATCCAAAGGTGGGGTTTTCCAAAGGCTTCCAAAGCCTGGAGATCTTCTCTTCCTTCTTTTTCCTTCCCTAATTTTTGGGGTTGTTTTTGCTGCCAGACAAGGAGCTCATCCGGGTGTTTCCCTTTTATCTTTCACTTTTGGAGGTAAATAAAACCTATTTTCCTACTTCCTTGCCATCAGTTAAATATTCTGCATGGAATCTGGGCTTTTTTGGGGGGAATTTTAGGCAGGAATGTTGGTGATGGTGTCAGGGACTTGTTGCCTGTGTTTAAATAGATTTATCAAACTTCATGCTGCTCTGAAAGTGGAATTTGAGGAAGATTCCTGGTGTTAAAATACCCAATTTTGGTCCTGTTTCAGGAATTCCTGGCTGAAAGGCGTGTCCTGGTTTTGGCTTTTTTTTTTTTTTTCTTTTTTTGGTTCTGGATAAAAACCTCCTGCCCCAAAGCCTGGGATGGGGCAGAAATTTGGGAATATTCCAGTAGATTCCATGCTGGTGTTGATGTTTTGCTCAGGTAGGGATGGAATTCACTTTTGCTGGCAGTTTTGTTTGGGATTTGGGAGCTGAGTTTGGCTTTCCCTGGACTGGGAATTGGCTTGGAGTGGCTGAAGGGATACTCCAAAATGTCCTTTTCCATAGGAAAACTGGGATGGAGGAGTGGGAAAATGGGAGTTTGGCTTTCAGGAGGAATAATTTTCTTTGGGTTTTGGGTCCCTTTTTCCCCCATGGTTTTATCTCATCCCAGGAATTTTCTTACTCAAGTGTTTTCTTTCCCATCCTGGTCCTTTTTTTAGGATCTGCTTTCATTCAGGCTTTACAATTCCAGCTCAGCCTTTTGCTGTTCTCTTTTTCTTGGGAAATCCAAATTTCCGGGCTGGGATTTGTCCTCTTCCCATTATCCAGGTGCTCCAGGACCATTCCCATTCTGCCTTCCTCTTCCTCCTCATCCTCCAGACCACATCCTGATCCCTTGTATGTCCTGGTGTGGCTGGAACGTTCCCAGTGATCCTGGCTCTTGGAATTCCAAATCCACCGATCCCAGTCGATATCCTGCTGGATCTGGAGCTGGGAGGATTTTGCTTGGAGTTGCTTTTACTTCTAAAATCTTGGGAATTTTTGCCTGAGTGGGCAGGTGATCCTGCTGGAATTGCAGAACTTGGAATGCCAGACCTCCTGGAATGCCAGACCACCTGGAATGCCAGACCACCCGGATCTGTTGTGCTCTTCTAGATTTGGGCCGTGCCGGAGGAGCTGGAAGATCCCGGGATGGAGGGATAATAAGGATGGACACCACGGATAACCCGGGAAATCCAGGAGCTCCTGCTGGAACCGGGATGTCCCCTCCAGGTGGGGTTGTGCTGGCAAGGGGAAGTCTGGAGGTGACAAAAATCCCAGAGATCCAGATGGTGGTGAAGTGCCCAGAGCCATCCGGAATCACGGGAAGGAATTCCCAAATGCAGGAAAAGGGCTGGGAATGCCCTATCCAAGTCCTGATCTTGATGAGAGAACATCTGGGCTGCTGTGGATGAGGAATTCTCCAGCACCCTCTGGATGCCATTGTGGTGTTGAAGGAGGAGGAAAATTCAGGACTTTCCAAAATATTCCAAGATTTTGCCATCAAACAAAGGAAGAGCAGGGAATCTCCAAAGGAGATGCAGGTCTTGGGACTGGACACGGTCAGATCCGTGGGGATGTGGTCAGTTCTGGAAAAGCTCTTGGAAAGGCACAGCAGCTTTGCTTCCAGCTTTGTTTATCTGCTCTGGGCTTAGCACAGAGCCAGAAAATTCCATGCTATTTATAGGGAAAAATCAGGAAATTCTCCTTTTGGAATTTCCTTTTGGATGAATCTTCTCTGTAACGGGAGAAATTCACTTCTGCCTTCTCCTGAGGTTCCCGGAGAAAAAGAGGCTCCAGAGGAACCTTGTGGTTCTCCACAACTCCCTGACAGGGAGGAGGATTTAGGATCTGATCCCAGGGAATAACAGGAAAAGAGGGAAGAGGCTCAGGTTGGACACCATCAGGAATTTCCTCATGGAAAGGGTGGTCAAGCCTTGGAAGCACCCAGGGAGGTTTGGAATCCCCATCCCTGGAGGTGTCCAAGGAATTCCTGGATGTGGCACTGAGTGCCAGGGTGGGCATCGGGCACAGCTTGAAGTGGATGATCCCAAAGGTGTTTTCCAGCTGGAATAATTCCAGGATTCTGTGCTGTTGCAGTTTCCTTGCCCTTTTCCTCCGTGCAGGAATTCTTGCTCTGGATCTGTCTCTTTCTGCAGGGCAACCCTGTGCAGGCACTGCAAACACCAGGGAGGGCTTAAAATCCAGAACTTTCCATTTCTCCATCCGGATTGGGAAGCCTGGAAAAATGGAGGGAGGAGGTTGAAGGGAAAGCAAGGAAGGCGTCGTTCGGCTTTTGAGTTGTGCTCTGAAGTTCTGGGATTGCCATTCCCAGGGGTCAGCTGGGAATGTTCTCCTGGAGAAGGGGAAGCTCCAGGGAGAGCTCAGAGCCCCTTCCGGGGCTTAAAGTGGCTCCAGGAGAGCTGGAGGGGGACTGGGGACATGAGGGATGGAGGGACAGGACACAGGGAATGGCCTCAAATGGGAAAAAGGAGATTTGGGTGGGATCTTGGGAAGGAATTCCTGGCTGGGAGGGTGGGGAGAGGCTGGGCTGGAATTCCCAGATTTGCTGTGGCTGCCCCTGGATCCCTGGCAGTGCCCAAGGCCAGTTTGGATGTTGGGGCTTGGAGCAGCCTGGGGTGGTGGAAGTATCCCTGATCTGGGGTGGGATTGGGTGGGATTTGAGCACTTTTCCCACCCAAACCATTCCATGATTCCGCCCGATTTCCGTTCGGTGTCGCCGCAGCCCCAGCTCGGAGCCTGGTCCCTGCTGTGGTGTCCCTGTCCCAGCAGCGGCGCTTCCCAGGCTCCAACACTTCCCAAACAAAGCTGCCTGGAAGAGGAAGGTGAGGCTCTCCCTGATATCTCCAGAACATTGTTTCCTCCATCTTGGCATTTCTTTAGAAGCATTTCCAGCATTTCCTTTGGAAAGGTCACTCAAGAGATCCATGTCCACAGCCCTTCCTGGAATCCTGGACTGTTTTGGGTGGGAAGGGACCTCCAGTCCCATCCAATGCCACCCCCTGCCATGGATGGGGACATTTTCCATAAACCAGGTTGCTCCAAGTCTTTCCCAGCCTGGATCCCATCCCTGGCCAGGCTGACGAGCTGGGGTTTGCAGAGGTGAGTTGTTATTCCCGATCCCACTGCGGGAGCTTCCCTGCTCCCAGGTGTCCACGTGAGATGCAGCACCTGGAAATACCTGGAGAGGTAAAAACTCATCCTGTGGGAATTCTGGTTTTGTGTCTCCTTTGGGAGATTCCTGATCCGTGGAATTAAGGTTGGTGGTGTTTCAGATTTCCTCTGCTGATCCATTCGTGGTTGTCCTGGTGATGGGTGGCTTTGACAGTGTTCCTTCTCCAAGTGCTTCCCACAGGGATGGGCTTAGAGGGAATTTTTGTCCTCCAGTGCTGGGAGTTCTGGAGAAAACCCAAATGGAAAGGCAGGAGGTGGCTTGGGGAATGTTGGTTCACATTTGTTTGGAAACCCTCTGGAACAAACTTGGCTTCACATGCAGCTCCTGTTGAAATCCAATTTAATTTATGGAGGGAGGAGGAATATTGGGTGAGAGGCTGGAATTTTGGGAATGCTGACTGGTGGGAATCTGGTTATTGTTTGCTTGGAGAGGATTAATAGGATTCGTGTTTCTCCTGGGCCTGAGGAGTTTGTAAATGATTCCTCAAAAGAACTCACACCCAGATGGGAACAAACTCCGGGAATTGTGCTGGAAAATCCTCCTCTCCTGCACCCGTGTTTGGTCATTCCCTGTAAGGTTTATTCCTCGAGCTGTGATCTCAGTGTGAACCTCTGCTCGTGGAAAAACTTCAGCTGGAGTCAGCTTGGAAAACAAAACCCCGTGACGGCATCGGCGATGGTGAGACAAGAACCTCGGCGCCGCAGGAAGTCGGCACAGAACTTTGGGAACGGCCGGGAAAACTCCTGGAAAACCTCGTGTGTGGCTGCAAGAAGAATCCAGTTCCAGGAGCCAACAGATGGACAAGGGGGGAAATGAGGAATTCTCGGGTTTGGAGTTTTCCCGGTTTGGGCTGGGACGGGGTTGGGAGTTTTTCCAGCTGCTGCTCCAGCAGTGCCGTATTCGGGGTTGGGAACGGGGACGGAGCTGGGGATGCACTGATGTTGTGGCTGCTGCTTTGTCCTCGCTCTAAATCCAGAATTCCCGGTGTCCTCGCTCGGTCCCGAGGAGCTGCACAAGGACTTTGCTGCTCTTTGATGTTTTACTGATCTCAGTCTCCATCCCTGAGCTGCTTGGACGGGGCTTGGAGCACCCTGGGATAACGGGAGGTGTGGAATGGCAGGGGGTGGAATGGGATGGGCTTTAAGCCCTGTGTGATTCTTTCTCCAGAACTCTGTGGTGTTTCATTTTCCTCTCCCTGTATTTGTGCCTTCTTTTCCCACCTCACAGCACAGAATTCTCAGTGATTTCACCCCAACCAAGCCCTGCTTCCCTTGACCACGGTGCTTTTTGTGTGGAGATCTATTTTTTTGTTGTTGTTCCTGTACGATTTTACTCCTCTCTGTTTCAAACCCTTTCCACTTAAGCTCTTGGAGAGATTGGATATTTTCTACCCACAGAATTCCAGCCTCGTCCCACCCTGTGAATTCTTGCAGGGTTTGCTCTTCACCCATGAGAGCGCTCATGGGAGTGTCCTCCTGGAAACTGCTCCGGCCTCGGCTCGGCTCCACCCAGTTGGAACTGGTTGGAGTTCTCCACCTAAATGGTTCCACTTCCAACTCATCCCTCGTCACCCTTCCGACAGAGGGGTTTCATGATTTGCCTTACTGCTCCTGAAATTATTAATTGAGTATTTAATTGTAATTAAACCCAAACTGTTGTCACAAAGAAGTGAAATGCCAGGTTTTAAGCAATGCTGTTGTAAGTGTCACCACTGGTTGTGTTCCCTGTGACATCCAACTTGTTGGGTTAAGCTTGTTAATTACCTGTTTAATTGATTAATCACATGTTCTCTATATTTAAGATTTTAACAGCGAAAGAAAACATATTTTTGTGAATTTTGAGTGCTTTAAACTGTGGCGCAAATCCCGCTTCTGTGCCTTGGGTTGCTTTTCTCCCCGTCCTAGAAGCTGCTGTGAGCAGATGCCAAAGATGACCCATCTAATCCTTGTCTTTTAACTTGCAGCTTTGTGTTGTTCTTGGAAAGTTTCGCACCACTTGTGAATTCCCTGAACCTTGGCCTTGCCAGCCCCCTTGTGTTGGGCCCTCCTCCTTTTCAGCTTGCCCAAATTAAGACCCACTTGGCTCTCCAGCACTTGGCTGCCAGCGGCGGGCGGGCACCTCCCCATGCTGGCGCCCGCCAGGCATTGCTGAAAGACGCAATGTTTAGCCCCAGAGGAACCTTGCCCCCGAGGCCCAGAGGACCCAACCCGTCAGGCACCAAACCCCCGGCAGCTTTCAGGGCCGGAGGCGCGGCGGGGCCGCCCAGGAAAGCCGCGCCCGCGACGCCCCAAGGAGCGCCCCAAAGATTATCGGGGCAGGACGCGCTGCAGTGGACGGGTTCGCAGAGGATCAACGTCCGCGTCACGCTGCACAGGGCCGATCCCAGGAAAGTCAAGGAGAAGACCGGCCTGCACCAGGAGCAGAAGGGAGACCTCCGTGCCACTCGCTGGGATGGCGGCCCCTGCCCCGCTGGCACCGCCGGGCCGAAGCCGCCCGGACCGGTGCCGCTTTTGGAGCAGAGTTCCAACCCCCAGAACCGCTACACGCCCGAAAGCGCCTCCAGCATTTTAGCGAGCTTCGGGCTGTCCAACGAAGACCTGGAGGAGCTGAGCCGCTACCCCGATGACCAGCTGACGCCCGAGAACATGCCGCGGATCCTGCGGGAGATCCGCATCCGGAAGATGGGCCACACCGTGCCCGGCCTGCACGCTCCCAGCCGGGGGGAGGAGCCGGCGGGCGAGAGCAGCGGCGCCGCCGTCAAGGGCAAAGTGATCGACTACGGCCACGCCAGCAAGTACGGCTACACCGAGGACCCGCTGGAGATCCGCACCTACACCCCCGAGGCGCTGCCCGAGGAGCCGCTGGAAGCGCGCGTCTACACTCCCGAAAGTTTGAGCGCGGAGAACCGGGAAGAATTCCAGCGGGAGCAGAGCGTGCCGGTGGCCGTCCCGCCGCCCAACGTGCCGTGCAACCCCGTGTTCCCGGCCGAAGACCTCATCAAGCTGCCGGCCTTCCCCACCGACTCCTCGCCCGCTCCGACGTTTTTCCCAGCCGAGCCGCCGGCCAAGGTGCAGGTGCTGTGCAGCGCCGTGCCTGCCGCGCTGCCGGTGGTGAAGCCGGTGTCCCAGCCGCCCGTGCCGCCGGTGCTGCCGCCCATCCTGCCGGCGCTGCTGCCCACGCCGCTGCCGCAGCCCATGCTGCCCCCGGTGATACCGCCGCTGGTCCAGCCGCCCGTGTCCCAGCACGTGTTGCCCGCCTTGACGCCGCCGCCCTTCTCGGCCGGGCTCCTGGCCGCCATCAGCCAACACGAGCAGAAGCAGCGCGACACCGGCGGCGCCCATCCCGCGCCCGGCACCTCCGGCGGGGCCTCGGCGGGACACAAACCCTTCCACAAACCCTTCCACCCGCCGGCACAGGAGCCCATCAAATCCCCGTTCGGGGTGGTGAAGGCGTCCTGGCTGCCTGTGTTCCCGGACCAGAAGAGTAAACGCCTGCCCACCCCGTCCATGATGAACGACTACTATGCCACGTCGCCGCGAATATTCCCACATTTGTGTTCTCTGTGTAACCTTGAATGCACTCATATGAAGGTGAGTGGCTTTCCCAGATTATTCCCTAAACGTGTGTACTCGGCACCTTTTCCTGCTGCTGGTTGTTTTCCCTGGGAATTCCGTGGATTGGGATGCTGGTCGCCAAGTCTGAGTGTTGGGAATGGTGCTAGAAATGATTGTAACGGCGTGTTCTGCTCCCAGTTGCATTTCAGAGTTGCTTTATGTGTTGATTTTTATTTTCTTTAGTGTTGAAGCGATTTCTGTCTTTGCAGTGGGTTTCAAACAACAAAACCTCAAGCAGCGGAGTGAAATATTAATATCATGTGTGGGGGACTCAAATCATGTCTGGGGGTGGCTGAGATGTCTGTGTGTTCATTCCCTCCCCTCCTCCTCCTCCAAAACTCTGCCTGAAAACAAAAGGGCCCATTTAGAACCTGAAATTTCATCTTCCAAATCAGCTCTGTGTGTGACAACGCTGAATATTCCAGAGGATGGCTCGGGGCGACGCGGAAAATGCGTCCATTCATCCTGCTGGGCTTTCGGCCTTGGAGGAAATCACAGTTCCAGCTTTGAATGAAAAAATAAAGGGAGAAAATGGTGGATATTGGGGGATAAAAAATGTTTTGGAAGTTGTGGGTTTTCTTGGAAAAGCCCAAGGTTTGAGGTGTCAGAAATGTGGGAGAACGTGATATGAAAAAAACCCAGAGTAATTAATTAATAATTATTTAATGTGTTTGAATTGCAAAGTGTGGAGAGGATGTGGGGGAGGGATTTTTGTAATTTGGCAAAATCCTGGAGATTTTAGGCTCTGTTTGCTATGAATTAAAAATCTGGCTGAAAATGGGGACGGCTTTGTTAGGGAAAACCAAACAGAAATTCCCAAACCCTTTCCCTCAGGAAGCGCTGAGGGTCATGGAGATGGGCAACTGGAAGTGGGAAGGATGATTTAAAATAAAATTGGGCAAAATTGAACAGGAAAACAAAAGTCGGGGGGTGTTAACAAAGGAAAAAAACAATTTTGGAAAAAGGAATTAATTTAGATGGGAATTCTTCTCTCATTTAAGGAGGGAAATGTCACTAAAAATCTGTTGACAAATCAGCTCTGGCTGAGGGTTTTGGGGTGGATTGAAGGTGGTGAGATCTTGTCCCAGTGGCACTGCGGTGGGATGTGTTCCCAGGAATCCTGATCCTACTGCAGCCTCCCAAATCTGCTCCCTGTCCTTCAGCTCTGGCCCAGATTCGCTTCCTTTGGGAAGCGTTGGGTGTTTGTCTCCCAGGGACACAGGAGACCTCCCAGGTGCAGAAGAACCCGCAAGAGTTTGGGAGCTTTTATCCCAGAAATAAAACTTGGATGGAGAAATGTCCAGCTGGTGCATCCATGAATTGCAGAGATCGACGAATTCCTCTCAGTTCCACCTCTGCAGTTCGGTGAATCCGGTCGGTTTTGGGAGGTTGGAGATGACTTGGACATTCCAGGTTTGTCTTCCCAACCATTCCCCGTCCCGTTGTGGGAGAGCTGGATGGGACCTCAGGTTGGAAGAGCCACCAGATCTGGTGATTCCCAAGGACTTCAGACATTTGATGCTGTCCCACGTAGCCTCGCTGTCCCTGGCCTGGAGAAATGGATTTCACGGATGGAGCGCTCGGGACTGGATGGTGGCACCTAGAGTTGTCACCAGCTCCGTGCCCAGGTGGGACCAGCCGCCCTGGGATTGGGATCGGCGCCGTTCAACGTCTCCGTCGGTGACAAGGACACCGGGATCGGTCACCCTTGGCACGGTGAAGGTGACACCGAGCTCTGCACTGGGATCACACCTGGAGAGGTGGGACCATCCCAACCTCGTGAGGTTCAGCGAGGGCAGGAGTTCCTGGGCAGGACAATCCCGGCGCAGATCCGAGATGGGAAGAGAACGATTGGAGCAGCCCTGGGAGAAGGATTTGGGGTGTCGTGGATGGGAAGCTCCGAACGTTCCTGATGGATTCCTGTGCCCTGGGCTGATCCCGCAGCGTGGGCAGCAGGAAAGGTGGGAATTCTGCCCAGGTGAGACCCCACCTGCAGAGCTCTGGGGCAACGTCAGGAGGACCTGGAGCTGCTGGAGCAAATCCAGAGGTGGCCATGGAGCTGCTCTGGAGCCAGGTTGGGAAAACTGGGAATGTTCTCCTGGAGAAGGGAAAATTCCAGGGAATGCTCAGAGTCCCTGAAGGTGATCTAGGAGAGCTGGAGAGGAACTGGGGACATGAGGGATGGAGGGACAGGACACAGGGAATGGCCTCAAATGGGAAAAAGGAGATTTGGGTGGGATCTTGGCAAGGAATTCCTGGCTGGGAGGGTGGGGAGGGGCTGGGCTGGAATTCCCAGATTTGCTGTGGCTGCCCCTGGATCCCTGGCAGTGCCCAAGGCCAGGTTGGATGGATTTGGATCCACCTGGGATTAGGGAAGGTGGTGGGAATGGGGTGGGATTTAAGGTCCCTTCCAACCCAAACCATTCCAGGATTCCGGGATAACAGGACCCGACATAAGATGAAGATGAAGGTGCCTAACGAGGAAAACATTTTCTATCCCACGTTTGAAGACGTTGAAAACAAAATTCCAGTGATGGATTCCAAATTCAGGCTGTTGGTGCTGAGCACCCTTTTTCCATGGATTTTTCCATGGTTTTTCCATGGATTTTTTTAATCTCTTCTTGGATTAACTCGTTTTGGATCCGACCACGCTGCATTGCCTATGGGAAGAGAATTGAATCAGCCATTGGAATATGAAACCCAGGGGTTCCCACCTGGATATGGAATATTCATCCAAACATCATTAGTCATGCCAAAACTCTGGAAGATGAATTTTCCCTGGAAAAAAATCCTCCTGGATGTTTTTTTTACACATTTGTGATACATTTTAATGTTTTGGTTTTTGGTTGTTTTTTTTTTTTTTTTGGTTCAGAAGGTACAGTTTTGGTATTTCCCACCTGCATCCAGAATTTTTTATGGAAAATGGATTATCTTCATGTTTCAAGCAGGCAGGTCCAAAATGTTGGGAATTTATGGAAAAAATGGTGGAAATTTGTGGAGATTTCCGTGGAAGGTGGGGTTGGGGCAGCACCAGAATTTGATGGATTTGGCCTCATTTTGATTTTGGGCAGGAAGGGATGTGGTGAGAGGTGTGACTCAGATCTTCAGGAATGTTCCTGTGGGATCCTCAGGGTTGGCTCTAAGGAGGTGCAACCACACCAAGGTGGATTTTTGGGCATTAAAATCAGAATTTGAGGCAAAAATTGATGCTTGGGCCAGGTATTCCCAAAAATCTTTGTGTCCTGGATCTTTTTTTAGGCAAAATTCACAGTTCTGCTCTGGGGTAGGCGGAGTCTGGCCCCCTGCTGTTCCCTTTTAATTCTAATTTCCCAAATCCTCAAAATCTCAAAGAATTTTATGGATATTCTATGGAGCAGTTTTGTTTTCCGCTCAGAATCGCGTCCTGTTGGAATAACAAAGCGGAATTTGTGGGATTCCTCCTTCTCCAAACACTTCACCTCTTGGATGGAGCAGATTTCTTGGAATAACAACGATTCCTTCATCCTCACTCCCATCACATCTGGAATGAAGTGGATTTGAAGCATTCCCAGCACGAGGGATGGGATTGATCCTTATTTTTATCCACTTTTGTTCCCTAAATCCATTCAAAGTTGGGGGTGACGCCTCCTTGGACCTCGAATCTGGGAAATCCTTGGACTTTTCAGTTTTCCATGAAGATTTGCACTTGGAATTCCTTTTTTGGACACTTTGCTCCATCACCTTCTGCTTCCAGGATTTCTTGGTGGTGATCCATGAGTGAGAGGAGGGTGGGGATGGAATTAGGGAAGGTGGGAATGGAGGAGTTTGGATGGAATTTTTCCTCTCACTGAGACTTGATGGGAAGGGATCCAGTACTTTTAAGGGATGGATTTCTTTGGATCCCTGGAAAAATCATGGCTGCTCCATCCCTGGAATGTCCAAATCCAGGTTGGATGGGGCTTGGAGCAACTTGGGATCATCTTTAGGTTCCCTTCCTACCCAGCCATTCCATGATGATTCCATGGGCAGTGGAATATTCCCAAAGAGTGGGAAGGGCCAGGAATGAGACAAAAAGGAGAAAAATCCGTAAATCCAGCAGGGTTTGGATTCTGTGGCCAGTGGAATATTCCCAAAGAGTGGGAAAATCCAGGAATGAGACGAAAAGGAGGAGAATTCATAAATCCAGATGGTTTTGGCTGGTGAGGACCTGGCGAGGGGAAGGAGATGCCCAAAAGTCTTGGATCAGCAGCTGGAAGGATTTGGGAGGCAAAACCCCTCCTTTGCACCATGGAATTGGAATTCTGGGAGCCAAATTCCCTCTTGCACCATGGATTTGGAATTCTAGGAGCCAAATTCCCTTTTCATTCGCACCAGATTTTCCTTGAGGAACAGCTTTGGTTTATCCTGGTTAAATTCAAACCTGGAAAAATCCGGATCCTTGGGAATGGGAATTAGGGAAAAGCAGCTTGGAATGCTGAAATTGCTGCTTTATCCTCATGGGAATTATTCCATCATTCTGGTTCTTCAGGTCCATTATTTTATTATAATTATTCCATATTTGGTTGGATTTCATGCTGTAAGAGCAGCCGGAAGTTGATTTTTTTGTTTTTTTCCAAGGATATTTAATAATTATCATTGGTGATGTTCCACTTTGAAGAATTCCAGAGTTTCCAAGAATTTCCAGAGTTTTCCTGCCTCCTTTTTTTTCCCAGATCCCTGTTAAACCCAAATTTAGGGGGTTTTATGTGGAATTAAATCCTGTTTTTATCGGATTTTTTAAACGATAAACGAGTGTGAAAAACATCCCGAGGCTCTGGAGCGACCTTTGAGCTGTGACATGATGGGAACTGAAGATTCCCAGAGCTCCAGGCACGGAAATTCCGGGCTGGGAATGAGATTGGATGTGAAGATGGCACATTTGGAGGGAGCTGGAATTGCTCACGGATGTGACAGCAAATCGTGGATTTCTTCCCTTTCATTCTGATTTTTTTGGAGCAGCCTGTGGTGATCCACGTGCTGCTGCCATCCCCAGCGTGGGGGTGGGTTAATTGATGAATTAATTGATTTAATTAATGGGTTGAATTAATTAATTTAATCAATTCATTGAGTTAATTGATTTAATTGAGGTTTTTGCTCTGGAGCATTGATAATCGGCTTTTAACCTCCTGCCTGAATTCCGTGGAAATTTGACTTTTCCGAGGTAAAAACGGGCTGGGAAGTGGAAATGCAGCCCCGAGGGATGGGGATGATCCCAGACTTTTCCACCTGATCCCGCTTTTCCCAATGTTCCTTTTCCCCCCAGGATTGGATCCTGCACCAGAACAACCCCGCCCACCTCGAGAGCTGCCGCAGGCTGCGCCAACAGTAAGGGACGCGCTGGGGATCCATTGGGAATATCCTGGGGATCCATTGGGAATCCCTTGGGAAACCACTGGGGATCCATTGGGAATATCCTGGGGATCCATTGGGAATCCCTTCGGAAACCACTGGGGATCCATTGGGGAGATGCTGGGAGTCCATTGGGAATCTGGGGATCCACGAGGAATGAATTGGGGATCCACTGGGAACCCATTGGGGATCCATTGGGAATCTGCTGGGGATCCAGTAAAACTCCATTGGGGATCAATTGGGAAATCACTGGGAATGCATTGGAAATCCACCAGGGATCCATTGGGAACCCATTGGGGATCAACTGGGAATCTGTTGGAAATCCAATGGAGATCAACTGGGAACCCATTGGGAAACCACTGGTGATCTTTTGGGAATCCACTTGGAATCTACAGATGATCCACTGGGGATCCCTTGGGGATCTGCTGGGAATGCATTGGAAATGCACTGGGGATCCATTGGGAATCCACTGGGAATGTATTGGAAATCCTCCAGGGATCCATTGGGAACCCATTGAGGATCCACTGGAAATCCATCTGGGATCTACTGGGGATCCATTGTGACTCCCACTGGGAACCTACTGGAGATCCACTGGGGATCCACTGGGAACCCATTGAGAATCTGCTGGGACTCCATTGGGAATCTATGTGGAATCCACTGGGAACCCATTGGGGATCCACTGGGGATCATGGAATGCTGGGGAAGGGCCTTAAATCCCAACAATTCCAACCCCATCCATGGGCAGGGACACCTCCCACCATGCCAGGTGGATCCAACCCCAAAGTCCAGCCTGGCCTTGGACATTCCCAGGGATTCTCTGGGAATTCCATTCCAGCCAGGAATTCCTTGCCAAGATCCCAGCCCAATCTCCCCTTTCCCAGTGGGAGCCATTCCCTGGCTCCTGTCCCTCTGTCCCTTGTCCCCAGTCCCTCTCCAGCTCTCCTGGAGCCCCTTCAGGGACTCTGAGCATTCCCTGGATTTTTCCCTTCTCCAGGGGAACATTCCCACTTTCCCCAGCCTGGCTCCAGAGCAGAATCCTGGATTTTTCCCTAAATCCTATCCATTCCCACCTTCCCTTATCCCAGGTTGCTCCAAGCCCTGCCCAGTCCGGCCTTGGACATTCCCAGGGATTTGGGGCAGCTCCAAATTTCCCTGGATTCTCCCCCCATCCCAATAAAAGCTTTGGGATTTCCAACCTGAATTATCCCAAGATCACAGCTCCCCTTTGGAATCCCTCAGAGTTTTCTCTGGAATTTTCCATTCTCCACTTCCCAGAAGTGGGAATGTTCCAGTGAACATTCCCACTTCTCCCAGAGCCGAGGGATTTCAAAATCCTGGAATGATTTGGGATGGGAAGAACCCTAAATCCCAAATTTAGGGTTGGATGGGAATTGGGATCATTCCCATTATCCCAATTGCCATCCAACCCCTCTTGCATGAACAAAAATCAACATTTGTCACTTTAGGGATCCCAAATGGGAATTTTTATCTGGAAAAATCCCTTTTTCTTTTTTGGGAATTTTGGCTTTTCTGCTGACATTTTTCCCTTTGTCATCGACAGATATCCCGAGTGGAATCCTGAGGCTCACTCCTCCAACAGGTACCTTGTGATTTTAATTCCTTTAATTACTAATTAATTAATTAATTTTAACCAATTCTTTTCCCTAATTTGCCTTCCCCAACCCCTCTCCACGAGGTCATATTTTTGTTATAAAATTTAAGGGCTTTTTATGGGCTTTTGACCCAAATTCCCAGATTTTCTCCAACAGTTTGGGTTGGAGGGACCTTAAATTCCACATATTTTTATCCAGGCATTTTCCAGTTTTATCAATTTTTTTCCAGTTTAATCCAGTTTTTCCATTTCTTCTGTTTTTTCCCATTTTTCCAGTTTATCCAGATTAGTCCAGTTTTGTCCATTTTTTCCAGTTTTATCCAATTTGATTCCATCTTATTAAATTTTTTCCATTTTCCCGTTTTTTTCCCAGTTGTTGCAATTTAATCCACATTGGTCCAATTTAGTCCATTTTTATCCAGTTTAATCCAGTTTTGTCCATTTTTTTTTCCAGTTTTATCCATTTCCCGGTTTAGTCGTATTTTATTTAGTTTTATCCCTTTTATTCCAGTTTAATCCATTATTTTTTCCATTTTTTCCCAGTTTAATCCAGACTTTTTTCAGGTTTTTTTTCCAGTTTAATCCAGTTTTTTTCAGTTTTGTCCATTTTCCCCAGTTTTTTCCATTTTTTCTCATTTCTTCCTTTCCCCAGAAATCTCACATCTCCCTTTTCCTAAATTCTCCTTTTCCTCAAAATCCCATTTCTCCTTTTTCCAAATTCCTGGTTTTCCCAAATCCCCCTTTTCCCAAGAATCTCATTTCCCCTTTTTCCCAAATCCCCCTTTTCCCAGATCCCCATTTCTACCTTTTTCCAGAAATCTCATGTTTCCCCTTTCCCAAATTTCCCTTTTCCTAAATCCCCATTTCTCTCTTTTCCCAAAAATCTCACATCCCCCTTTTCCCCCAGTCCCTATTTTCCCCAATCCCCTTTCCTCAATCCCCCTTTTCCCATATTCTCTTTCCCCAATCCCGTCTCCCCAATCCCATATTCCATTTCGCCAATCCCCATTTCCCCAATCCCATATCCCCTTACCCCAACCCCCTTTCCCCCATTCCTTTTCCCCAATCCCATATTCCCTTTCTCCAATCCTCTTTCCCCTTTCCCCAATCCCATATTCCTTTTCCCCAGTCTCCTTTCCCATTTCCCTGATCCCCTTTCCCCCAATCCCCTTTCCCCAAATCCCCTTTCCCCCAGTTCCCACCCCCTTTCCCCCATATCCCCAATCCCATATCCCCAATTCAATCCCCTTTTCCACGATCCCATTCCCCTATCCCTAATCCCCCTTTCCCCAATCCTACATTCCCTTTCCCCATTCCCCAATCCCCAGTCTCATATACCTGATCCCATATTCCCTTCCCCCAACCCCATATCCCCAAACCCCATATCCCCAACCCCCATATCCCCATTCCCCTTTCCCAATCCCATATTCCCTTTCCCCATTCCCCAATCCCGTTTCCCCAATCCCAATCCTCAACCCCATATCCCATATCCCCAATCCCCATCCCATATCCCCATTCCCCTTTCCCAATCCCATATTCCCTTTCCCCATTCCCCAATCGCATTTCCCCAATCCCAATCCTCAACCCCATATCCCCAATCCCCATCCCATATCCCCATTCTCCTTTCCCAATCCCATATTCCCTTTCCCCATTCCCCAATCCCATATCCCCAATTTCACATTCTGTTTCCCCAACCCCATATCCCATATCCCCAATCCCCATCCCATACCCCCATTCTCCTTTCCTAATCACATATTCCCTTTCCCCATTTCCAAATCCCATATCCCAATCCCCACTCCCCAATCCCATATCCCCAATCCCACATTCTGTTTCCCCAATCCCATATCCCCAATTCCCATCCCATATCCCCATTCTCCTTTCCCAATCGCGTATTCCCTTTCCTCATATCCCAAATCCCATATCCCCAATCCCCACTCCCCAATCCCATATACCCAATCCCATATCCCAAATCCCGTATTACCTTTCCCCTCTCCCCAGTCCCACATTCCCTTTCCCTGACCCCATATCCCCAACCCCATATCCCCATTCCCCATTCCCCAATCCCGTTTCCCCAATCCGAATCCTCAATCCCATATCCCATATCCCCAATCCCCATCCCACATCCCCATTCTCCTTTCCCAATCGCATATTCCCTTTCCCCATATCCCCAATCCCCACTCCCCAATCCCATACCCCAAATCCCGAATTACCTTTCCCCTCTCCCCAGCCCCACATTCCCTTTCCCCGACCCCATATCCCCAACCCCATATCCCCATTCCCCTTTCCCAATCCCATATTCCCTTTCCCCATTCCCCAATCCCGTTTCCCCAATCCCAATCCTCAACCCCATATCCTATATCCCTAATCCCCATTCCATATCCCCATTCTCCTTTCCTAATTGCATATTCCCTTTCCCCATTCCCCAATCCCGATTCCCCTATCCCAATCCTCAACCCCATATCCCATATCCCCATTCTCCTTTCCTAATCACATATTCCCTTTCCCCATTTCCAAATCCCATATCCCCAATCCCCATTCCCCAATCCCACATTCTGTTTCCCCAACTCCAAATCCCATATCCCCAATCCCCACTCCCCAATCCCCACTCCCCAATCCCATACCCCAAATCCCGTATTACCTTTCCCCTCTCCCCAGTCCCACATTCCCTTTCCCCGACCCCATATCCCCCAATCCCATATCCCCATTCCCCCTCTCCCCGGTCCCGTATCTCCCCGTTCCCGTTCCCGTTCCCGTTGCCGCTGTCTGACCGGTGTCGGTGGCCCCGCAGGCACGGCGCGGACCGCAAGGAGAACCGCACGCCGCGCCGCCGCTCGGGTTCGTGCAGCCCGAGCCGCTGGTCCCCGTCCCGCCGCTGCCCCGCGGGCCCCGCGCGCCGCCGCCGCTCCCGGTCCCGCAGCCCCGGGCGGCCCCGGCGGCCGCGCTCCCGCAGCCCGCGGCACCCGCCGCGCCCGCGCTCCCGCTCCCGGCCCCGCTCCCGCAGCCGCTCCCGCTCCCCGCAGCGGCCCCGCGCCGCCCCCCGCGGCAGCCCCCGGCCACGGAGATCGCCCAGCGCCGCCCGCAGGCCCGGCCGCGCCCCGCAAGGTGACTGCCACCGCGGGAACCGGGAACCGGGGCGGGGGAACACCGGGAAATGCGGGAACACCGGGAAATGGGGGGGGCGGGAACCGGGAAATGCGGGAACTGCAGGGAGCGGGAAATGCGGGAACACCGGGAACCGGGAAATGGGGGAACTGCGGGGACCGGGAAATGGGAAACGGGAACTGCGGGAACTGCGGGAACCGGGAAATGGGAACTGGGAAATGGGAACCGGGAAATGGGAAACGGGAATCACGGGAACCGGGAAATGCGGGAACCCCGGGAACTGCAGGGGGCGGGAACCGGGAACTGCAGGAACCCCGGGAAATGCGGGAACCTGGAAATGGGAACCGGGAAATGCAGGAACCCCGGGAAGTACGGGAAACGGGAATCATGGGAACCGGGAAATGGGAACCGGGAACTGCGGGAACCCCGGGAACTGTGGGGGACGGGAAATGCGGGAACTGCGGGAACTGGGAAATGGGACAAGGGAATCACGGAAACCGGGAAATGCGGGAACTGCGGGAGCCGGGAAATGCGGGAACTACGGGAACCGGGAAATGGGAACCGGGAAGTGCAGGAACCCCGGGAAGTACGGGAAACGGGAATCACAGGAACCGGGAAATGCGGGGGGTGGGAACTGCGGGAAGTGCGGGAAATGGGAATTGCGGGAACCACGGGAAATGGGAACCGGGAACTGCAGGAACCAGGAATTGCGGAAATCCCGGGAACCGGGAGGCAGAAATGGGGAACACCGGGAACCCCGGGAACCTGGAAACGTGGGAGGCGCGGGAGAGTCCCAGAGGGAATTTCGGGTATTCAGGAGGGTTCCCCAAGGGAATTTCGGGAATTCAGGAGGATTCCCAATGGTTTTTGTCACCCCCAAAGGGAATTTTGGGAATTCACGAGGATTCCTGGCAGGAATTTTGGGAATTAAGGGGGATTCCCAAAGGGTTCTGTCATGCCCAAAGGGAGTTTTGGGAATGCTCAGTGGGATTCCCAGAGGGAATTTTGGGAATGTTCAGTGGGATTCCCAAAGGGAATTTTGGGAATGCTCAGTGGCATTCCCAAAGGGAATTTTGATAATGCTCAGTGGGATTCCCGATGGGAATTTTGGGAATGCTCAGTGGGATTCCCGATGGGAATTTTGGGAATGCTCAGTGCAATTCCCCATGGGAATTTTGGGAATGTTCTGTGGGATTCCCAGTGGGAATTTTGGGAATGCTCGGTGGGATTCCCAATGGGAATTTTGGGAATGTTCAGTGGGATTCCCGATGGGAATTTTGAGAATGCTCAGTGCAATTCCCAAAGGAATTTTTCTGAATGCTCAGTGCAATTCCCCATGGGAATTTTGGGAATGTTCTGTGGGATTCCCAAAGGAAATTTTGGGAATGCTCAGTGCAATTCCCACTGGGAATTTTGGGAATGTTCTGTGGAAATCCCAATGGTTTTTCACCCATAATTGGAATTTTGGGAATGCTCAGTGCAATTCCCAGTGGGAATTTTGGGAATGCTCCGTGGAAATCCCAAAGGTTTTCCCCCCCAGTGGGAATTTTGGGATTCCCAGGATTTTTTTAGGGATAAATGGAAATAATTTGGGAATTCTCTGACCAATAACCGCCCTGTGGGTTCTCTGCAGCCGTGCAGCAGCCAGGCATTAATTAAGGACTAATTAAATACTAATTAAGGACTAAATAAAGCAGCCCAGGAAGGCTCTAAGCCCGTAAGTACTGCAGGCTCAGAGTCCCAAACAATTCCCAGAAAATTCCCAAATAATTCAAAAAATATTTTAATAATTTTTTTTAAATCCTTTTTTTTTCTGCAAAAAATTCACATTTCCCCAAAACAAAATCCTTTTTTCTCCCAAAATTCCCTCCCAAAATTTCCATATTTCCCAAAAAAAATTCCTGTATTTTTCCCAAAATCGAAAAAAAAAATTTCTTTAATTCCCCAAAAAATTCCATTTTTTTCTTCCAAAATTCCCAATTTTTTTGCCCCAAAAATTCCTAGTTTTTTCTCCTAATATTCCCAGAAAATCTCCCCAAAACTCCCATTTGTTCCCCAAAAAATCCACCCCAAAAATTCCTTTTTGTCCCAAAATCCCCCCAAAAAATCATGTAAAAATTTTTTAAAATCCCCCTAAAAATTCCCATTTTTTCCCCCAAAAATTCCCAGAAAATCCTCCCAAAATCTCCCATTTTTTCCCCTCCCAAAAAATTTATATAAAATTATCTTTTTTTCCCTTCAAACCTCCCAAAAAATTCCCATTTATTAGTCCCAAAAATCCCTCCAAAAATTCCCTTTTTTTTCCCCACCCAGTGTGGGATCCCATTGTTCCCTCCGGCAGCCACAGTCGGGGCCACGCCGTGCTTGTAGCCCCCAAAATCCAAAAGAATTCGCATTTTTTCCCCAAAAGAATTCCCATTTTTCCCTAAAAATTCCCTTTCCCCCCCCAAAAAATCCCATTTTCCCCCATAAATTCTTATTTTTTGCCCAAAATTCCCACTGTTTCCCCACCCAACTGTGGGTCCGGTTGTTCCCTCAGGCAGCCGCAGCTGGGGCCGGGCCACGCTGGAGGCCCCCCAATCCCTAAAAAGTCACATTTTTTCCCAAAAAATTCCCATTTCTCTCAAAAAATTTCCATTTTTTTCTCCCAAAATTCCCATTTTCCCTGAAAAATTCCCATTTTTTTTCCCCTCGAAAACCCCAAAACTCCCATTGTTTCCGCACCCAACAGCCAATTCCGTTGCCGCTGTTCCCTCAGGCAGCCGCAGCCGGGGCCGGGCCGCGCTGGTGGCTCCCAAAATCCAAAAAAATTCGCTTTTTTTACCCAAAAATTTCCCATATTCTCCCCAAAATTCCCATACTTTTCCCAAAAAAATTCCCGAAAACCTTTTTTTCTCCCAAAATTCCCATTGTTTCCGCACACAACCGTGGCTTCCCGTTGTTCCGTCCCCTCGGGCAGCCGGGGCGAGGCCGCGGTGGTGGCCCCCAACATCCAAAAAAATTTGCTTTTTTTACCCAAAAAAATCCCATATTCTCCCCAAAATTCCCATATTTTTCCCCCAAAAAATTCCCGAAAACCTGTTTTTCTCCCAAAATTCCCATTGTTTCTGCACACAACCGTGGCTTGCCGTTGTTCCGTCCCCTCGGGCAGCCGGGGCCGGGCTGCGCTGGTGGCCCCCAACATCCAAAAAAATTCGCTTTTTTTGCCCAAAAAAATCCCATATTCTCCCCAAAATTCCCATATTTTTCCCCAAAAAATTCCCGAAAACCTGTTTTTCTCCCCAAATTCCCATTTTTTCCGCACACAACCGTGGCTTCCCGTTGTTCCGTCCCCTCGGGCAGCCGGGGCCGCGCCGCGCTGGTGGCTCCCAACATCCAAAAAAATTCCCATTTTCCCCCCAAAAAAATTTCAATTTCTCTCAAAAAAAATCCCATTTTCCCTCCAAAATTCCCATTTTTCTCCCAAAATTCCCATTATTTCCGCACACAACCGTGGCTTCTCCTTGTTGCCGCTGTTCCGTCCCCTCGGGCAGCCGGGGCGAGGCCGCGCTGATGGCTCCCAAAATCCAAAACATTCCCATTTCTTCCCCAAAAAATTTCAATTTCTCTCAAAAAAATTCCCATTTTCGCTCCAAAATTCCCATTTTTCGCCCAAAATTCTCATTGTTTCCGCACACAACTGTGGCTTCCCGTTGTCCCCGCTGTTCCTTCCCCTCGGGCAGCCGGGACCGCGCCGCGCTGTAGGCCCCCCCCCCCAACAGAATAAAAAAAAAATTCTCAATTTTTTCCCAAAAAATTCCCAAAATTCCCCCAAAATCCCCCAAAACCTCCCACATTTCCGCCGCCAACCGTGTGTTCCCGCTGGCTGTTCCCGCAGGCAGCCGCAGCCGCAGCCGCAGCCGCAGCCGCAGCCGGGGCCGGGCCGCGCTCGAGGCCGTGGTGCGCTCGCTCGGGCCGCGCTTCCTGGCCGAGTTCCAGCGGCACCGCTGCCTGCAGGGGGCGCTGCCGGAGCCGCCCGCCGCCCGTGCCGCCCGCAAAACCCCAAAACCGACCCCAAAATCCGCCCCAAAAGCCGCCCCGAAAGCCGCCCCGAAAGCCGCCCCGAAAGCCGCACCCAAGGATGGAGCCTCGCAAGCAACGGGAGCGACCCCAAAAACCGACAAGGAGGAGGAGGAGGAGGATGAGGATGAAGCGGCTGGGAAGAGTCAACCCTATAATAGGGTGGGTGTGGGGTTTGGGGGGTTTTGGGAACTTGTAGGGTTTGAGGGGTTTGGGGGTTCCTAGGGTTTGTGGGGTTTGGGGAACATGGAGGGTTTGGGGGAGTTACTGGGCTTTGGGGTTTGTGGGGTTCTGGAGACTTGTGGGATTTGGGGGTTTCTGGGGTTTGGGGTACTTGTGGGGTTTGGGGATTCCTGGGGTTTCTGGGGTTTGGGGTACTTGTGGGGTTTGGGGGAGTTCCTGGAGTTTGTAGGGTTTGGGGATTCTTGGGGTTTGGGGGATTTGTGGGAATTCCTGGGATTTGGGGGAATTCCTGGGGTTTGGGGGGTTTGGGGAATTTGTAGAGTTTGTGGGGTTTGGGGATTCCTGGGGTTTGTGGGAATTCCTGGGGTTTGAGGGGTTTGGGGGAGTTTGGGGATTCTTGGGGTTTCTGGGATTTGGGGTACTTGTGGGGTTTGGGGGAGTTACTGGGCTTTGGGGTTTTTGGGGTTTGGGGAGTCTTGGGGTTTGTGGGTTTTTGGGAATTCCTGGGGTTTGGGGAACTTAGAGGGTTTGGGGATTCCTGGGTTTTTTGGGGTTTGGGGAACTTGTGGGGTTTTGGGGAATTCCTGGAGTTTGTAGGGTTTGGGTATTCTTGGGGTTTGTGGGGTTTGGGGAACTTGGGGGGTTTGGGGGAGTTACTGGGCTTTGGGGTTTGTGGGGTGCTGGAGACTTGTGGGATTTGGGGGTTTCTGGGGTTTGGGGAACTTGGGGGGTTTGGGGGAGTTACTGGGCTTTGGGGTTTGTGGGGTTTGGGGAGTCTTGGGGTTTGTGGGTTTTTGGGAATTCCTGGGGTTTGGGGAAATTATAGGGTTTGGGGATTCCTGGGTTTTTTTGGGTTTGGGGAACTTGTGGGGTTTGTGGGAATTCCTGGGGTTTGAGGGGTTTGGGTATTCTTGGGGTTTGGGGGGTTTGGGGGAATTCCTGGGGTTTGTGGGAATTCCTGGGGTTTGGGGGGTTTGGGGAATTTGTAGAGTTTGTGGGGTTTGGGGATTCCTGGGGTTTGTGGATTCCTGGGGTTTGTGGGAATTCCTGGGGTTTGAGGGGTTTGGGGGGTTTGGGGTTTGGGGAGTCTTGGGGTTTGTGGGTTTTTGGGAATTCCTGGGATTTGGGGAATTTATAGGGTTTGGGGATTCCTGGGTTTTTTGGGGTTTGGGGAACTTGTGGGGTTTTTGGGAATTCCTGGAGTTTGTGGGGTTTTGGTATTCTTGGGGTTTGGGGGGTTTGTGGGAATTCCTGGGATTTGGGGGAATTCCTCAGGTTTGTGAATTCCTGGGGTTTGGGGAATTTGTAGAGTTTGTGGGGTTTGGGGATTCCTGGGGTTTTTGGGAATTCCTGGGGTTTGGGGGGTTTGGGGAATATGGAGGGTTTGGGGATTTTTGGGGTTTGTGGGGTTTGGGGAACTTGGGGGGTTTGGGGGAGTTACTGGGCTTTGGGGTTTGTGAGGTTTGGGGATTCCTGGGGTTTCTGGGGTTTGGGGTACTTGTGGGGTTTGGGGGAGTTCCTGGGCTTTGGGGTTTTTGGGGTTTGGGGAGTCTTGGGGTTTGTGGGTTTTTGGGAATTCCTGGGGTTTGGGGAACTTGGAGGGTTTGGGGATTCCTGGTTTTTTTTGGTGTTTGGGGAACTTGTGGGGTTTTTGGGAATTCCTGGAGTTTGTGGGGTTTGGGTATTCTTGGGGTTTGGGGATTCCTAGGGTGTTCTGGGGGTTTGGGGGGGTTTTGGGAACTTACAGGGTTTGGGGATTCCTGGGTTTTTTGGGGTTTGGGGAACTTGTGGGGTTTTTGGGAATTCCTGGTGTTTGTGGAGTTTGGGTATTCTTGGGGTTTGGGGGGTTTGGGGGAATTCCTGGGATTTGGGGGAATTCCTCAGGTTTGTGAATTCCTGGGGTTTGGGGAATTTGTAGAGTTTGTGGGGTTTGGGGATTCCTGGGGTTTGTGGGGTTTGGGGAATATGGAGGGTTTGGGGATTTTTGGGGTTTGTGGGGTTTGGGGAACTTGGGGGGTTTGGGGGAGTTCCTGGGCTTTGGGGTTTGTGGGGTTTGGGGATTCCTGGGGTTTCTGGGGTTTGGGGTACTTGTGGGGTTTAGGGGAGTTCCTGGGCTTTGGGGTTTTTGGGGTTTGGGGAGTCTTGGGGTTTGTGGGTTTTTGGGAATTCCTGGGGTTTGGGGAACTTACAGGGTTTGGAGATTCCTGGGTTTTTTGGGGTTTGGGGAACTTGTGGGGGTTTTTGGGAATTCCTGGAGTTTGTAGGGTTTGGGTATTCTTGGGGTTTGGGGGGTTTGTGGGAATTCCTGGGATTTGGGGGAATTCCTCAGGTTTGTGAATTCCTGGGGTTTGGGGAATTTGTAGAGTTTGTGGGGTTTGGGGATTCCTGGGGTTTGTGGGAATTCCTGGGGTTTGGGGGGTTTGGGGAATATGGAGGGTTTGGGGATTTTTGGGGTTTGTGGGGGTTTGGGGAACTTGGGGGGTTTTGGGGGAGTTACTGGGCTTTGGGGTTTGTGGGGTTTGGGGATTCCTGGGGTTTTTTGGGGTTTGGGGAACTTGGGGGGTTTGGGGGAGTTCCTGGGCTTTGGGGTTTTTGGGGTTTGGGGAGTCTTGGGGTTTGTGGGTTTTTGGGAATTCCTGGGGTTTGGGGAACTTAGAGGGTTTGGGGATTCCTGGGTTTTTTGGCGTTTGGGAAACTTGTGGGGTTTTTGGGAATTCCTGGAGTTTGTGGAGTTTGGGTATTCTTGGGGTTTGGGGATTCTTAGGGTATTTTGGGGGTTTGGGGGGTTTGGGTATTCTTGGGGTTTGGGGGGTTTGGGGATTCCTGGGATCTGGGGGAGTTCCTGGGGTTTGTGGGGTTTTGGGGTTTGAGGAGTCTTGGGGTTTGTGGGTTTTTGGGAATTCCTGGGGTTTGGGGAACTTAGAGGGTTTGGGGATTCCTGGGTTTTTTGGGGTTTGGGGAACTTGTGGGGGTTTTGGGAATTCCTGGAGTTTGTGGAGTTTGGGTATTCTTGGGGTTTGTGAGGTTTGGGGAACTTGGGGGGGTTTGGGGGAGTTACTGGGCTTTGGGGTTTGTGGGGTGCTGGAGACTTGTGGGATTTGGGGGTTTCTGGGGTTTGGGGAACTTGGGGGGTTTGGGGGAGTTACTGGGCTTTGGGGTTTGTGGGGTTTGGGGAGTCTTGGGGTTTGTGGGTTTTTGGGAATTCCTGGGGTTTGGGGAACTTACAGGGTTTAGGGATTCCTGTTTTTTTGGGGGTTTGGGGAACTTGTGGGGTTTTTGGGAATTCCTGGAGTTTGTAGGGTTTGGGTATTCTTGGGGTTTGGGGGGTTTGTGGGAATTCCTGGGATTTGGGGGAATTCCTCAGGTTTGTGAATTCCTGGGGTTTGGGGAATTTGTAGAGTTTGTGGGGTTTGGGGATTCCTGGGGTTTGTGGGAATTCCTGGGGTTTGGGGGGTTTGGGGAACATGGAGGGTTTGGGGATTTTTGGGGTTTGTGGGGTTTGGGGTACTTGGGGGGTTTGGGGGAGTTACTGGGCTTTGGGGTTTGTGGGGTTTGGGGATTCCTGGGGTTTCTGGGGTTTGGGGTACTTGTGGGGTTTGGGGGAGTTCCTGGGCTTTGGGGTTTTTGGGGTTTGGGGAGTCTTGGGGTTTGTGGGTTTTTGGGAATTCCTGGGGTTTGGGGAACTTAGAGGGTTTGGGGATTCCTGGGTTTTTTGGGGTTTGGGGAACTTGTGGGGTTTTTTGGGAATTCCTGGAGTTTGTGGAGCTTGGGTATTCTTGGGGTTGGGGGGGTTTGTGGGAATTCCTGGGATTTGGGGGAATTCCTGGGGTTTGGGGGGTTTGGGGAATTTGTAGAGTTTGTAGGGTTTGGGGATTCCTGGGTTTGTGGGAATTCCTGGGGTTTGGGGGGTTTGGGGGGTTTGGGGATTCCTGGGATTTGGGGGAGTTCTTGGGGTTTGTGGGTTTTTGGGGTTTGGGGAGTCTTGGGGTTTGTGGGGTTTTGGGAATTCCTGGGGTTTGGGGAACTTATCGGGTTTGAGGGTTTTGGGGGTTCCTGGGGTTTGGGGGGTTTGAACTTGTGGGGTTTGGGGATTCCTGGGGTATTGGGAGGTTTGGGTATTCTTGGGGTTTGTGGGAATTCCTGGGGTTTGAGGTTTGCGGGGTTTGGGAGTTTTTGGGGGAATTTCTGGGGTTTGTGGGGGTTTGGGGATTCCTGGGGTTTGGGGGGTTTGTGGAAATTTGTGGGGTTTGGGGATTCCTGGGGTTTGGGGGAATTCCTGGGGTTCCCAAAACAATCCGGGTTTGGGGGATTTTGGGGATTTTCAGGGGTTTTTGGGAATTCTGCACTGCTGACTCATGGGATTTTTGGGGATTATGCCCAGTCACTCGGGATTTTTGGGAATTTTTGGGAATTCTGCCCCCTCACCCCGGCTCTGTGGCCGCGCAGCTGCTGCGGGAGGAGCTGCTGAGCTGCGGGACGGTGCTGCAGATCTCGGAGCTGCCGGACTCGGGATTCTCCGAGCAGGACCTGAAGCGGCTGGTGCAGCCCTTCGGGAAGGTCAGCGACCTGATCCTGCTGCGCTCCCGCAACCAGGTACGGGAATTTGGGAATTTGGGATTGGGAATGGGGGATTGGGATTGGTGCAGCCCTTCGGGAAGGTCAGCGACCTGATCCTGCTGCGCTCCCGCAACCAGGTACGGGAATTTGGGAATTTGGGAATTTGGGATTGGGAATGGGGGATTGGGATTGGTGCAGCCCTTCGGGAAGGTCAGCGACCTGATCCTCCTGTGCTCCCGCAACCAGGTACGGAAAAACGGGAATTTGGGAATGGGAATGTGGGATTTGGAATAGGAATGGGGGATTGGGATTGGGGGTTTGGCAATGGGGGGTTAGGATTGGGAATGTGAGATTGGGAATGTGGGCATGGGAATGGGAAACTAGGATTGGGAATGTGGGATTGATATTGGGAATGTGGGTTTGGGATTGGGAATCCGGGATCCAGCGTTCCCAAAGATCCCTCCGGGCGATTTGGGATTGGGGTCAACAGTTCCCTCTTGCAGTTCTGGGATTTTATGGATTTTTCCCCTTTTCCCCGTTCCCCTTTTTTTCCCCTTTTTTTCCTCTTTTTCCTTTTCCAATTTTCCCTTTTCCCTTTTTTTTCCTCTTTCCCCTTTTCCGCTTTTCCCCTCTCTCCTCTTTTCCCTTTCCCCCTTTTCCCTCTTTTTCCCTTTCCCCCTTTGTTCTCCCTTTATTCCCTTTACTCCCCTTTCCCCCTTTTCCTCCTTTTCGTTTTTTCTCTTTTATTCCCTTTTCCCTCCCCATTCCCTGAACCCCCCGAAATCCCGGGAACCCCGGGAATCCCGGGAATTCCGTGGCCCGCAGGCGTACCTGGAGATGAACTACAAGGAGGCCGTGATCGCCGCCGTCAAGTTCGCCGAGACGGCGCCGGTGCTGCTGAACGGGAAACGCGTCCGGGTCTGCGTGGCCGAGAGAGCCCCGGTGCGCCCCGGGATTCCTGCTGCTGGGAATTCCTGCTGCTGGGAATTCCTGCTGCTGGGAATTCCTGCTGCTGGGAATTCCTGCTGCTGGGAATTCCTGCTGGGGATTCATGCTGGGGGTTCCTGATGGGAATTCCTGATGGGAATGCTGGCAGTGGTTTCCTGTTGGGAGTTCCTGCTGGGAATTCCTCCTGGGAATTTCTGCTGGGAATGCTGACAGGGGGTTCCTGCTGGGAATTCCTCCTGGGGGTTCCTGCTGGGAATGCTGAGAGGGGATTTCCTGGGAATACTGAGAGGGAATTCCTCCTGGGAATGCTGACAGGGGGTTCCTGCTGGGAATTCCTGCTGGGAATGCTGGCTGGGGTTCCTGCTGGGAATGCTGGCTGGGGTTCCTGCTGGGAATTCCTGCTGCTGGGAATTCCTGCTGGGAATGCTGACAGGGGTTCCTGCTGGGGTTCCTGCTGGGGGTTCCTGCTGGGAATTCCTGCTGGGAATGCTGACAGGGGATTCCTGCTGGGGTTTCCTGCTGGGGGTTCCTCCTGGAGGTTCCTGCTGGGAATGCTGAGAGGGGATTTCCTGGGAATACTGAGAGGGAATTCCTGCTGGGAATGCTGACAGGGGATTCCTGCTGGGAGTTCGTGCTGGGAATGCTGAGAGAGGATTCCATGGGAGTTCCTGCTGGGAGTTCGTGCTGGGAATGCTGACAGGGGATTCCTGCTGAGGGTTCCTGCTGGGAATGCTGACAGGGGATTTCCTGGGAATACTGAGAGGGAATTCCTGCTGGGAATGCTGAGAGGGGATTCCTGCCAGGGATTCCTGCTGGGAATGCTGAGAGGGGATTCCATGGGAATTATTCCTGCTGGGAGTCTTGCTGGGAATGCTGAGAGGGGATTCCATGGGAATGGAAATTATTTAATCGTTCACTTCTCTTTTTTTTAATTAATTAATTAAAGTGAACTAACACCAATCATTAATGAATTTTAATTTTCCCCTTGCAGGTGAAGAAAACGGTGAAGAAGCGAGTCCTGAACCCCAAAAAAACTCCAGCCAGCACCAAGTGAGGCCTGGCTCGTTAATTAGCGCTAACGGCACTAATTGGGGTTGTTAATTAATAATTCCTCATTAATAATTTGATTTTTGCTGCTTTTTCTCCTGCCAGGAAAATCCCCAGCAGCAGCAGCACCAAGAACCCCAAGGCCCTGCCAGGTATTAGCAATGAATCACTCATTAGTGCTTAATTAACCTGCCTAATTAATGAATTAATTGGCTGGATTAATTTAAATTTAACAGGAAATTATTGAAATCCCCTTTTTTTTTTTTTCCCATATTTCTGGAATTCCTTGGATTTTTTGGGATTTTTTTTTTTTTTTGGTAGGGAAAAAGGAAAAAGTGAAGAAAATTCCGGGAGAGAAGAAAGTGAAGAAAACCTCGAATGTGGGAGGTGAGGGGGAAAATGGGAAAAAAAAAAGGGAAAATTCTTGGGGAAAAAAATGGGGGAAAAATTGGGAAATAAAAGTTAAAAAGCCTCAGAAAATGGGAAATAAAAACTTGGGAAAATTGGAAAAGAAAATGGAAGGAAAGTTTAGAAAATGGGAAATAAATTGGGATAAAAAGTTGGGACAATCTTGGGAAAATTGGAAGGGAAAATGGAGGAAAAACTGAGGGAAAAACTTGGGAAAACGGGAAAAGAAAATGGAAAAAAATTGGGAAAATGGGAAATAAATCTTGGGAAAACAGGAAAAAACACTTGGGAAAATGGGGAAAAAAAAGGAGAAATAAACCTTGGGAAAATGGCAAAAAACCGTGGAAAAATGGAAAAAAGGGGGAAAATGGGGAAAGACCTTGGGAAAATGGGAAATAAACTTTGGGAAAAAATGGGGGGAGAAACTTGGGATAATGGGGAAAAATGTGGAAAAATGGGAAAAAACCTTGGGGAAATGGAAAAAAAAAACCTGGGAAAATGGGAAAAAACTTGGGAAAATGGGGGGAAAAGCCTCGGGAAAATGGGAAAAAACTTGGGAAAATAAGGAAGAAAATGGGGGAAAATTATTGAGAAAATGGGGAAAGATGTGGGAAAAAAGGGAAAAACCTGGGGGAAATGGGGAAAAATCTTGTGAAAATGGGGGGAAAAGTGGAAACATTGGGAAAATGGGAAATAAACTGTGGGAAAAAGGGGAAAAAATGAGGAAATGCTGAAGAAAATGGGAAAAATGTGGGAAAATGGGAAAAAATCTTGGGAAAATGGGGAAAAATCCTGGGGAAATGTGGGAAGTACCTTTTAAAAATAGGGGGGAAAAAAGGAAAATGGGATAAAAACATGGGAAAATGGAGAAAAAATGGGGAAAAACCTTGGGAAAATGATGAGAAAATGAGGAAAAAAAGTGGAAAATTGGGAAAAGTGGGAATTTGGAAAATCGGGAATTGGAGAAAGCGAGAATTGGGAACAGTGGGAACGGGAAAATTGGGAATTTTGGAATTTTTCCCTGCAGGAAAAGCAGCGGCTGAAGATTCCGGAGCCGCCGCCGAGGCCGGGCCGGAAACTCCGGGATCGGAGCCCTCGGACCCCAAAAATTCCGAGCCTAAAAATTCCGACCCCAAAAATTCCCCCGATCCAGAGGAGCCCGGAACAGCCCCCGAGGAGAGGCCAGGTAATTCCAGGGAAATTCAGGAATTTTGGGAATTCCGGGTGATTTTAGTGGAGCTGCAATGGAAAAAATGGGGAAATTGGGGAAAAAAAAACTTTTGGGGAATTGGGAAAAGAAAATTGGGGAATGGGGATAAGTCCTGGGGGGATTTTGGAAAAAAGTTTGGAAAAATGGGAAAAAAATGGGGATGGAAGTTGGGAAAATGGGAAAAAAAGAGGGGAAAAGGAAACGGGGAAAAAAAACTGGGAAAAAAAGTTTGGGAAAATGGAAAAAATTGGCAAAAAGAATTTGGGAAAATGAGGAGGAAATTTGGGGAAAAAAAACTTGGGAAAATGGGAAAAAATGACAAAAAGAATTTGGGAAAATTTGGGGAAAAAACTTGGGAAAATGGGAAAAGAACGTGGGAAAGGGGGAAAAAAATGGGAAAAATATGTTAAAATGGGAATTAAAAAGTTGGGAAATGGGATAAAAATCCTCTGGAAAATGGGGGGGAAATCTTAAGAAAAACTTGGGAAAATGGGGAAAAAAATTGGGATAAATTGGGGGGGGAAATGGGAAAAAATTGGGAAAAAACCATGGGAAAATATGGGGAAAATGGGGGGAAAGGGGGTTAAAGGGAATTTGGGAATTCTGTGGGGTCGAGCTGCTCCTTTTCCCCATTTTCAGAACTTCCAGTGAGTGAGGAGCCCACGGATCCAGGCGGGAAGGTCAGTGGGGATTTTGTGATTTGGGGGAATTTTGGGGGTTTGGGAACTGTGGGGATTGGGGAATTGTAGGAATTCTGGGAATTTGGGAATTGGGGGAATTGGGGATTTGTAGGAATTTGGGGGATTTGGGAATTGTGGAGATGGAGGGAAATTGGGAATTGTGAGAATTGTGGGGATTTGGGAATTGTGGCGGATTTGGTACCAGGATCAAGATTTGGGATGGGGGATCAGGATTTGGGATCAGGATCAGGACTGGGATCAGGATTTGGGCTCAGGACCAGGATCAAGATTTGGGATCAGGATTTAGGACAGGGATTGGGACTAGGATGGGGATCAGTATCAGGATTTGGGATGGGGATCAGGATCAGGATATGGGATCGGGATCAGGATTTGGGATCAGGATCAGGACCAGGTTCAGGTTTTGGGATCAGGATTTGGGATGGGGATCAGGATTTGGGATCAGGATTTGGGACGGGGATCAGGATTTGGGATCAGATTTTGGGACAGGGATCAGGACCAGGATGGGGATCAGGATCAGGATTTGGGATCAGGTCAGGATCTGGGATCAGGATCTGGGATCAGGATTTGGGATCAGGATTTGGGACCGGGTTCAGGATTTGGGATCAGGATTTGGAATCAGGATCAGGACCAGGTTCAGGATTTGGGATCAGGATTTGGGACCGGGCTCAGGATCGGGATCAGGATTTGGGATGGGGCTCAGGATTTGGGATCAGGATTTGGGATCAGGATCAGGTTCAGGATCGGGATCAGGATTTGGGACGGGGCTCAGGATCAGGATCAGGATTTGGGATCAGGATCAGGTTCAGGATCGGGATCAGGATTTGGGACGGGGCTCAGGATCAGGATCAGGATTTGGGATCAGGATTTGGGACGGGGCTCAGGATTTGGGATCAGGATCAGGATCAGGATTGGGATCAGGATTTGGGATGGGGCTCAGGTTCAGTATTTGGGATCGGGATTTGGGACCGGGCTCAGGAGCGCTCCGTCCCGCAGGACGCTGACCCCGAGCCCTGCTGCGTGCTGCTGGTGTCCAACCTGCCGGCCAAGGGCTGCTGGCAGGAGGAGCTCTGCAACCTGGCCCGGCCCTTCGGCGGCCTGCGCGACCTGCTGCTGCTCTCCTCACACAAAAAGGTAAAAGGGAGCGGAGCATTTGGATTTTTTTGGGATTTTTGGGGATTTTTTTGGGTTTTTTTGGGATTATTTTGGAATTTTAGGGGATTTTTGGGGAATTTAGGGGGATTTGGCCAGGCCCTTCAGAGGCCTGTGTGACCTGCTGCTGCTCCCCTCACACAAAAAGGTAAAAGAGAGCGGGGATTTGGGGATTTGGGATTTTTTGGGAATTTTGGGGGATTTTTTTGGGATTTTTTGGGGATTTTGGGGTTTTTTTTGGGATTATTTTGAAATTTTAGGGGATTTTTGGGGAATTACGGGGGATTTGGCCAGGCCCTTCGGAGGCCTATGTGACTTGCTGCTGCTCTCCTCACACAAAAAGGTAAAAGGGAACGGGGGATTTGGGGATTTGGGATTTTTGGGGGATTTTTTGGGATTTTTTGGGGGTTTTTTGGAAAATTTTTGGGATTATTTTGGGATTATTTTGAAATTTTAGGGGATTTTTGGGGAATTATGGGGGATTTGGCCAGGCCCTTCGGAGGCCTATGTGACTTGCTGCTGCTCTCCTCACACAAAAAGGTAAAAGGGAACGGGGGATTTGGGGAGTGGGGATTTTTTTGGGGACTTTTTGGGGTTTTTTGGAGATTATTTTGGCATTTTAGAGGATTTTTGGGGACTTTAGGGAGATTTGGCCAGGCCCTTCAGGGGCCTGTGTGACCTGCTGCTGCTCTCCTCACACAAAAAGGTAAAAGGGAGCGGGGAATTTGGGATTTTTTTGAGAATTTTGGGGGATTTTTTGGGATTTTTGGGGATTTTGGGGGATTTTAGGGCGAGTTCTTGGGATTTTTAGGAAAGTTTTTGGGATTTTTTGGGGATTTGGCCAAGCCCTTCAGGGGCCTGTGGGACCTGCTGCTGCTCCCCTCACACAAAAAGGTACTGGCAGTGGGGGGTTTGGGGGATTTTTTTGGCAAGTTTTGGGGATTTTTTTGGATTTTTGGGGATTTTAGGGGGAGTTCTTGAGACTTTTTGGGAAGTTTTTGGGATTTTTTGGGGATTTGGCCAAGCCCTTCAGGGGCCTGCGGGACCTGCTGCTGCTCTCCTCACACAAAAAGATACTGGCAGTGGGGGGCTTGGGGGATTTTTTGGGGAAGTTTTGGGGATTTTAGGGGATCTTTTGGGGATTTTTTTTTTCCCAAAGTTTTCCCCCATTTTCCTGAGAATTTTTATCCCATTTTCCCAACTTTTTTATTCCCATTTTAACAAATTTTTTCCCATTTTCTTTCCCCCTTTCCTTAAATTATTTTCCCAAATTTTCCCCTTCATTTCCCCAAATTATTTTTGTCAATTTCTCCCATTTTCCCAAGTTTTTTCCTAGTTTTTTTCCCATTGTTTCCCCCTTCCCCAACCTTTTTCCTTTCTTTTTTCCATTTTCTGACTTTTTATCCCATTTTCCCTTTTTTCCATTTCCTTTCCCATTCCCTCTTTTTTTTCCCATTTTCCCAACTTCCTCCCCCATTTTATTTTCCGATTTTTCCTAAACTTTTAGGGGATTTTTTGGGGATTTTTGGGGACAATTTTGGAATTTTTTGGGGGGAGTTTTGGAAATTTTTGGCAGGTAATTTTTGAGAATTTTGAGCGATGTTTTGCTGCATCCTTTTGGAATTCCTTTGGGATTTTCCTAAGGGTCAGCGTCAGATCTTTTAGGATTCTGTGGGGGTTCAGGGGGGATGCTGTGGGGTTTTGGGGTGCATTTTGGGATTTGGGTTGTGTGGCAGGCATACCTGGAGATCCCCCAGCGAGCGGCCGAGTCCATGGTGAAGTTTTATGGCTTCTTCCCCATGTGCCTGGACGGGAACCAGCTCCGCATCCGGCCCGAGCCCCGGCACCAGGACCTGCGCGACGAGGTTTGGGATTGGGATTTGGGATTGGGGGGGCTTGAGGGATTGAGAGAAGCTGGGGAATTTGGGGATTGTGAGAATTGGGGGATTTGCAGGTGTTGGGGAATTGGGGGAATAGGAGGAGTTGGAAATTTGGGGGATTGGGATTTAGGGGATTTCTGGGCGTTGAGAGAAGTTGGAGGATTTGGGGATTGTGGAGATTGTGAGAATTGGGGGATTTGCAGGGGTTGGGGAATTGTGGGGCTTGGGGGAATTGTGGGGATTGAGAGAAGTTGGGGGATTGGGGCAGTTTGGGGATTTCTGGGGGTTGAGGGAAGTTGGGGATTTGGGGATTGTGGGGGTTTGAGGGGATTGTGATGATTGGGGGAAGTTGGGGGACGGGGGGGATTGAGGGAGTTTGGGGGGTTTGGGAATTGTGGGGGTTTGTGGATTGGGGGAATTGTGGGAAGTTGGGGAATTGTGCAGATTGCGGGAATTGGGGTTTTGGGGGATTTGCAGGTTTGGGGGATTGTGGGGATTGAGGGAAGTTGGGGGATTTGGGAATTGTGGGGGTTGGGGGAATTTTGGGGATTGGGGGAATTGTGGGGATTGAGGGAAGTTGGGGGATTGGGGGAGTTTGGGGAATTGTGGGGGTTTGAGGGATTGAGAGAAGCTGGGGAATTTGGGGATTGTGAGAATTGGGGGATTTGCAGGCGTTGGGGAATTGGGGGAATAGGAGGAGTTGGAAATTTGGGGGATTGGGATTTAGGGGATTTCTGTGCGTTGAGAGAAGTTGGAGGATTTGGGGATTGTGGAGATTGTGAGAATTGGGGGATTTGCAGGGGTTGGGGAATTGTGGGAATTTAGGGAACTGTGGGGATTGAGAGAAGTTGGGGGATTTGGGCAGTTTGGGGATTTCTGGGGGTTGAGGGAAGTTGGGGATTTGGGGATTGTGGGAGTTTGAGGGAAATGTGGGGATTGGGGGACGGGGGGGATTGAGGGAGTTTGGGGGTTTGGGAATTGTGGGGGTTTGGGGATTGGGGGAATTGTGGGAAGTTAGGGAATTGTGCAGATTGCGGGAATTGGGGTTTTGGGAGATTTGCGGGTTTGGGGGATTGTGGGGATTGAGGGAAGTTGGGGGATTTGGGAATCGTGGGGGTTGGGGGAATTGTGGGGATTGGGGGAATTGTGGGGATTGAGGGAAATTGGGGGATTGGGGGATCTGGGGAATTGTGGGGGTTTGAGGGATTGAGAGAAGATGGGGAATTTGGGGATTGTGAGAATTGTGGGATTTGCAGGCATTGGGGAATTGGGGGAATAGGAGGAGTTGGAAATTTGGGGGATTGGGATTTAGGGGATTTCTGGGCGTTGAGAGAAGTTGGAGGATTTGGGGATTGTGGAGATTGTGAGAATTGGGGGATTTGCAGGGGTTGGGGAATTGTGGGAATTTAGGGGATTTGGGGAATTGTGGGGGCTTGGGGGAATTGTGGGGATTGAGAGAAGTTGGGGGATTGGGGCAGTTTGGGGATTTCTGGGGGTTTGAGGGAAGTTGGGGATTTGGGGACTGTGGTGGTTTGGGGATTGGGGGGATTGAGAGAAATTGGGGAATTTGGGAATTGTGGGGTTTGGGGAATTTGGGGGAGTTTTAGGAGTTGGGGGAATTTGGGAATTGTGAGATTGGGAGAAATTGTGGGATTTGGAGGATTGTGGACATTCTGGGAATTTGGGGATTGCAGGGATTGGGGGAGTTGGGAATTTGGGGGATTGGGGGAATTGTGGGGATTTTGGAAATTGTGGGGATTGTGGGAATTTTAGGAATTGGAGTTGGAGGGTTTGGGGGAATTGTGGGATTGAGGGAAGTTGAGTTTGAGAGTTGGGAATTTTGGGAATTGGAGGAATTTTAGGAGTTGGGGGCATTGTGGGAAGGTGGGGAATTTGGGAATTTGGTGATTGTGGGGAATTTTGGGAATTGGGGGATTGAGGGAAATGGGGGCATTTTGGGGATTGTGAGAATTTGGGAATTTGGAGATTGTGGGAATTGGAGGAATTGTGGGAAAAACTGAGAAAAAATCCCCAGTTTTCCACTTCAAGCAGGATTTGAGATTTAAATAGAATTTAAATAGAATTTTTAGCACTTCTGGAGTTTAAAACAAGGGATTTTTTTCCACCTGGGAATTGATCCTGGGAAATATTATTTTGGATTTTGACATGATGAACATACTAATTATGATTGATTAGTCAGTGATAAATTATTAGTCAATTATTACTTATTATTAATTAAGCTCCAATCCCTTTTTTCTTTCCCTAAAGGAAGCGATTTTCCTGTCCCTCATCAAGGATTCTGATCCCAAGGTGAATTTTCCTCATTAGCCCAAATTTTTTCTCATTTTCTCCCAATTTTCTTTGGAATTTCATTAACTGGGAGCTGGGAGTGCTCATTCCTGAGCATTTCAGGTTGGGATAAATCACATTTTATCCCGGAATGGGATTTTTTGGGATTTCCGGAATCTCCCTTTGATCCTTTCAGAATTCCAGGATTTATTCAAGGATTTTCCTCAAGTGACTCAGAGGTTTTCTCCCTAAAAAAAAACAAGTGTTGAAAAGTTCAAAATGGAAATGGGGAATTTATCTCAATTCCAGCTCAAAATTCCATTCTTTTATAGATGGAGAGAGGATTTTTTCCCTTCTTCCCTTTTTCCCCCTTTTTCCTCTTCCTTTTCCCCTTTTTTCCTTTTTTTCCCTTCCTTTCCTCTTTTCCTCCCTCTTTCCCCCTTTTCCCCTTTCTCTTTTCCCTTCCTTTTCCCCCTCTTTGTTCCATTCTCCCCTTTCTTTTCTCCTTCCTTTTTTCCTTCTTTCCCCTTCTTCCCCTTCCCCTTTCCTCTTTCTCTTCCTTCATTTTCTTCCCTCTTTTTCCCTCTTTACCCTTCTTTGTTCCATTTTCTCCTTTCCCCCCCTTCCCCCCCTTTTCTCCCCTTTTTCCCCTTTTCCTTTCCCACCCTTTTCCCTCCTTGCCCCCTTTTCCCCCTTTCTCTCCCCTTCTCCCCCTTTTTTTCTCCTCCTCTTTTTTCCCTTTTCCCTCCTTTTCCCCTTTCCCCTTCTTCCCCCTTTCTCCCCCTTTTCTCCTTTCTCCTTTTCCCTCCTTTCTCTGCTTTTTCTGCTTCTTTTCTCCTTCCTTTTTTCCCTTTTCCCCCCTTTCCCTTTGTTCCCCATTTTTCCTCCTTCCCCCCTTTTCCCTTTCCCCCCCTTTCCCCCCTTTTTTTCTCTTTCCTTTTTCCCCCATTCCCCCTTTTCCCTTCTTTTTCCCCTTTCCCCTCCATTCTCCCCCTTTCCCATTCCCCTGCTTTTCCCCCATTCCCCTGTTTTTCATCCTTTCTGCCCCTTTTCCCCCCTTTTTTCTCCTTCTTTTTTCCCTTTTCCCCCCTTTCCCCCCCTTTTTTCCCCCTTTTCCCCCTTTTCCACCTCCCCCCTTTTCCCCACTTTTTCCCCTTCCCCCCTTTTTTCCCCTTCCCCCTTTTCCTCCCTTCCCGCCCTTTTTTCCTCCTCCTTTTTCCCCTTTTTTCCCCTTTTTTCCCTCCCCTTTCCCTGCTAACCCCGGGATCTCTCCTGCAGGTGGACACCTCCTCCCTCCGCTCTCACCTGGTGCACCTGGGGAACCTCCCGGCCGAGGGATTCCGGGAGCTGGAGCTGGTCTGTGCCGGGCTGCGCTTCGGGAAAGTGGAGCACTACGCCGTGCTCAGCAACCGCCGCCGGGTACTGCCCCTCAGGGGGGAAAATGGGAATTTTGGGAGATTTTTGGGGATTTTTTTTGGAATTTTTAATTGGGTTTTGCTGGAAGGCTCCCAGAGCTGGAGCTGGTCTGTGAGGGCTGCGCTCCGGGAAGGTGGAGCACCACGCCTGAGGGAAAAATTGGCTTTTTGTGGGGGAAAATTGGGGTTTTCAGGAAAATAAAAACCTGGTAATTTTGGGGGGGATTTTTGATGGACTTTTTTTGGGAATTTTTTCTTGGGTTTTTGGCGGCGGGCCTCTGGGAGCAGGAGCTGGTCTGTGAGGGCTGCGCTTCAGGAATGTGGATCACCACACTGTGCTCAGTAACCGCCAGTGCCTGAGAGAAAAATCAGCTTTTTGTGGGAAAAATTGGGGTTTGCAGGGAAATAAACCCTGGGAATCTTTGGGGGGGATTGTGGGGTTTTTTGGGGGGGATTTTTGATGGATTTTTTGGGGAATTTTTAATTGGGTTTTGCTGGAGGGGCTCCCAGAGCTGGAGTTGGTCTGTGAGGGCTGCGCTCCGGGAAGGTGGAGCACCACGCCTGAGGGAAAAATCGGCTTTTTGTGGGGGAAAATTGGGGTTTTCAGGAAAATAAAACCCTGGCACTTTTTGTGGCGATTTTTGATGGACTTTTTTTGGGAATTTTTTCTTGGGTTTTTGGTGAAGGGCCTCTGGGAGCAGGAGCTGGTCTGTGAGGGCTGCGCTTCAGGAAGGTGGAGCACCACACCGTGCTCAGTAACTGCCCAGTGCCTGAGAGAAAAATCAGCTTTTTGTGGGGAAAATTTGGGTTTGCAGGGAAATAAACTCTGGGAATCTTTGGGGGGGATTGTGGGGTTTTTTTTTTGGATTTTTGATGGATTTTTTTTGGGAATTTTTAATTGGGTTTTGCTGGAGGGGCTCCAGGAGCCGGAGTGGGTCTGTGAGGGCTGTGCTTCAGCAAGGTGGAGCATCACGCCTGAGGGAAAAATCGGCTTTTTTGGGGGAAAATTTGGGTTTGCAGGGAAAAAGAAAAAAAACAGGGAATCTTTAGGGGGATTTTTTGGGAATTTTTTCTTGGGATTTTGGCAGAGGGGCTCCCAGAGCTGGAGCTGGTCTGTGAGGGCTGTGCCAGGTACTGCCCCGCTGGGCCTGAGGGAAAAATAAGCTTTTTGTGAGGAAATTGGGGTTGCAGGGGAAAAAAAACCTGGAAATCTTTCGGGAGATATTTTGGAAAATTTTTGAGATTTTTTTCAATTGTTGGAGGATTTTTTTTTTTTAACCATTGGGGGATTTTATTATTGGGATTTTTGATGAATTTTTGGGGGGTTTTGATGGATTTTATGGGGAATTTTGAAGGTGTTTTGGAATTTTTTGTGGGGTTTCTGAGGGATCTTTTTGGAATTTAATGGGGATTTTTGGAATGTTTACTGAATTTTTGGGGGGGTTTTGATGGATTTTTTAAATTTTATTTTTGGGGGGATTTCTTGGGGAGTTTTTGGGGAATTTTCAGAATTTTTTGGCGATTTTTTGGTAATTTTTGATGTTTTGGGGGGGATTTTGAGGGATTTTTTTTAATTTTGGGGGATTTTTTTGGAATTTTGAAGGATTTTTTTTTAATTTTGGGGATTTTTTCAAAATTGTGGGGCAATTGGGAATGTTTTGGGAGTTTTTGGGATTTTTCAGGAATTTTGGGGGACGTTTTGGAGAATTTTTTGGAAATATTTAGAGGGGTTTTGATGGATTTTTTGAGGCACTTTGAGGGGGTTTTGAGGACTTTTTGGGAATTTTTTTGGAGGGTTTTTTGGGAACTTTGGGGATCTCTTTTGAAATTTTGGAGGATTCTCTGGAAATTTTTCGAGATTTTTTGGTATTTTTTGTAATTTTTGGGGCTTTTTTAAATTTTTGGCAGATTTGGGGGGGATTTTTTATGGGATTTCCAGGGATTTTGGAGAACTTTTTTTTTTTTTAATTTTGGGAGATTTTCTTTGAATTTTTGGTGGATTTTTTGGCAATTTTGGACATATTTTGGGGAATGTCTCTGAATTTTTGGGGAGGATTTTTTGGCGATTTCTTGTGATTTTTTGGGGAAATTTTGGGGTGTTTTTTTGGCAATTTCTTGGAATTTTGGGGGAGATTTTTGTAGCATTTTGAAAGAATTGGAATGGCAGAATTGATGGGGTTTTTGTGGGATTTTCTAGGTATTAGATCAAAAAAAACCCACGGAAATGGTTTTTAAATAAAAAAAAAAAAAAAACAAAAACTGAGGAAAATGTCTTTCAATCCCAAAAAAACATCCCAAGAAAAACAAGGGAAATATCCTTTAAATCCCAAATAAAACCCAAGAAAACATTTTTTAAATCCAAAAACAAAAAGAAAAACCCTACAGAAATATTCTTTAAAATCCAAGGAAAATGTCATTTCAATCCCAAACAAACAAGGAAAATAACCTTTAAATCCCAAAATCCATTGAAAATGGATTTTAAATCTGTAAAAAACCCAGAAAATGTTTTGAAAATCCCCAAATCCAATAAAAACATCTTTCAAATCCCAAAAAACCCAAGTTAGTTCCACTTTTAGGACCCAAATTAGGACATTTCAAGGTGACTTTTAACCCTTTTTACACCTGGATGGTGGCAGGAAACAAGCGAGGATTCCCCCAGCTTTAGGAATTCCTATTATTTGATCCAGAAATTACCAGGAATTTTTTATCTCAGGCCAGGTTTAGGAATTCCCATTATTTGATCCAGAAATTAAGGAATTACCAGGAATTCTTTCCCCTCAGGCCAGGTTTAAGAATTCCCCTTATTTTATCCAGAAAAAGCAGGAATTTTTTTCTTCAGGCCAGGTTTAGGAATTCCCATTATTTGATTTAGAAATAAAGGAATTACCAGGAATTTTTTAAGGAATAACCAGGAATTTTTTTTAGGAATTACCGGGATTTTTTTTCCCTCACGCCAGGTTTTGGAATTCCCATTATTTGATCCAGAAATTAAAGAATTACCAGGAATTTTTTCCCTCAGGCCAGGTTTAGGAATATCCATTATTTGATCCAGAAATGAAGGCATTACCAGGAATTTTTTAAGGAATTACCAGGAATTTTTTAAGGAATTACCAGAAACTTTTAAGGAATTACCTGGAATTTTTTCCCCCAGGCCATCCTGCAGCTGGACAGCCCCAAATCCGCCCGTTCCATGTACAGCTTCCTGCAGCAATATCCTTATTCCATAGGGGATCACACCCTCACCTGCTCCTTGTCCTCCCACGGAGAAATTCCTGAGGTAAAAATTCCACATTTTCCACCAGCTGGGGTTTTTTTGGGATGGGAGAACCTTGGGATGCAGAGGGCTGTGGGAGGGGAATTCCTTCAGGGTTGGGATTTTCTCCCATCAGGGTTGGGATTTTCTCCCATCAGGGTTGGGATTTTCCCTCAAGGTTTGGGACTTTTTCCCTCAAGGACTGAATTTCCCTGTGGGTTGGAACTTTTCCTCAGGATTGGGATTTTTTCCCTCAAGGTTTGGGATTTTCTCCCTCAAGGGTTTGGATTTTCTCCTCAAGGTTTGGGATTTTTTTCCCCTGAAGGTTGGGATTTTTTTCCCCTCAGTGTTGGGATTTTTCCTTCAGGGATTGGGATTTTTTTCCCCCTCAGGGTTTGGGATTTTTTTCCCTCAAGGATGAGATTTCCCTTAGGATTGGGATTTTCCCACAAGGATTGGGATTTTCTTCCTCAGAGCTGGAATGTTCCCTTAGGGTAGGGATTTTTCCTTAGGATTGTGATTTTCCCACTCAGAGTTGGGAATTTTCGCTCAGGGTTGGGATTTTCTCCCCTCAAGGTTGGGATTTTCTCCCTCAGGACTGGGATTTTTCCCTCAGGGTTTGAGTTGGGATTTTCCCTCAAGGTTTGGGATTTTCTTCCCTCAAGGTTGGGATTTTCTCCCTCAGGGTCAGGATTTTCCTGTGTCCCAAATCCATTCCAAATCCATCCTGCTCGAAACCCCAGTGGCCCTGAAGGAAGGATGAACATTCACTGGTGGAATTCTCATCCTGGGAATGGGATTGGGAACAATTCCCTGGAGTTCTGTCATCCCGGTGCCTCCTTTGGGGTGGTGGGATGTGAGAATCCCACCCTGATCCCTCTGGAATTGGAAAATCCTGACCTGGGGTTTTGTTTTCCAGGCTGAAACCGGGAAAAGGGAAGTGAAGAGAGAGGATGGGAGCAAAGGAAGGTACAGCCTGCGGGAATTTTTGGGAATTTTATCCATTTATTTTCCCTCTTGGAATGTTTATCCACAATTAGGGATTGCTGAGTGTCCCTCCAGCTGTGTCCTGCTGCTCCTCCTTCCCAATCCATGTGCTCCAGAGCCAAAATACTTAGGATTCATTAAAAAAAAAACATGGAAAAATGTGGAGAAATCCCAATTTTTGTGGAGTTTTCCTTCCCCTGTTCAAGTCCTGGCTCCTCCTGTTGCTTTTATTCCATCCTGCATCTCTTCCCTCTATCCCTTCCTCTGGGATTCCTCTTCCAAACTGCTGAATTCCCAGAAATTTGTAGGAATTTTTGTTAAATATGGCTTTGATCCCTTTTTTCTGTGATTCCAACTCGGATTTCTGGATGAGTTTTGTTGTTAAAACCCTGAAACTGTGTAAGGATGATCCTAAGGAATTCCATTATGGAAAAGCTCTGTATTCCCAGATCCCGTTTCTTTCCTTGTCATTCTGTGAAACTGCTGAATTTTGGGAGCATTCATTCCCAAATTAACGGGAATCTCTTCCTTACAGCAACTTCTTGATTCCAGAAAAGTGGAATTAAAATTAAAATTAGAAAGTTACTTTTCCATGAATCCCAGCTCCTGAAAAGTTGGAAAATCAACATTTTTCCCTGTTCCACACATTTTCCACATAATTGATTCCATTTCTTAGGGAGCAGAAAACAGCTAAATTATTATTTTTTAATTATTAATGATTTTTCTGAAGCTTTAATTAATTAAACTTCACTCCTGGGCTCTGCCTTTCCCAGGCTGTGTTTCCCATGAATCCCAAGATTTTTCCATGAATCCCAGTAGAAAACAAATTGAGCACAGCCAGAAATGTTGAATTGATGGGAAGAATCTCTTTCGATTTTTTTGGGGATCTTTTGGAGGATCCCAAATCCCACTCTCCTGGGCAATCCTGAGTTTTTCCAGGTTTTGGAGTAGAAATTCCCTCTGGAATTCTGCTGGAATGGGTGGGTGCTCCAAGCACAGCCATCCCTAATTCCAGCACTTCTCAAGCTCATCCTGTGGGATTCTTTCCTTCAGGGAAGAGTCTCTGGAATTCCCTGGAAAGCTCCATCCCGTGGCACCTTGGGCTGTGTTTTCCCAGGCGGGAAAACAGGGATTTTAAACCCAAACCAAAACCTGATCCCAAATCCAATCCCAAATCCAAACCTGCTCTCTCGGGATTGGGAACTGCAGACAGAGCAAAGCTCCTCTAATTCCCTTATCCCAGAGCTTCCTTTTGGTTGGGTATTCCCGATTTTCCCTCTGTGGGATGGAAATTTTCCAAGGCCTGAGGTCTCCGAAATGTGAATTGTTCACCTCAAGTTGTCGCCTTTTCCCACAGAATTCCTAACCTCATTCCCTGATGCTCCAGGAAAACTCCCACCGGTGGCATCCGGAGTTTTCAGTGAATTCTGGAATTCTCCCCCCATGGTTTGATTTTTCTTTCTTTTAAATACTTTTAGCTCTGGCTTGAAAAAAAATCCAGAGGTATCGGGAACGGTGCAAAAAACAGCTGGAAATCCATCGGGAGAGGCCAGGAAAGGCCAAATTCCCACCCCAAGTGTCCCGGAGGAGATTCCAGCGGGACAACTGGAGATTCCCGAGCCTCAGCCAGGAGGAACAGCGAGGGAATCACCCGCAGGGATGGACGTGGAGGGATTGGATCCTGGAATTCCCGTGGATCCTGCTGGCAGCAAATCGCCGGGAGTGAGGTCAGAGGAGAAGGCGGCGCCGCTTTCCGGAGCAGAGATGGACAAAGCTCGGGATGAGCCGGAGCTGGAGATCCAAAAGAAGGATGAGGAACGCTCTGCTCCTGCCATGGAACCTCTGGAATCATCCAGCAAGGCGATGCCAGCAGCCGGAGGAACGCCGGGAGCCATCCCTGGAACGTCCCCGAGCTCGGAGGAGGTCCCTGCGGTGTCACCTGCTGTCACCCAGCCCAGCATGGAGCTGGCTGCTCCAGAAAAAACTCCCGTTCCCGAGGCTGGGAAAAGCAGCCACGAAACGTCCACGGAGAGGAAAGCTGTCCCAAAAACTGTGGATGCTCCAGGGAAAAAATTGGATGTGGCTGGAGCAGAGAGAGAGGCGATAGCGGAGGAATCTGTGCTCAAAGTCGGGGAAAATCCGGGGAAGATTTGGGGCAAGGCTGGGATAGAGCTGGAGAAAACACCTGGAAAAACACCATCCAAGGGTGGGGAAAACTCTGGGAATGCCGGTGGTGAGATCCACGTGGGAAGTTCGGTTAAAATCTCACAAAATAAAGGGACGGGAGCTGCAAAATCCGACGAAAGCCGCGCGGCGGCTCCGGTAAATCCCGCTTGCATTGGAAAAACCCTTTTGAAGGCAGTGGTGTCCGTCCCGGACATCTTGAAGCAGAGAATTCCCGTCACGATCACCGAGCCTTCCCTGGGAAGAGTTGGGGAGCAGAAAATCCCCCCCAAAGCGGGGCTGGAGAAGAAAATCCCACCCAAAACCATGGCTCAGCCAGGAGCTGGGAACAGCCAATGGAAAGGGAACGGAAATTGTGGAGTGGATGCACAGGGAGATGGTGGGAAGAGCTCATCCCAGCAGGAAAAGGATTCCCAGCTGGAATCTCGGGCGAGTTGCAAGCAGAGCCAGCAGGGAGAGAGCGGAACAGCTGGAACGAGGGAGGATCCCAGCGGGAATCAGGTGAGGAGGGCAGGAATGCCCTGGTGTTCCCTCCCACTCTGGTTTTCAGGGATCATTCCTTTCCCTTTTCCATAAATCCCGGGGCCACCAGAGGTGTTGCTGGGCAACCTGTTCCTTCTAGCTGCACCACGAGGGTGGAACTGGTTGGAAAATCCTATGGAAGTTGTTTCAGAAGTGAATCCAAACTGAATTCCTTGGAGCAGTTCCAAGTGGGAGTAAATTCCGTGTCCTCTGAGCAGCTGGAATTTGCTTTTCCAAGCCCCACACAGATGGAAAAGAGGCTCCTGAGCCAGGTGTCACCTGTTGGTGGCAAATCCCTGGAGCCTTGGGGACATCCCAGAGCAGCTCCTTGATCCAAACAAAGCTATGCTCAGCGAGGATTGGGATTTCCTGGAATTCCATGGAATTTTTGTCCCATTTTGCAGGCTCCTGGTGGGAGTGGTGCTGCAGCTGGGAAAAGCGGCGCCGGCAGTGCTGGAAAACAGAAGGAGGTAAGGATGGAAAACTGTGGAATTAAAAGGATGGAATGTGTGGAAAAGAGGATTTTTGACATTCCAGGAGGTGGGATTGGATGGGATTTAAGGTCTTTTCCAACCCAAACCACTCCAGGATTCCATGATATTCCTGCTCTTAGGAATCTTTCCCCTCTTCCCAAAATGGGATCACCAAATTCCTGCCCTTTTCCCATCTGGTGTCCATGGATCCCATGGGCTCCAAGGTGCTGGAATCTCTTTGGATCCATTCCCTTTGGATCTCTCAGTCCCTATTTCTGGGCTCATGGAGCTGGGACCTCCAGGAAGCCCCAGCTGGGATCAAATCCCATAAATCCCAGTTTCCCAGCTTGTGTTAAATATCCATGAAAATGTGAGGGTAGGCTGGAATATTTTGGCAGAAAAAGTAACAAAACTTGGGAATTATCAATGGAGGAAATCAGAGGCATCATTTGGGGTGGGGCACTTGTTCCTTTGGACCCAGAACTTTGAATTGGCAGGAATTTTATCCCTTGAACTTTATCCACTGAATTTTATCCATTGGATTTCGTGCATTGAAATTCATCCAGTGAATTTTGTCCGTTGAATTTTTCCCACTAAATTTTGTCCACTGAATTTTATCCACTGAATTTTATCCATTGACCTTTATCCCACTGGATTTTATCCATTGGTTTTTATCTGCTGGATATCATCCACTGAATTTTACCCGTGGGATTTTATCCATGGAATTTTATCCCCTATCGATCTGCTGCGATTTTTCCAAAGGCCTTTGGCTTCCTGAACAAAACCTGAGTTAATTTAAATTAATTACTCAACACGATGCTGCGATTTAAGCCCTGAACACAGGTTTTTATTCACCCTGCAATTAAATTTGGGGTTATTTTTTGGACGCTCCCGCTGGATATGACAGTTAAATATTCCATCCCCAGGAGGAAGAGCTCTTCCCGTTTAACCTGGACGAGTTCGTCACGGTGGACGAGGTGCTGGAGGAAGCCGAGTCTCCGGTGATGCCGCGGCGGAACCCCCCGAGGGGGAAGAGAAAAGAAGCTCCCAAAGCCAACCCTTCGGAGCCGGCGTCCAAGAAGAGGAAAGGGAAGAGTTGCGGAGCCGAAGGTGAGCTGTCCTTTGTCACCTTGGATGAGATCGGGGAGGAGGAGGACGCCCCGGTGCCGCTGCCGGGCGTCGACCCCCAGGGCCTGGTGGTGGTGGATGAGGTGGTGGAAGAGGAGGAGCTGTCGGAAGCAGTGAAGGATCCGCAGGCGCTGCTGACGCTGGATGAGATCTCGGAGCAGGAGGAGCCGGGCTCCCACAGGAACGGGCCCCGGGTGGAATTTGAGGAGCGGGATCTGAAGGCTGAGCCCTTGGTGACCGTGGATGAGATCGGGGAGGTGGAGGAGCTGCCCCTCAACGAGCCCGCGGAGCTGAGCGCCACCGAAGAAGGGAAAACCAATCCCGGGGATTGCGTGGCCTCCCAGGTGCCCGATGATCCCAACGCCTTGGTGACCGTGGATGAGATCCAGGAGGACAACGAGGACAATCCTCTGGTGACTCTGGATGAGGTTAACGAGGATGAGGATGATTTCCTGGCCGACTTCAATCACCTTAAAGAGGAACTAAACTTCGTTACAGTCGACGAAGTTGGTGATGAGGAAGAAGAAAACACTTTCCCAGGGAAGAACCTGCCCGAGGATGAAGATGATGAAGATATTGTTGCTGTTGCAGGACCAGAAGAAATGGGAATTCTAGGAGATACAAATCCAGAGGATGAAATGGCTGAAATCTCCAAGCCAAAAGGTGAGGAACATCAAGGCCAGCTTGGACGAGGCTTGGAACCAGCTGGGCTGGTGGAAGATGTCCCTGTCCATGTCCTTTAGGTGCCTCCCAACCCAAACCACTCCATGGTTCCATTCCATCATGCCACGATTCTGTTCCGTGATTCCGTTCCATCACTCCATGATTCTGTTCCATGATGCCATGACTCCATCCCAACATGCATTTCTGTCTCCAGCAGCTCAGGTGGGATCAGAAGATGCAGAACCAAAGTCTCAGCAGAAGAAAACGACTTTTCCAGGTGTCCCCAAGACACAGAGCACTCCCAAAGGTAAATCCAAAGGCATGCCCTGAAATGCTCCAGGTTTTCCTGGCTGGAAGATTCTTTCCTGCCCGTTTGCAAACTCCTCCTGTGCCTCACAACCACAGTGAACCTCAAAGTCAGGGCCCAGAATCCATGGTTTTTCTTGGCTCCTCCAAATCCATGTTTAACTAGTTGGTTAAACTTGGAAGCCTCCCATGGAAAGTTTTTTTTCTGGAAATTTCCAAATCCAGGTGGAATTATGGATTATTAGTGAGGTGCAGTGTGATGCCTCCTGAGGGTTCCCATCCTGTGGTGAGTTTTATTCCCGACATTCGCTGTGTGGAAAGGAGGGAATTGAAATGGGGATGTAGGGATATAGTGAATTCCATGGGGTCAGAAATTGTTCCAATTTCCATGGGGTCAGTCCTTCAGGAACTGCTCCAACATGAGTCACCTCCGTGGAGTCTTTCCTTCAGGACCTGCTTTAGTGTGGGTCCCTTTTTCCATGGGATCAATCCTTCAGGAACTGCTCCAACCTCTGTGGGGTCAGTCCTTCAGGAACTTCCTGCATTTCCATGGGGTCAGTCCTTCAGGAACTGCTCCAACATGGGTCACTTTTCCATGGAGTCTTCCCTTCAGGATCTGCTCCAATGTGTCTCACTCTTCCATGGGGTCAGTCCTTCAGGAAGAGGCTGCTCCAACATGGGTCACTTATCCGTGGGGTCAATCCTTCAGGAATTGTTCCGAATTCCATGGGGTCAATCCTTCAGGAGTTGTTCCAGCTTCCATGGGCTCAGTTCTTCAGGAACTGGTCCAACTTCCATGGGGTCAATCCTTCAGGAGTTGTTCCAACTTCCATGGGCTCAGTTCTTCAGGAACTGGTCCAACTTCCATGGGGTCAGTACTTCAGGAACTGCTCCAAAATGAGTCACTTTTCCATGGAGTCAGTCCTTCAGGAATTGTTCCAACTTCCATGGAGTCAATCCTTCAGGAATTGTTCCAGCTTCCATGGGGTCAATCCTTCAGGAATTGTTCCAGGTTCCATAGAATCAATCCTTCAGGAATTGTTCGAATGTCCATGGGGTCAATCCTTCAGGAACAGGCTGCTCCAACATAGATCACTTTTCCATGGGATCAGTTCTTCAGGAACTGCTCCAATGTGGGTCACTCTTCCCTGGGATTAATTCTTCAGGAAGGTGGGTCACACTTCCATGGGGTCAGTCCTTCAGGAACTGCTCCAACAGGGATCACTTTTCCATGGGGTCATTCCTTCAGGAACTGCTCCAACAGGGATCACTTTTCCATGGCGTCAGTCCTTCAGGACCTGCTCTGACTTCCATGGGGTTGGTTGCTTTATTCCCAGAAAATGGTGTGTTTATTGGAAATGGAGATGACCTGTGGATTGAAGCGGGGCAGGGACCCGCTTGGGTGAAAAACCTGATTTTTTTGGAATGTTAGATTTCCCCCTGAGGAATCACAAATTCCCTGGGTTTGGCTAAAGGAAGGTGAGGTTGGAATATTTCTTGGAGCTGTGTGTGGTGACTATGGTGTATCCACAGCTCTGGACATCCTGGTCCCAAAGGCTGGATTCTTCTGCCAGATCTGCTCCCTCTTCTACGCCGACGAGCCCTCCATGATCAACCACTGCAGGACCCCCCTGCACCGGCAGAACATGGAGGTACCGCCCAGAAAAACAGGAATATCCCCCCAAATCCTCGGATTCAGGGCTGCCCAGAATTCCCCAGGAGTTCATGTTTGATGGGGCTTGGGAATATAGTGGGAACATGGAATATTTTTATTCCATGCCCAGATGGTGGGGAGTTCTGATCCCTGAGATTGGACCACATTTCCCTCAGGAGCTTCCCGTGTCGAATTTGGGGGTTTTTATGGGACAAATCCCACCTTGGCCGTGGGAGGAGCTGACTGAACCTGGCCCAGTTGTTCCTGGCCCAGGTTTTAGGGGATAATCCTGGAATATCCCTGCAGCACCATCTCTTCTCCCTTCTCCACAGAAATTCATGGCCAAGCAGCAGGACAGCGGCGGGGAGGAACCAAGCTCCAGGTGATGGAGCTTCCCAGGAGCGACACTTCGGGGCCAGTCAGTTCTGTGTGTTTGGATTTCCGTTGTCATTTGGGGTCGGGAAGGAGCATCCACGGTGTAAAAAATCGGAGCTGGGAACAGACTCAACCCAAAGCAGGAGAGGGTTGGATTTGCATCTCCGATCATCCAACGTCGGAGGGACTGTTCAGGTGTCTCCAGAAAATAAAATGTTCTTACTGTATAGTTACCCCAGGGCTTGAGTTTGGGGTGATTCTTTGGGGTTTGGTGACTCTGGATGACCCAGGAGATCCAGGGGAGAGTCAAGGGAAGGAGCTGGAGCTCCAGGAGCAGCTGAGGGAGCTGGGAAAGGGGCTCAGCCTGGAGGAAAAAGGGAATTTCTGCCTGTGCAGAGCTCCCTGGATTCTTGGAGCCAGAAGCTGGGATCTGGTCCCAGGGAACAGGGACAGGAGGAGAGGGAATGGCCCCAAGCTGTGCCAGGTTGGATATTGGGAAAATTCCTTCTTGGAAAGGGCTGTCCAGCCCTGGCAGGGGTGCAGTCCCCATCCCTGGGGGATTTACCAGCCCTGTGCTTGTGGCACTTGGGGACACGGCCGGCGGTGGCCTGGGCAGTGCTGGTCTTGATGGTCTCAGAGGGTTGTTCCCAAACAATTCCATGATTCCATGAGTCCCTGCCCTGCACCCAACCTGCCCCCAGCCCCCTCAGTTCCATGGTGACATTCCAAACTTGGGAACCCCCCTGGAGCGCTCAACCCCTCCTGGTGCTCATTAGCAGCCGACAGAGCCGCAGGAATTCAGGAATTCCTTTAATTCCTTTGCCCGGCGCTTGGAGCATCCACTGCCTTTTTGGGGGGCACATGGGAACCATTTCTCCCCATGGACTTCAGCCAGGTGGGTGGGATGGGGAAACTCAGATTAACTCCCTGACAATGCTGAACTTCTCTGAGGTGGGATCAGTGCCGGGCTCCGTGTGGGAAAGGCCCTGGAGGTCAGGATGGGCAGGGCTGGAGGGCGCTGACCCTGGCACCGGTGGTGTGGGCGGGGATGTGCCCCCTGCTCTGTTGCCTGAGCTCCTGCTCAAGAAAGTCTTTCCCACTGGGACATCTCTTGGTTGATGAAGTCTTCCCATTGGGACAGTTTTGTGTCCCTTGACATTCCCGTGACACTGCTCTGGGTATCTCTTGGTGTCCCCTTGGCATGGGTCTTGGTCAGTGAATTCTTCCATTTGGGACATCTCATGGTTGATGGATTCTTCCATTTGGGACATCTCCTGGTGGATTAAATCTTCCCACTGGGACAGAGTTTTGTGTCCGTTGACTTTCCCTTGGTGCCGTTCTTGGTCTCTCTTGGCTTTTCCTTGGCACAGCTCTTGGTTGATGGGTCCTTCCATTTGGGACATCTCATGGTTGATGGATCCTTCAATCTGGGACATCTCGTGGCTGATGGATCCTTCCATTTGGGACATCTCCTGGTGGATTAAGTCTTCCCACTGGGACAGAGTTTTGTGTCCCTTGACATTCCCGTGACACTGCTCTGGGTATCTCTTGGTGTCCCCTTGGCATGGGTCTTGGTCAGTGAATTCTTCCATTTGGGACATCTCGTGGTTGATGGATTCTTCCATTTGGGACATCTCCTGGTGGATTAAATCTTCCCACTGGGACAGAGTTTTGTGTCCGTTGACTTTCCCTTGGTGCCGTTCTTGGTCTCTCTCGGCTTTTCCTTGGCACAGCTCTTGGTTGATGGGTCCTTCCATTTGGGACATCTCATGGTTGATGGATCCTTCAATCTGGGACATCTCGTGGCTGATGGATCCTTCCATTTGGGACATCTCCTGGTGGATTAAGTCTTCCCACTGGGACAGAGTTTTGTGTCCCTTGACATTCCCGTGACACTGCTCTGGGTATCTCTTGGTGTCCCCTTGGCATGGGTCTTGGTCAGTGAATTCTTCCATTTGGGACATCTCGTGGTTGATGGATTCTTCCATTTGGGACATCTCCTGGTGGATTAAATCTTCCCACTGGGACAGAGTTTTGTGTCCGTTGACTTTCCCTTGGTGCCGTTCTTGGTCTCTCTCGGCTTTTCCTTGGCACAGCTCTTGGTTGATGGGTCCTTCCATTTGGGACATCTCATGGTTGATGGATCCTTCAATCTGGGACATCTCGTGGCTGATGGATCCTTCCATTTGGGACATCTCCTGGTGGATTAAGTCTTCCCACTGGGACAGAGTTTTGTATCCCTTGACATTCCCTTGGCACCATTCCTGGTGTCTCTTGGCTTTTCCTTGGCACGGCTCTTGGTCGAGGAAGTTTTCCACGTGGGGCATCTCTTGGTTGAAGAGTTCTTCCATTTGGGACATCTCTTGGTTGATTAGATCTTCCCATTGTGACACGGTTTTGTATCCATTGGCTTCTCCTTGGCACTGCTCTTGGTATTTCTTGGATTTCCTTTGGCACCTCTCTTGGGATCTCTTGGGTTCCCCTTGGTCGGTGAATTCCTCCCGTTGGGACAGATCCTCGTGTCCGTTGCCTTTCCCTTGGCGCAGCTCCTGGTCTCCCCTGGCTTTCTCCTGGCACAGCTCGTGGTCGATGAACTCCTCCATGTGGGACATCTCCTGGGTGATGAAGTCCAGCCATCGGGACAGATCTTTGTGTCCATGGCTCATCCCTTGGGGTGTCTCTGCGTGCCCTCGGGATCCCTGTGGATCTCTGCCGTGTCCCCCTCGGGGACCGCAGAATTCCCTCTTTTCCTGCTCCATGGCCAACACCCCCCGTCCCTCACAGCTCCTGGGAGTTGGGATGTGGCTTCTCCAGAGGGATCCAGGAGCTGCTCTCCTGAGAATGGACCTGAACCCTTTGGGATCACGCTGGAGTCGGGGTACGGCGCAGCTCCCGCGTCACAATGGGACATCCTGGCACCCCAGCAACCACAGGGCCCTCTGGAACCTTCTGGAACCTTCTGGAACCTCCTGGAACCTTCTGGAGCTGCAGCCCTGGCCGCACACGACACCAGGGGTGCGCAGGGAGGGTTGTCCCCTCCAGGTGACACTGGAAGGACACTGGGGGCACCCAGAGACACCTGGAGAAGCGGCACCAACCACGGGGCCCTCTGGAACCTTCTGGAGCCTTCTGGAACCTTCTGGAACCTTCTGGAGCTGCAGCCCCGGCCGCACACGACACCAGGGGTGAGCAGGGAGGGTTGTCCCCTCCAGGTGACACTGGCAGGACACTGAGGGCACCCAGAGACACCTGGAGAAGCGGCACCAACCACAGGGCCCTCTGGAACCTTCTGGAACCTTCTGGAACCTTCTGGAGCTGCAGCCCCGGCCGCACACGATTTCAGGGGTGAGCAGGGAGGGTTGTCCCCTCCAGGTGACACTGGCAGGACACTGGGGGCACCCAGAGACACCTGGAGAAGCGGCACCAACCACAGGGCCCTCTGGAACCTTCTGGAACCTTCTGGAACCTTCTGGAGCTGCAGCCCCGGCCGCACACGATTTCAGGGGTGAGCAGGGAGGGTTGTCCCCTCCAGGTGACACTGGCAGGACACTGGGGGCACCCAGAGACACCTGGAGAAGCGGCACCAACCACGGGGCCCTCTGGAACCTTCTGGAACCTTCTGGAACTTTCTGGAGCTGCAGCCCTGGCCGCACACGACACCAGGGGTGCGCAGGGAGGGTTGTCCCCTCCAGGTGACACTGGCAGGACACTGGGGACACCCAGAGACACCTGGAGAAGCGGCACCGTGAGAACGTGCGCGGTTCATCCAGGCTGGGTGAAATCCCAGACTGGCTGGGAGCATCCATGTGGGAAGGACTCGGCGACACGGGGACAGGGGACAGGAGTGTCCCAGTGCCACTCGGTGGCTTTGACCCCTCTCCGCTTGGGAGGTGCGGGGGACCAGAGCGGCTTCCCGGTAGGATTTCTACCGGGAACAGCCACGGCGCCTTTAAGGCATCTCCAAGCGGGATCTGGCGCTGCACCAGGAAATTCCTGACATCCCGGGAAGTGCTGAGCCAGCGCGAATCGGGCCCGGGAACGGCGCCAGGAGCGGGGCCGGGAGTTCTGCAAACCTCGAAAGGACAAAACCCATCCCAGCATCCAGCCCTTGGAATCGTGCAGGGAATGCCCGCTGTCCCTGTGCCAGCCCCGCTGTGCCCGCTGTGCCCGCTGTGCCCGCTCCCAGGGATGGAGCGGTGCGGATCCAAAGGATCCCTGAGCAGTGCGCAGAGCCAGAGGGGCCTGTCCCCGTCCCTCCTGATCCCGGCAGAGTTCCGGGACACCCCCAGGGGGACAGGGATGAGGACAAAGGACAGAGATGGCACCGGTGGGAAATCCCAATAAAAGACGGGAAAGTCACACCGGGGAAGTTTCGGGGCGTGCGAGACCCCGCGCGGGGTGAAGGGAGCGGCGGGACCCAAACCAGCACCCGGACCCGCACCCCGAGTCCCACCCGGGGCACCCCCGAGGGGTCGTGGCCGGGGACCGCCCCTCGCCGCTGGGTTCGGCCCCGCTCCGCCCGCACCGGCGGCTCCGGGACCTGCCGGGTCCCCGGGCTCGAGCGGCGGCGCCGCCGCTGCGGCGGGAGGAGCCCCCGCAGACCCCCGGGCCGCTCCCCGAGTGGCGGTGGGACGGTGGGGACACTGCGGGGGGCTGGGGACACGGTGAGGGGACAGCGGGGACACGGTGAGGACACAGGTCGAGGCCCGCCGGTGAGACCCGGTGTCCCCCGTTGGAGCGGTGCGGCGACACGGGGAGCGGAACGGGGCCGTGTAACGGGACGGGCACGGCCGGGGGTCCCTGCAGGAGGCGGGCGGGGGTCGCGGGCAGGAAGCGGGCGGGGAGCGGGCGGGGGGCGGGGAGGGGCCGGGACCGGGACCAGGAGCGGGTAAGGACCGGCAGGAGCGGGCAGGGACCGGCAGGGACCGGCAGGACCGCGGCCATGCCGGGGTCGCCCCTCGCCCCGCTGCTGCTGCTGCTGCTCCTGCTGGGCCCCCCGCCGCCCCCCGCCCACGCCGCGCCCCCCCAGCCCGGCCGGCCCCACGGCACGGCCAGCGGGACCCCCAAACCCAGTGGGGTGTCCCACAGAAAGGGCAGCACGACAGTACCCCCCAAAGCCAGCGGGGTGTCCCCCACCAAGGCCATCGCCGGGGGAGGACCCCCTAAAAGCAGCGAGACGCCCCCCTGGAAGAGCAGCACGGCGGGACCCCCCAAAGCCAGCGGGGTGTCCCCCAGAAAGAGCAGCACGACAGGACCCCCCAAACCCAGCGGGCTGCCCCCTCCGAAGGGCACCACGGCCACCCCCGCGAGGAGCAGCGCCACGACGGGACCCCCGAAGGGCAGCACGGTCCCCCCGGTGCGGGGCAGCGCGACCCCCGCCACCCCCGGCCCCTCCCGGGACGGGGACCCCGCGGTCACCGGTAGGACCGGGAGGGGTCGGGGGGCGCTGGGAGGGGTCGGGGTGTGGGAAGGACGGAGCGTGCAAAGTGGGGTTCGTGGGGGGAAACGGGGTGCTGGGGTGTTCCCTGCCCCTTCCCTGCCATCCCTGTGTCCCCTCGCAGCCCCGGCGCCCAAGGTGAGCACGGTGGCGGTGAGGAGGAGGAAGGTGGTGAGGAAGAAGGTGGTGAAGAAGAAGAAGGTGCTGAGGAAGAAGCCGGAGGCTCCGGCCGCTCCGCAGGAGCCCTGTACGTGCGCTGGGTGCGGGTGGCCCGGGCGTTGTCACCTGCAAACGGAGCTGGCCGTGTCCTGGGGACACCTGGGGGACACCCGGGGGACACCTGGGGGCACCTGGGGATACGCGGGGGGCAGCTGGGGACACCCGGGGGGCACTTGGGGACACCCGGGGGGCGTTTGGGGACACCTGGGGGCACCCGGAGGGCACCTGGGGACACCTGGGGACACCCGGGGGGCACTTGGGGACACCGGGGGGCAGCTGGGGGCACCTGGGGACACCCGGCAGACACCTGGGGGACACCTGGGGGCACCTGGGGACACCCGGGGGGCAGTTTGGGACACCTGGGGGCACCCGGGGGGTGCCTGGGGACACCTGGGGGCACCCGGGGTGCGCTTGGGGACAACTGGGGGGCGCTTGAGGACACCCGGGGGCCACTTGGGGACACCTGGGGACACCCAGGGGGCACTTGGGGACACCGGGGGGCACCCAGAGGGCACTTGGGGACACCTGGGGACACCCACGGGGCACTTGGGGACACCTGGGGGCACCTGGGGATACCCGGGGGGCAGCTGGGTGCACCTGGGGACACCCGGGGGGCACTTGGTGATACCTAGGGACACACGGGGGTGCTTGGGGACACCTGGGGGCACCCGGGGGCAGCTGGGGGACACCTGGGGGAAACCTGGGGGCAGCTGGGGACACCCGGGGGCACCTGGGGACACCCGGGGGGTGCTTGGGGACACCTGGGGATACCCGGGGGGCAGCTGGGAGCACCTGGGGACACCCGGGGGGCGCTTGGGGACACTCGGGGGAAACCTGGGGGCACCTGGGGACACCCGGGGAGTGCTTGGGGACACCTGGGGGCATCCGGAGGGCACTTGGGGACACCCGGGGGGCACTTGGAAACACCCAGGGGGCACCTGGGGGCACCTGGGGGTTGGGTTGTTGAACCATGGCTGGCACCGCTCGGTGGGGACACGGGATGGGGACAGCCCCGGCTGCTCGGGGGGGTCCCTGTGTGACGGTCCCCGCTGTGTCCCCAGCGTGCCCCCCCCTGGGGCTGGAGTCCCTGCGGGTGCTGGACACGCAGCTCCAGGCGTCGAGCCAGAAGCGGCACGGGCTGGGCGCGCACCGCGGCCGCCTCAACATCCAGGTACTGCCAGGGGGGCCAGGGTGGGCCAGGAATGTGCCAGGGCATGCCAGGAGTGTGCCAGGTGTGTGCCAGGAGCGTGCCAGGCTGGGGGGGTGTTTGGACGTCACCTACACAACATGTGGCCCGTGGCTGTGGCAAGTGCATGACAAGCGCCATGTAGGTGTGGCATCTTCGTGGCACGTTTGTGACATTTTGTGGCACATTTGTGACATTTTTTGGCCAGTTCATGGCATCCTTATGGCACATTTGTGACATTTTGTGACCAGTCCGTGGCATCTTCATAGCAAATTTGTGACATTTTGTGGCCAGTTTGTGGCATCTTCATGTCACGTTTGTGGCATTTTCTGGCCAGTCCGTGGCGTCTTCATGGCAAATTTGTGACATTTGGTGACCAGTCTGTGGCATCTTCATGGCACATTTGTGACATTTTGTGGCACATTTGTGACATTTTGTGACCAGTCCGTGGCATCCTCATGGCACATTTGTGACATTTTGTGGCACATTTGTGGCATTTTGTGGCCAGTCCGTGGCATTCTCATGGCTCATTTGTGACATTTTGTGGCCAATTTGTGGCATCCTCATGGCAAATTTGTGACATTTTGTGGCACATTTGTGACATTTTGTGGCCAGACCGTGGCACCTTCATGGCACGTTTGTGACATTTTGTGACCAGTTTGTGGCATCTTCATGGCACATTTGTGACATTTTGCGGCACATTTGTGACATTTTGTGACCAGTCCGTGGCATCTTCATGGCACATTTGTGACATTTTGTGACCAGTCCGTGGCATCTTCATGGCACATTTGTGGCATTTTGTGGCACATTTGTGGCATTTTGTGACCAGTTCGTGGCATCTTCATGGCACATTTGTGACATTTTGTGGCACGTTTGTGGCATTTTCTGGCCAGTCTGTGGCATCCTCATGGCACATTTGTGACATTTTGTAGCCCATTTGTGACATTTTGTGGCCAGTCCGTGGTATCTTCATGGCAAATTTGTGACATTTTGTGACCAGTTTGTGGCATCTTCATGGCACGTTTGTGACCAGTCTGTGGCATCTTCGTGGCACATTTGTGACATTTTGTGGCACATTTGTGACATTTTGTTGCACATTTGTGACATTTTGTGGCCAGTCCGTGGCATCCTCATGGCTCATTTGTGACATTTTGTGGCACATTTGTGACTTTTTGTGGCCAGTCTGTGACATCTTCATGGCACATATATGACATTTTTTGGCCAGTCCGTGGCATCTTCATGGCACGTTTGTGGCCAGTCCGTGGCATCCTCATGGCACATTTGTGACATTTTGTGGCACATTTGTGACATTTTGTGGCCCATTTGTGACATTTTGTGACCAGTTCATGGCACCCTCATGTCCCACGAGCGTCCCAGGCGCTCTCCAGCTCTGCCCTCTCCCTCCCATGTGGCTCCCCGTGGTCCTGGTGCCACCACCCCAGTGCCACCACCCCGGTGCCACCACCCCGGTGCCACCACCCCGGTCTCGGGGCACACAGCGGGCGGTGTGGCCGTGTCCCTGTGCGTGTCCCCTCCTGTCCCCACAGTCGGGGCTCTACGATGGCGATTTCTACGACGGCGGCTGGTGCGCGGGGCGCGAGGACACGGAGCAGTGGCTGCAGGTGGACGCCCGGCGCCTCACCCGCTTCACTGGCATCGTCACCCAGGGCCTCAACTCCATCTGGACGTAAGGGGACAAAGGGGACAAGGTTGGGGACAGCTTGGGGGACACCCCTGACCCACCCTGTGCCCCGCAGGTACGATTGGGTGACGTCCTACAAGGTGCAGGTCAGCAACGACTCGCACGCGTGGCTGCCCAGCCGCAACGGCACCGAGGAGGCGGTGGGTGGCACCGGGGGTGGCACCGGGGGTGGCACCGGGGGTGGCATCCCCAGACAGGGTGGGGACATTGGGAGGTGGCAGTGCCAGGGGACGGGAATCACCTGGGAGTTAACAATGGCACGGGAAGGGTTAACCGTGGTGGGGAGGTTAATGGTGCTCAGGGGTTAATTGTGCCAGGGGGATAATGATGCCAGGGTGGGGTTAGTTAGGACAGGGTTAATTATCCTGGGGGTTAATTGTGCCAGCTGGGTAACGATGCTATGGGGGTTAGTTAAGCCAGGGTTAATTATCCTGGGGGTTAATTGTGGTGGGGTTAATTGTGCCAGCTGAGTAACGATGCTATGGGGGTTAGTTAAGCCAGGGTTAATTATACTTGGGGTTAATTGTGGTGGGGTTAATTGCGCCAGCTGGGTAATGATTCTAGGGGGGGTTAGTTAAGCCAGGGTTAATTATCCTGGGGGTTAATTGTCGTGGGGTTAATTGTGCCAGCTGGGTAACGATGCTAGGGGGGGTTAGTTAAGCCAGGGTTAATTATACTTGGGGTTAATTGTGGTGGGGTTAATTGTGCCAGCTGGGTTAACCATTCCAAGAGTTAACAATGCCAGGTGGGTTACAATGACAGGGGGTTAATTATGCCAGGGTTAATTATACTGGGGGTTAATTGTGGTGGGGTTAACCATGCTAGTTAGGATAACCCTGCCAGGGGGGTTAATTAGGCCAGGGTTAATTGTGGTGGGGTTAACCATGCCAGTTAGGATAACCCTGCCAGGGGGGTTAATTAGACCAGGGTTAATTATACTGGGGGTTAACCCTGCCAGGGGGGTTAATTAGGCCAGGGTTAATTATACTGAGGGTTAACCATACCAGTTAGGATAACCCTGCCAGGGGGGTTAATTAGGCCAGGGTTAATTGTGGTGGGGTTAACCATGGTAGTTAGGATAACCCTGCCAGTGGGGTTAATTAGACCAGGGTTAATTATACTGGGGGTTAACCATGCCAGGTGGGTTAACCCTGCCAGGGGGGTTAATTAGACCAGGGTTAATTGTGGTGGGGTTAACCATGCTAGTTAGGATAACCCTGCCAGGGGGGTTAATTAGGCCAGGGTTAATTGTGGTGGGGTTAACCATGCTAGTTAGGATAACCCTGCCAGGGGGGTTAATTAGGCCAGGGTTAATTGTGGTGGGGTTAACCATACCAGTTAGGATAACCCTGCCAGGGGGGTTAATTAGGCCAGGGTTAATTATACTGGGGGTTAACCATACCAGTTAGGATAACCCTGCCAGGGAGGTTAATTAGGCCAGGGTTAATTGTGGTGGGGTTAACCATGCTAGTTAGGATAACCCTGCCAGGGGGGTTAATTAGGCCAGGGTTAATTGTGCTGGGGGTTAACCATGCCAGTTAGGATAACCCTGCCAGGGGGGTTAATTAGACCAGGGTTAATTATACTGGGGGTTAACCATGCCAGGGGGGATAACCCTGCCAGGGGGGTTAATTATGCCAGGGTTAATTATACTGGGGGTTAATTGTGGTGGGGTTAACTGAGCCAGGTGGGATAATCCTGCCAGTGGGGTTAATTAGGCCAGGGTTAATTGTGGTGGGATTAACCATGCCAGTTAGGATAACCCTGCCAGTGGGGTTAATTAGGCCAGGGTTAATTGTGGTGGGGTTAACCATGCCAGTTAGGATAACCCTGCCAGGGGGATTAATTAGACCAGGGTTAATTATACTGGGGGTTTACCATGCCAGGTGGGTTAACCCTGCCAGGGAGTTAATTAGGCCAGGGTTAATTGTGGTGGGGTTAACCATGGCAGTTAGGATAACCCTGCTGGTGGGGTTAATTAGGCCAGGGTTAATTGTGGTGGGGTTAACCATACCAGTTAGGATAACCCTGCCACGGGGGTTAATTAGACCAGGGTTAATCATGCTGGGGGTTAACTATGCTAGTTAGGATAACCCTGCCAGGGAGTTAATTATGCCAGGGTTAATTATGCTGGGGGTTAACCATACCAGTTAGGATAACCCTGCCAGGGGGGTTAATTAGACCAGGGTTAATTGTGGTGGGGTTAACCGAGCCAGGTGGGATAACCACGCTGGGCAGGGCGTTAACCACGCTGGGTTAACCACCCACCCCAGGAGGGTTAACCACCCACCCCAGGAGGGTTGCCCATCCCGGGGTGCCCGTGCCAGCTGGCACCATGCCCGGGCTCTGCTGCCCTTGGCCTGGCCCCCGGGCACCCTGCAGCGCTTCCCCCCGGCACAAAGGGCTGCTTGTCCCCTCCTGGGCACCTGCCAGCCCCCCTGGCACGGCCCTGGGGACACGGGGACACGCCTGGGTGTGGCCTGGCACTGGGGCGAGCATGGCAGCCTGGGGCTGGGGAGGGTTTGGGGTCCCTGTGCCATGGGTAGATTTGGGGTCCCAGTGCCATGGGTGGGTTTGGGGTCCCTGGTACAGTGTGGGTTTGGGGGTCCCTGTGCCATGGGTGGGTTTGGGGTCTCTGTGCTGAAGTTTTATTTTGAGGTCCCTTTGCTGGCGTGGGTTTGGGGTCCCCATGCTGAGGGTAGATTTTGGGGTTCCTGTAGCATGGATGGATTTGGGGTCCCTGGGACAGATGTGGGGTGTCTGTACCAGGGGTAGATTTGGGGGTCACCATGTCAGGGCTGTACCAGGGTCAGGTTTGGGGATCTCCATGCCAGGTCTGGATTTGGGGTCCCTGTGCCATGGGGTAGATTTGGGGTCGCTGGTACAGGGTGGTTTTGGGTCCCTGTGCCATGGGTGGATTTGGGGTCCCTGTTCTGGGGTAGATTTGGGGGTCACCGTGTCAGGGCTGTACCAGGGTCAGGTTTGAGGGTCTCCATGCCAGGGGTGGCTTTTGGGATCCCCCTGCCTGATGCATGCCAGGAGCAGATTTGGGGCTCCCTGTGCCCATCCCTGGTGCCTTTGGGGTCCGGGCTGGGCTGGAGGGCATCGGGCAGCACCCAGACCCCCTGGAGCCCCACAGGCAGCTCTCCCTGACCCCTCCTGTCCCCTCCTGTCCCCTCCTGTCCCCTGCAGGTGTTCCCCGCCAACAAAGACCCCGAGACGCCGGTGCTGAACGTGCTGCCCGTGCCACTCGTGGGGCGCTTCCTGCGCATCAACCCCCAGAGCTGGTTCCCCAACGGCACCGTGTGCCTGCGGGCCGAGGTGCTGGGCTGTCCCCTGCCCGGTGGGTGTCCCCGGCTGTCCCCTGCCCCTTTGGGACCCTCTGGCTGTCCCCTGCCCCTCTGGGACCCACTGGCCATACCCTGCCCTGTGGGGACCCTCTGGCTGTCCCCTGCCCCTTTGGGACCCTCTGGCTGTCCCCTGCCCCTCTGGGACCCACTGGCTGTCCTCTGCCCCTCGGGGACCCACTGGCTGTCCCCTGCCCCTTTGGGACCCGCTGGTTGTCCCCTGCCCCTTTGGGACCCTCTGGCTGTCCTCTGACCCTTTGGGACTGTCTTCCTGTCCCCTGCCCGGGGGTGTCCCCGGCTGTCCCCTGCCCCATGGGGACCCTCTGGTTGTCCCCTGTCCCTTTGGGACCCACTGGCTGTCCCCTGCCCCTCAGGGACCCTCTGGTTGTCCCCAGCCCCTCTGGGACCCTCTGGCTGTCCCCTGCCCCTTTGGGACCTGCTGGCCGTCCCCTGCCCCTTTGGGACCCACTGGCTGTCCCCTGTCCCATGGGGACCCGCTGCCTGTCCCCCAGCTCACATGCCACCCCAGCAGCGCTCACCACTGTCACCAAAGTGGCGGTCTGGGCTGTTGGCTGTCCCTGACCGTGTCCCCTCGCTGTCCCCTCGCTGTCCCCTCGCTGTCCCCGCAGACCCCAGCGATGCCCACGCCTGGCACCCTCCATCCCCACCCGAATCTCAGCTGGATTTCCGCCACCACAACTACAAGGAGATGAGAAAGGTGCCACCCACCCGCCGAGCCCTGTGTCCCCAGAGTGTCCCCAGGGTGTCCCCAAGGACAGCGCGGCGCTGGGGGGTGGCTGTGCCACCTCGGCGTGTCCCTGACGGTGCCACCCCCGCAGCTGATGAAGAGGGTGAGCGAGGAGTGCCCTGACATCACCCGCGTGTACAGCATCGGGCAGAGCTCCCGCGGGCTGCGCCTCTACGTGATGGAGATCTCCGACAACCCCGGGCAGCACGAAGTCGGTGGGGACACCTGGGGACACCTGGGGACACCTGGGGACACCTGGGGACACTTGGGGACACTTGGGGTGGGGCACAATGGGCGTGGGGACAGCGCCCAGGGATGCCCAGGCTGGGATGGGGTGACTGGGGGTGCCCAGGATGAGGAGGAGGTCACCAGGGATGGCCAGGCTGGCACAGGGGGTGGGGACTGTCACCAGGGCTGTGTAGGACAGTGGGCACTGTCACCAGGGCTGGTGTAGGACAGTGGGTACTGTCACCAGGGCTGTGTAGGACAGTGGGCATTGTCACCCTGGCTGGCTCCAGATGGGGTCACTGGGCCACCCAGCGTGGCAGGGGATGCCCAGAATGGAGATGGGGACACCAGGGACACCCAGACCTGTGAAGGATGGCGGGGGAGGGTGGCTGGGGACACCCAGGATGGGGATGGGGACACAGGGACACCCAGAGTGGTGCAGGGAGATGGGGACAGTGACCAGGGATGTCCAAAGTGGAGCACATGGATGGGGACAGGGTGAGCAGGAGTGCTCAGGATGGAGATGGGGACACCCAGGATGGGGATGGGGACACAGGGACACTGAGGGTGGTGCAGGATGGGGACACAGGGACGTCAGGATGGGGATGGGGACACCCAGACTGCTGCAGGAAGATGGGGACAGGGTGACCAGGGACACCCACACTGGTGCAAGACAGAGACAGGGACACCCAGACTGGGGATTTGGACACAGGGACACCCGGACTGGTGCAGATGGATGGGGACAGGATGTACTGGGACATCCAGACTGGTCCAGGACAGTGACCAGGGACACCCAGACTGGTGCAGGGACATGGGGACAGGGTGACCAGGGACACCCAGGGTGGACACAGGGACACCCAGACTGGTCCAGGATGGGGACTGGGACACCCAGACTGGTGCAGGGACGTGGGGACAGTGACCAAGGACACCCAGGGTGGAGATATGGACACAGGGACACCCAGACTGGTCCAGGATGGAGACAGGAACACCCAGACTGGTGGAGGAGCATCCTGGGGACAGGGACACCCAGGATGGTGCAGGGACATGGGGACAATGACCAAGGACACCCAGGGTGGTGCAGGGACATGGGGACAGTGACCAGGGACACCCAGGGTGGTGCAGGGACATGGGGACAGTGACCAAGGACACCCCAGGTGGTGCAGGGACAGTGACCAGGGACACCCAGGGTGGAGACAGGGACACCCAGGGTGGTGCAGAGACACGGGGACAGTGACCAAAGACACCCAGCCTGGTGGAGTGGCATCCTGGGGACAGGGACAGCCAGGCTGGGGATGGGGACACGGGGACAGTGCCCAGGGTCCCTCCAGCCAGCCGCGGTGGCCCCGCAGGAGAGCCGGAGTTCCGCTACGTGGCCGGGATGCACGGGAACGAGGTGCTGGGCCGGGAGCTGCTGCTGAACCTGATGGAGTTCCTGTGCCGGGAATTCCGGCTGGGCAACCCCCGCGTGGTGCAGCTGGTGACGGGCACGCGCATCCACCTGCTGCCCTCCATGAACCCCGACGGCTACGAGACTGCCTACAAGCTGGTAGGGCTGGCACCGCCCATCCTGGTGACCGCGGTGTCAGCAAAATGTCCATCCTGGTGTCCATCCCGATGTCCATCCCAATGTCCATCCTGGTGTCCATCCCAATGTCCATCCTGGTGTCCATCCCAGTGTCCATCCCAATGTCCATCCCGGTGTCCATCCCAGTGTCCATCCCGGTGCCCATCCCAGTCATCACAGTGTCCATCCTGATGACCGCGGTGCCAGCACAATGTCCATCCTGGTGTCCATCCCAATGTCCATCCCAGTGCCCATCCCAATCATCCCAGTGCCCATCCCGGTGCCCATCCCGGTGTCCATCCCGGTGCCCATCCCAATCATCCCAGTGCCCATCCCAATGTCCTTCCCAGTGCCCATCCCAGTGATCCTGGTGATCCCCAATGCCCATCCCAGTGCCCATCCCGGTGATCCTTGTGCCCATCCCAATGTCCATCCCGGTGCCCGTCCCACTGATCCCGGTGCCCATCCTGGTGCCCATCCTCATGATCCTAGTGTCCATCCCAGTGATCCCCGGTGCCCATCCCAGTGACCATGATGCCCATCCTGGGGATCCCAGTGATCCCAGTGCCCATCCTGGTGATCCCAGTGTCCATCCTGGTGCCCATCCCAATGACCACAGTGCCCATCCCGGTGATCCTGGTGTCCATCCCAGTGCCCATCCCAGTGATCCTGGTGATCCCGGTGCCCATCCTGGTGATCCTGGTGATCCCAGTATCCATCCCAGTGCCCATCCCAGTGATCCTGGTGATCCCGGTGCCCATCCTGGTGATCCCAGTGTCCATCCCAGTGCCCATCCCAGTGATCCTCATGCCCCCGGTGCCCGCGGTGCCCCGGCAGGGCTCGGAGCTGGCGGGATGGGCCATGGGCCGCTGGACGTACGAGGGCATCGACCTCAACCACAACTTCGCCGACCTGAACACGGCGCTGTGGGACGCCGAGGACAACGACCTGGTGCCCCACGAGTTCCCCAACCACTACATCCCCATCCCCGAGTACTACACCTTCGCCAACGCCACGGTGAGACCCCGAAACCCCAAACCTCCTGGGCTGGCACCGTGCTGAGACCCCAAAACCCCAATCCTATCAGTGTGGGACCCCGAAACCCCAATCCTCCTGGGCTGGCACCGTGCTGAGACCCTGAAACCCCAATCCTATCAGTGTGAGACCCCGAAACCCCAAACCTCCCAGGCTGGCATCATGCTGAGACCCCAGAACCCCAATCCTTCCAGGGTGGCACTGTGCTGAGACCCCCAAAACCCCAAACCTCCCGGGCTGGCACCATGGTGAAACCCCAAAGCCCCAATCCTCCCGGGCTGGTGCCAAAGTGAGACCCCGAAACCCCAATCCTATCAGTGTGAGACCCCAAAACCCCAATCCTCCTGGGCTGGCACCGTGCTGAGACCCCAAAACTCCCCTATCCTCCTGGGCTGGTGCTGCAGTGAGACCCCAAAACCTCAATCTTCCCAGGCTGACACCGTGGTGAGACCCCAAAACCCCAATCCTATCAGTGTGAGACTGGGTGGCTCTGGGGGCACAGGTGACAGCGGTGTCACCGCAGGGATGACCTTGTAGACATGGGTGACAGCGGTGTCACCACATGGGTGACCCAGAGGATGGTGACAGTGGTGTCACCACATGGGTGACCCAGAGGATGGTGACAACAATGTCACCACATGGGTGACCACGTAGACATGGGTGATGGTGGTGTCACCACATGGGTGTCCTGGAGGATGGTGACAGTGGTGTCACCGGAGGGGTGACTGGAGGATGGTGACAATGGTGTCACCACATGGGTGGCCCCAGGGGCACAGGCGACAGCGGTGTCACCATATGGGTGACTGGAGGATGGTGACAGGGTGTCACCACATGGGTGACCCAGTGGATGGTGACAGCAGTGCCACCACATGGGTGACCCAGTGGATGGTGACAGCGGTGTCACCACATGGGTGACCCAGAGGATGATGACAGCGGTGTTGTCACCACATGGGTGACCCAGAGGATGGTGACAGGGTGTCACCACAGGGGTGACCCAGAGGATGGTGACAGCAGTGCCACCACATGGGTGACCCAGAGGATGATCACAGTGGTGTCACCACATGGGTGACTGGAGGATGGTGACAGCGGTGTCATCACATGGGTGACCCAGAAGATGATAACAGCGGTGTTGTCAGCACATGGGTGACCTCAAAGATGGTGACAGCGGTGCCACCACATGGGTGACCCAGAGGATGGTGACAGGGTGTCACCACAGGGGTGACCTGGAAGATGATGACAGTGGTGTCACCACATGGGTGACTGGAGGATGGTGACAATGGTGTCACCACATGGGTGACCCACAAGATGATGACAGCGGTGTCACCACATGGGCGACCCAGAAGATGATAACAGCGGTGTTGTCAGCACATGGGTGACCCAGAGGATGATCACAGTGGTGTCACCACATGGGTGACCCAGAGGATGATCACAGCGGTGTCACCACATGGGTGACCCAGAAGACGATGACAACGGTGTTGTCACCACATGGGTGACCTCAAAGACGGTGACAGCGGTGTCACGCGCAGGTGGCCCCGGAGACGCGGGCGGTGATCGCGTGGATGCAGCGCTACCCGTTCGTGCTGAGCGCCAACCTGCACGGCGGCGAGCTGGTGGTCACCTACCCCTTCGACATGAGCCGCACCTACTGGAAGGCGCAGGAGCTGACCCCCACGCCCGACGACGGCGTCTTCCGCTGGCTGGCCACCGTCTACGCCACCGCCAACCTGGCCATGGCCCGCGGCGAGCGCCGGCCCTGCCACCAGCACGACTTCACGCGCTTCGGCAACATCATCAACGGCGCCAACTGGCACACGGTGGCTGGCAGTGAGTGGGGACACGGGGACACTGTGAGGTCGGGGGTACGTGGCAGTGAGCGGGACACAGAGCTCAGGTGGCACATGGCAGTGAGTGGGACACGGAGCTCAGGTGGCACAGGATGGGTGACAGTAGTGACACTGAGCTCGGGTGGCACAGGGTGACAGTAGTGACAATGAGCTCAGGTGGCACAGGGTATTGAGTGGGACACGGAGCTCAGGTGGCACACGGTGGGTGACAGTAGTGACACTGGGTTCAGGTGGCACAGGGTAGATGGCAGTAGTGACACTGAGCTCAGGTGACACCTGGCAGTGAGTGGGACACTCTGTGAGCTCAGGTGGCACATGGCAGTGACAGGACACTGAGCTCAGGTGGCACCTGGCAGTGACTGGGACGCTCTGTGAGCTCAGGTGGCACCTGGCAGTGAGTGGGACACTGAGCTCAGGTGGCACCGGGTGGGTGACAATAGTGACACTGAGCTCAGGTGGCACAGGGTGACAGTAGTGACACAGAGCTCAGGTGGCACCTGACAGTGACTGGGACACGGAGCTCAGGTGGCACAGGGTGGGTGACAGCAGTGACACTGAGCAGGTGGCACAGGGTGGGTGACAGTAGTGACACAGAGCTCAGGTGGCACAGGGTGGGTGGCAGCAGTGACACTGAGCTCAGGTGGCACAGGGTGGCAGTAGTGACACTGAGCTCAGGTGGCACAGGGTGGCACCGAGCAGGGATTTGTGCATTTTTGGGTTTTGCTCCATGTGTGAAATGCCCTTTCCTGCCTGTTCCCGGATGTTTTTCAGTTCTTGTCTCCGTTACAGTCCCACAAATGAATTTCACAGAAATTCACCCCAACACGATAAAAATGGAGCCCAAACTCCCTACAGGACCCTTTAAGGATAAACTGTCCAATTAACGAATAGCACCTCAATTATTTTCATTTTTATCTCACTCACTTGTGACTGGAAATGGGGAGTTTTTTATCCAATTACAGAAAACCACCCAAACCCATGGAGAAGAAGGATCAGTGTCCTAAAACGTCTGGTTTGCTTTATATATATATCACTGTATTATAAAACTTTATTTATTTGTAATATTTTATATATATTTAATACATATAATATAATATAATATAATATAATATAATATAATATAATATAATATAATATAATATAATATAATATAATATAATATAATATAATATAATATAATATAATATAATATAATATATATTAATTATATTATATTATAATATAAATATGTATTATTGCTAATAATATATTATAATGTATATTATATTATATATTATTTAATTATTCCTATATTATATCTATTATATATTATAATTATATATTATATATTGTATAATATATATTATATAATAATATAATATACATTGCAATATATGTTATTATATATAATATATATTGTATATAATAATATACTATATAATAATATATAATTAATATATATAATATTATTATTTCATATACACTATAAAATACATTCTATATGGTATATTATTATATATATAATATATATAATGTATGTATTATATACATTATATATAATATGTAATATATATTATTAAACTCTGAGTTTTTCACCTTGTGATATTACACACTTCTAATCAAATTACACACTTATTATTGCATAATTTTATTTCTATTATTTAATATATTATATATTATTACTTTATATACAATGTAATATACAAGATATATATTGTATATGATTGTGTATATAATATATATAATATATTATATATAATATATATAATATAGATAATATAGATAATATAGATAATATAGATAATATATTTTATATGTATATTATATATTATATACATTCTATATATAATATATAATATATTTAAATATATATTATTACATATATATTATTAAACTCTGAGTTTTCCACCTTGTGATACTACACACCTCTTATGAAATTCCACATTTAAATTACATGATTTTAATTGGATAATTTAATTTTGGAAGCTTCCCCACAGCCTCAGGCCAAACACAGAATTCTCCTCATTGCCTGCCATCCCCGACATTGTCACACCCTCAGCACGCAGGGACACTCTGTCACCTCCGTGTCCCCGTGTGTCCCCAGGCATGAACGACTTCAGCTACCTGCACACCAACTGCTTCGAGATCACCGTGGAGCTCTCCTGTGACAAATTCCCGCACGCCTCCGAGCTGCCCCACGAGTGGGAGAACAACCGCGAGTCCCTGCTGCTCTTCATGGAGCAGGTGGGCACGGCTGGCACCGGGGGTGGCACCGGGGGTGGCACCGGGGGTGGCACTGCGGTGGCACCCGGGCTTGGGGACACGGCTCCAGGGTGGCAGGAGGCACCGCGGGGATTCTGTGAGGAGGGGTGGGATGGGAGTGGGGATGGGGATGGGGATGGGGATGGGAATGGGGATGGGGATGGGATTGGGAATGGGGATGGGGATGGGAGAATGGGAATGGGGGAATGGGAATGGGGAAATGGGGATGGGAATGGGAATGAGGATGGGAATGGGAGAATGGGAATGGGATTGGGAATGAAGGAATGGGAATGGGATTGGGAATGGGGGAATGGGAATGGGAATGGAATGGGGATGGGAATGGGGGAATGGGAATGGGGTTGGGAATGGGGAATTCAGATGGGAATGGAATTGGGAATGGGGGAATGGGAATGGGGATGGGAATGGGGAAATGGGAACAGGGAGGGGAATGGGAATGGGGATGGGGGAATGGGGATGGGAATGGGATTGGGAATGGGAATATGGGGGAGTTTGGGGTGCTGGGGTAAGGGGGGCAGTGGGGATAGGGGGTGCAGAATGGGGGATTTGGGGGGGGGGTTGGGAAATGGGGACACTGGGGAATAGGGGTCCAGGGTGGGCAATTTGGGGGGGGTTGGAACATGGGGACACTGGGAAATAGGGGGGTACAGGATAGGGGATTTGGGGGGGTTTGGGACATGGGGACACTGAGGGGGTCTGGGTGTTTTGGGGACAATGGGGACACTGTCATGGGCAGGGCAGGGCCAGGGGACCCCCAGGGGTGTCTCTGTAAGACTTTGAGGATGGGGGGACACGCTGGGGACATTCCAGGGTGGGGCTTTCAGCAGGATGGCAGCGGGACGTGGCTGTCCCCAACACCGAGGGTGGCACCGGGAGGGGGGGACACACCTGTGGCACCGACCCCTGCAGGTGCACCGCGGGATCAAGGGCGTGGTCCGGGACAGTGACACCGAGCAGGGCATCCCCAACGCCATCATCTCCGTGGATGGCATCAACCACGACGTCCGCACCGGTGCGGGGACACCGGGACCCTGCGGGACGGGGTTTGGGGCGGGAATGGGATCGGGATGGGAAGAGTTAATGGGATGAGGTGGGGAATAGGGATGGGACAGGAATGGATGGCATTGGGGACAGGAATGGGATTGGGATGGGGACAGGGAAAGGAATGGGATGGGATTTGGGGACGGGATCGGGTAAATCGCAGGTGGAGATGGAAATAGGACCGGGAAAGGGAATGGGGACGGGAATGGGATGGGGCTGGGGACAAGGACAGGAATGGGATTAGGGATGGGAATAGGGACGGGGATGGGACAAGAATGGGATTGGGGCTGGGGACGAGGACAGGAATGGGATTGGGGATGGGAATAGGGATAGAGATGGAACAAGAATGGGGTTGGGGTTGGGGTGAGGACAGGAATGGGATTGGGGATGGAACAAGAACAGGGTTGGGGCTGGGGACGAGGACAGGAGTGGGATTGGGGATGGGGATAGGGATGGGACAGGGACAGGAATGGGATTGGGGATGGGAATAGGGACAGGGATGGGACAAGAATGGGGTTGGGGTGAGGACAGGAATGGGATTGGGGATGGAACAAGAACAGGGTTGGGGCTGGGGAGAAGGACAGGAATGGGATTGGGGATGGGAATAGGGATAGGGATAGGGATAGGGATAGGGATAGGGATAGGGATAGGGATAGGGATAGGGATAGGGATGGGGATGGGGATGGGGATGGGGATGGGGATGGGGATAGTGATGGGACAAGGACAGGAATGGGATTGGGGATGGGAATAGGGACAGGGGTGGGACAAGAACGCGGTTGGGGCTGGGGACGAGGACAGCGGTGGGGACAGCAGTGTGACACCGGCCCGCCGCAGCCTCGGACGGGGACTACTGGCGGCTGCTGAACCCGGGCGAGTACGAGGTGACGGCGCGGGCCGAGGGCTACGAGGCGGCCACGCAGCCGTGCCGGGTCTACTTCGAGAACGTCCCCACCCCGTGCAGCTTCCGCCTGGCGCGGGCGCGGGGCCGCCACCGGCCCGGGAGGACCCGGCCGGGCCCCGACCCGGCCCTGCGGCTGCAGCGGCTGCGCCTCCGCCGCCTGCGCGCCCACGGCCGCGGGCAGTGACCGGGGCCGCCCCGGGGCCGCGGGCTCGGCCGGGGGGCGCGGGGGAACCGGGCGGGACGGCTCCCAGTAAAGTTCGGGTGCGCTGCCGCTGAGAGTGTGCGGGCCTGGAGCGGCGGAGGGAGCGGGAACGGGAACGGGAACGGGACCGGGACAAGGAACGGGACCGGGACCGGGACCGGGGCTCGATCCTGTCCCGGAATCCCGCGTGGGAACTCGGCGAGGCCACGCCCCTCACCAGGCCACGCCCATTCGTTGCTGACCAATAGAAATTCCGTATGGGCCGCGCCCCCCGATAGGACACGCCCCCATCCGTGCACACAAATGGCCATTCACTGTAAGCCACGCCCACAAACCACGCCCCTTTTCTGATAGCGATTGGTCCTCCACGGTCCCGCCCCTTTTCCCAATGGACTATCTGGCCACGCCCCCGACGGGCTTCTCTGGGCTCCTATTGGCTGCTGGCGGCGGGAGGGGCGGGGCGCGGCGGCGGCGGGGGCCAATAGAATGCGAGAGTCAGCGGCGGCGCGAAGGGGGCGGGGCTGGGGGGACAATGAGGGGACATTGAGGGACAATGAGGGGACATTGAGGGACAATGAGGGGACATTGGGGGACAGTGAGGGGCACTGAGGGGACATTGAGGGACACTGAGGGGACACTGAGGGGACATTTAAGTGACATTTAGGGGACACTGAGGTGACATTTAGGGGACACAGAGGGACACTGAGGTGACATTTAGAGGACAATGAGGGGACACGGGGGGACATTTAGGGGACAATGAGGGGACATTTAGGGGACACTGAGGTACAGTGAGGGGACATTGAGGCACACTGGGGGGACATTGAGGGGACACTGAGGGGACATTGAGGGGACATTTAAGTGACATTTAGGGGACACTGAGGTGACATTTAGGGGACACAGAGGGACACTGAAGTGACATTTAGAGGACACTGAGGGACAATGAGGGGACACAGGGGGACATTTAAGTGACATTGAGGGACACTGCGGTGACATTTAGGGGACAATGAGGGGACATTTAGGGGACACTGAGGTACACTGAGGGGACATTGAGGCACACTGGGGGGACAATGAGGGGACATTTAGTGGAGACTGAGGGGACATTTAAGTGACATTTAGGGGACACTGGGGGACAGTGAGGGACACTGGGGGACAGTGAGGGGACACTGCGGTGACATTTAAGGGACAATGAGGGGACATTTAGGGGACACTGAGGGGACATTGAGAGGACACTGAGGGGACATTTAAGTGACATTTAGGGGACACTGCGGTGACATTTAGATGACACTGAGGGGACACTGAGGGGACATTCAGAACCCCCCCGGCCCCCCCCAGCTCCCGGCATCTCTTTCCCGGCACCACCGGCGGGGGCGGCGCTGCCGTTCGGCGCCTGCGCCACCGGAGCCTCCGCCGGTTCCACCCGGTGCACTTCGGGGTGTCCCCCCCCTCCCCGGAACCCCCAAACCCACCGGAACCCCCCCAAATCCGAGCGATGGGCTGAGCGCGCCGGGCTGGGGGTGCAGGAGACAGAGACCCCCCCAAAAAAACCCCCCCGGGGGTCACCGAGATCCCCCCGGTGTGCCCCGGGCCCGGTGGGAGCGGCGGGAGCAGCAGGTGAGGGGGGGCGGCCGTGAGGGGTTTGGGTTTGGGGGATCGGGGGTTGGGGGGGGCCGTGAGGGGTTTGGGTTTGGGGGATCGGGGCTTGGGGGGTTTGGGGTCGGGCATCCCCCGCAGTGAAGGGTTTGGGGCGGTTTTGGGGATCCCCTCGTCGTGCCCGCCCAAATCCGTGGGAGGGGGGATGTGGCGGTGTCATCCTCTTGTCCCACTCCTGTCCCTCCTGTCCCCATCCTATCCCCCCTATCCCCCTCCTGTCCCCCACTTGTCCCCCTCCTGTCCCCTCCTATCCCCTCTTGTCCTCCTCCTATCCCCACTTGTACCACTCCTGTCCCTCCTATCCCCCCAATCCCCTTCCATGTCCCCATCCTGTCCCCATCCTGTCCCCCTCCTGTCCCCCCTTGTCCCCACCCTTGTCCCCCTCCTGTCCCCACTCCTATCCCCTCCTGTCCCCCCTTGTCCCTCTCCTGTCCCCATTCCTGTCCCTCCTATCCCCCCTTGTCCCCCTCCTGTCCCCTCCTATCCCCCCTATCTCCCTCCACATCCCCCTCCTGTCCCTCCTGTCCCCCCCCTGTCCCCTCCTGTCCCCGTGCCCGCCCCGGGGCCCTTTCCCCGCCCCCTCACGGGCACATCTCGGTGCCCACTCTCTGCCCACCCTTGCCCCGGCTCCCGGTGAGTGCCAGGGTTGGGGGCAGGAGGAGGGGACACCCCCAGATCCCACAGCTGTCCCCCCGTGCCTGCTGCCCACGCTGCCCACCCCGGCTGTGCCAGGCAAAGCCCCTGCCCGGCTGGGTGGGGGATGAACCCCTGAGGGACCCCCCTTGTTTATGGGGGACCCCCGGTGGCAGCAGCACTGGCACTGCCCTGACCCCTTGTGCCACCCCTGGGACGGGTCTGGAGGCACACTGAGGGTCCCTGTGAGGGTGGGCACTGCCCTGACCCCTTGTGCCACCCTAGGGATGGGTCTGGGGGCACACTGGGGGTCCCTGTGAGTGTGGGCACCCTCTAACCCCCTGTGCCACCCCTGGGATCGGTCTGGGGGCACACACTGGGGGTCCCTGTGAGGGTGGGCACTGCCCTGACCCCTTGTGCCACCCCAGGAATGATTCTGGGGGCACACTGGGGGTCCTTGTGAGGGTGGGCACCCTCTAACCCCCTGTGCCACCCCTGGGATGGGTCTGGGGGCACACTGGGGGTCCCTGTGAGGGTGGGCACCCTCTAACCCCCTGTGCCACCCCTGGGATGGGTCTGGGGACACTCTGACCATCCCGTACCACCCCGTACCACCCCAAGACCCCTTTCCCGTGCCCATCTCCCCCTTGGCACCCCACTAACCCCTTGTGCCACCCCAGGAACGGGTCTGGGGGCACACTCGGGGCCCCTGTGAGGGTGGGCACCCTCTAACCCCCTGTGTCACCCTAGGGATGAGTCTGGGGACACTCTGACCATCCCGTACCACCCCTTTCTTTCCCCGTGCCCATCTCCACCTTGGCACCCCCCTAACCCCTATCCATGCCACCCCACAGGTGCCACCATGGCGTCGTTCCGCATCCGGCAGTACCAGGAGCAGGACTTCGAGGCCGTGCGGGCACTTTTCGCCCGCGGCATCCTGGAGCACGCCCCGGCCGCCTTCCGCCACGTGCTGCGGGCGGCGCGGGTACGCCTGGCACTGCTGGCGGTCTTCGTGGCGGCGCGGGCGGCCGCCGGCTCCTGGCTGCTGGGGCTGGGCGCGGTGGCACTGGCGTTGGCACTGCTCTGGGTGTTGGTGCGCTCGCTCAGCGCTGAGTACGTCCGTGAAGCGCTGGGCACCGACCTGTGCGATGTGCCTGGTACCTACCAGCGCCCGCCCGACCGCCGCTTCTGGGTGGCCGAGGAGGGTGGCACTGTGGTGGGCATGGTGGCGGCGATGCCCGCGGGCCGTGGCGAGCTGGAGTTGAAGAGGATGTCGGTGAGCCGCGAGCACCGGGGCCGTGGGATGGCACGGGCGCTGTGCCGGGAGGTGTTGGCCTTTGCCCGTGCCCGCGGTTATGGTGCCGTGGTGCTCAGCACCTCCATGGTGCAGGTGGCAGCGCAGCGGCTCTACGAGGGGCAGGGATTCCGCAGGGTGGGCACCTCGTACCCGTCGCTGCTGGGCACGCTGCTCAACTTCCAGATCTTTCATTATCGCTGTGATTTGGGGGATGGAGAAAAGTAGGGATTGGGTGGTGGTGACGTGGTGACGCGGCAACGGGATGGAGGGTTTGGTGTGGCACCCGAACCCTGGCACCGCTCTGGCACCCCAAACCCAGCCCCGGGATGCAACCCCATCGCTCCGACCCCACTCCTGGCACAGCAGCAGTGGCACAGCGCCGCGATTCCAGGACATGGAGCAGCCCAGCCTGGCACTGCCTGGGCATGGTGACACCAGGACGTGTGGCACCACCTTGGCACCCCAGCCTGGCACTGCCTGGGCACGGTGACACCAGGACGTGTGGCACTGCCTTGGCACGGTGACACCAGGACGTGTGGCACCACATTGGCACCCCAGCCTGGCACGGTCTTGGCACGGTGACACCAGGACGTGTGGCACCGCCTTGCCACCACAGCACTCCAACCCTGGCACATGAAGCACCGCCATGGCACCCTCAATGCCCACCCTGGCACAGGGATCACCTCCCTGGCCCCTCCTGGATTTCCAGCGGCCGGAAATAAAGAGAGACCTGTGGGAACTGTGCGTGTGACAAGGGACATCTCGGGGCATGGGGACATCCCCTGGGGGAGCAGGACAGCCTGGGGGACAGCGAACACTGAGGGAGAAGGGACAGCTTGAGGGACACCTCTGTGGGACAAGGGACATTTTGGGCGACACCTTTGGGGATAAGAGACCTCTTGGGGAACTGGGAACACACTGGGGGACAACAGAAATTTTGGGGGAGAGGGCAAATCTTTGGGGACAGGCGACACTGCGGGGGACAAGGCCTGTGCCCTCACCCAAGATGGCGGCGGTTCCCCTTTCTCGTTGCCCTCACCCAAGATGGCGCCGGTTCCCTTTTCTCGTTGCCCTCACCCAAGATGGCGCCGGTTCCCTTTTCTCGTTGCCCTCACCCAAGATGGCGCCAGTTCCCCGTTCACCTGCCCGTGCCCTCACCCAAGATGGCGGCGCCCAGCCCGGCGTCACGGCGCGACGCGCGGGGCGTGGCGCGGTGAGGGAAGCGCCGGGACCGCCGGGTCCCGATCCCGGTGCCGGTCCCGGTCCCGGTTCCCCTCGGCCCATCCCGGTCCCCCCGTCCCGGCCGCGCCATGGATTGTTACACGGCCAACTGGAACCCGCTGGGCGAGGAGACCTTCTACCGGTGAGGGGCGGCGGCAGCGGCCTGAGGGTGCTCGGGGGTCCCGGGGCTGCTCGGGGGTCCCGGGGCTGCTCGGGGGTCCCGGGGCTGCTCGGGGGGCTCGGGGGGATGCCGGGGATGGGAATGGGGATGGAAAGAGGGTCCCGGAGAGGGCTGGGGTGGGGTTCTGGGGCTGCCCTGGGGTTCTGGGGGGCTGGCGGGGATGGGGGTCCCGGGGGATGAGGGGTGGGTGGGCTCGAACCTTGGGGCTGGCGGGGGATGGGGGTCCCGGGGGTGCCTTGGGGTTCTGAGGTTTCTTGGAGGGGTCTGGTGGTGCCCATGGATCTTGGGGATGGCTGGGAAGGGGGTCCTGGGGATGGTCAAAGTGGCTCAGGGTGGTCTTGGGGTTGGCTGGGAGGAGGGTCCTGTGGGTTGCTGGGGGGTTCTGAGGTGGCCCCGGCTCCTCGGGGTGGTCTGGGGGAGCCCTTGGTGTCTATGGGGGTTCTTGGGGTGTCCGTGGATCTCAGGGCTCCAGGGGTTTGTCGGGGGTGTCCCAGGGCTGGTTTGGGGCGGGCATCGTCTGTGGCTCTGCCAGACCTGCACCTGCTGCATGTCTGTGCATCCATTTGTCATCCATCCATCCATCCATCCATCCATCCATCCATCCATCATCCATCCATCCATCCATCCATCATCCATCCATCCATCATCCATCCATCCATCATCCATCCATCCATCCATCCATCCATCCATCCATCCTCCATCATCCATCCATCCATCCATCCATCCATCATCCATCCATCCATCATCCATCATCCATCCATCCATCATCCATCCATCCATCCATCCATCCATCATCCATCCATCATCCATCATCCATCCATCCATCATCCATCATCCATCCATCCATCCATCCATCCATCCATCCATCCATCCATCCATCATCCATCCATCCATCCCTCCAAGCTCCATCTCTCCATGTCCCACAGGAAGTTGGAGCTCTACTCCATGGAATGGGGGCTGCGGGAGGACCTGCGGGACTGTGTGGTGGCCGCTGCCCCATACGGGGGTCCCATAGGTGGGTGAAGCCCCCCGATCCCCCCTCCCCAAGCCGGGGCTGTGCCACCCACGGCTCAGGGACTGTCCCCTCCTTGTCCCAGCTCTGCTGAGGAATTCCCGGCGGGACAAGACCCCCGGTGCCCGCCCGCTCCTGGAGATCTACTCGGCCTCGGGGCTGCTCCTGGCCAGTGTCCCGGTGAGCCGGGGGGGACGGACACCCCGGGGTTGGGACAGGGGGCCTGGCATGGAAGGAGAGCATGGGATGGGTTTGGAGCAGGAGAATCCTTCCTCTGATGATGGGGGATGGAAGGAGAAGATGGGATGGGTTTGGAGCAGGAGAATCCTCCCTCTGATGATGAGGGATGGAACCAGGAGAAGGTGGGATGGGTTTGGAGCAGGAGAATCCTCCCTCTGATGAAGATGGGATGGGTTTGGAGCAGGAGAATCCTTCCTCTGATGATGAGGGATGGAAGGAGAAGATGGGATGGGTTTGGAGCAGGAGAATCCTTTCCCTGGTGCCCAGGGATGGGACAGGAGGATGGGATGAGGACTGGAGCCACAGGAACATCCTCCTTCCCCCCTGCCTGGGCTGAGGGGACATGGGGCAGTGGAGGGACAATGCCAGAACTGCAGGGACCTGCAGGGCCAGGGCAGGTGGGGTGTTGGACCTCTGGATGGGGTGTTGGACCTCTGGATGGGGTGTCACTTCTCTGGATGAGTTGCTGGACCTCTGGATGAGGTGCTGGACCTCTAGATGAGGTGTTGGATGTCCAGGTGAGGTGTCCAAGCTCTGGATGAGGTGATAGACCTCTGGATGAGATATTGGACCTCCAGTTGGGGTGTTGGAGCTCTGGATGATGTGTTGGACCTCTGGATGAGGTGTCAGTTCTCTGGATGAGGTTTTGGGCTTTTGGATGAGGTGTTGGACATCTAGGTGAGGTGTTGGACCTCTGGATGAAGTTTTGGACTTCTGGATGAGGTGTCAGTTCTCTGGATGAGGTGTTGGACCTCTGATGAGGTGTCAGTTCTCTGGATGAGGTTTTGGACTTTTGGATGAGATGTTGGACCTCCAGGGGAGGTGTTGGACCTGCAGGTGAGGTGCTGGATCTGCAGGTGAGATGTTAGACCTCCAGGTGAGGTGTTGGACCTCCAGGTGAGGTGTCCAAGCTCTGGATGAGGTGATAGACCTCTGGATGAGGTATTGGACCTCCAGTTGGGGTGTTGGAGCTCTGGATGATGTGTTGGACCTCTGGATGAGGCGTCAATTCTCTGGATGAGGTTTTGGGCTTTTGGATGAGGTGTTGGACATCTAGGTGAGGTGTTGGACCTCTGGATGAGGTGTCGGACCTCTGGATGAGGTGTTGGACTTCTAGATGAGGTATCAGTTCTCTGGATGAGGTTTTGGACTTTTGGATGAGATGTTGGACCTCCAGGTGAGGTGCTGGACCTCCAGGTGAGATGTTGGACCTCCAGGTGAGGTGTTGGACCTGCAGGTGAGGTGGTGGACCTGCAGGTGAGGTCCTGGACCTCCAGGTGAGGTGTTGGACCTCCAGGTGAGATTTTGGACCTCCAGGTGAGGTGCTGGACCTGGAGGTGAGGTGTTGGACCTGCAGGTGAGGTGTCCAAGCCCTGGACCAGCTGTCAGGCCTGAGCCACCCCAGGTGTGTCCCCGGAGGGCCATCCCTGGCTCGGGGCTGACCCTTCCCGTGCCATTCCCAGTGGAAGAGCGGCAGCCTGGTGCACCTGGGCTGGACGGCGGGGGAGGACCTGCTGTGCATCCAGGAGGATGGGACTGTCCTGGTCTACAACCTGTTCTGCGAGTTCAAGCGGCACTTCAGCATGGGAAACGTGAGGGAACGGGATTTGGGATGGGATTTGGGATGGGGTTTGGGATGGGGTTTGGGATGGGGCAGGTGGGAAGGGACCTCACAGCCCATCCCACCCCACCCCTACCCCAGGCAGGGACACCTTCCACCATCCCAGGTGGCTCCAAGCCTGTCCAGCCTGGCCTTGGACACTTGTAGGGATCCAGGGGCAGCCACAGCAAATCTGGGAATTCCATCCCAGCCCCTCCTCACCTGTCCCCGATAATCCTGGTGTCCCCAGTGTCCCCAGTGTTCCTGGTGTCCCCAGTCTCCCCGGTGTCCCCGGTGTCCCCAGTGTCCTCGGTATCCCCGGTATCCCCTGGTGTCCCTGGTGCCCCCGGTGTCCCTGGTGTCCCTGCAGTATCAGTGTCCCCGGTGTCCCCAGTGTCCCCGGTGTCCCTGCAGTATCGATGTCCCTGGTGTCCCCAGTGTTCCCAGTGTCCCCGGTGTCCCCAGTGTCCCCAGTGCTCCTGGTGTCCCCGGTGTCCCCAGTGTCCCTGCAGTAATGGTGTCCCCAGTGTCTCCGGTGTCCCTGGTGTCCCCGGTGTTCCTGGTGTTCCTGGTCTCCCCGGTGTCCCCAGTGTCCCCCAGTGTCCAGTGTCCCCCAGTGTCCCTGGTGTCCCCCAGTGTTCCTGGTGTCCCTGGTGTCCCGGTGTCCCTGGTGTCCCTGGTGTCCCCCAGTGTCCCCAGTGTCCCCCGGTGTCCAGTGTCCCCAGTGTTCCTGGTGTCCCTGCGGTATCGGTGTCCCCATTGTCCCCAGTGTCCCCATTGTCCCCGGTGTCCCCAGTGTTCCCAGTGTCCCCCAGTGTCCCCAGTGTCCCCACGGTATTGGTGTCCCCGGTGTCCCCAGTGTTCCTGATGTTCCCGGTGTCCCCGGTGTTCCTGGTGTCCCCAGTGTCCCCAGTATCCCCGGTGTCCCCAGTGTCCCTGGTGTCCCCGGTCTCCCCGTTATCCCCGGTGTCCCTGGTGTCCCTGCTGCCCCTGGTGTCCCTGCTGCCCCTGGTGTCCCTGGTGTCCCTGGTGTCCCCCAGTGTCCCCGGTGTCCCCAATGTCCCTGGTCTCCCTTGTGTCCCCGGTGTCCTCGGTATCCCCAGTGTCCCCAGTGTCCCCAGTGTCCCTGCAGTATCGGTGTCCCTGGTGTCCCCGATAATCCCAGTGTCCCCAGTGTCCCCAGTGTCCCCCAGTGTCCCCAGTGTCCCCTGGCGGCCGTGTCCCGCAGGAGGTGCTGCAGAACCGGGTTCTGGAGGCGCAGGTTTTCCACACGGAGTTCGGCACGGGCGTGGCCATCCTGACGGGAGCGCTGCGCTTCTCCCTCGCCACCAACATCGACGACCTCAAACTGCGCCGCCTGCCCGAGGTCCCTGGTGGGTGTTCCCGTGTCCCCTCCTGTCCCCCTCTGTCCTTTTCTGTCCCCACTGTCTGCCCCTTTGTCCCGTGTGTCCCCTCCTTGTCCCACCACCCCTCAGTGCCCTCTGT